TTCCCAGAAAATCTAAAATGTTCTTTAAAGCTAAAAACTTAATTCGCTATTCATAATCTTAAAATATAGAAATATTGAAACTAGTTTTTGCCTTTTTTGTTCGACCAATACTTGAATTTCCTTGTATTGTCTAGTTTCCTCATTATTCCCAAATCTACAATACACAAACGTTCACCACTCTTCTTAGGTAACTGGTTTTTGAACGACGACTATGATCTCATGGCACAACATGGATATTCTAGAGACAAGAAGAACTAAATCTGACTGTTTTTTTCTTTATAAATTATTATTTAACTTGATCTCAGGTCCTACTACTTTCCTAAAGTCCCTAAATACAAAACTAATAATTTATCATTTATTCAACGAACTGGGAAAATATACTAAATATAGATTTATTTAATGCTTCTTTAAACAAAAAAGCCGAAGGTCGAAGGTTCGAATCCCGCACGTGACGCTAGCTTTTTCATCTCATCAAGACCTTAGATAAAAAGCATAATTATTTCTTACAAAAGTTGAGATGTTATTAACGAACGTAAATTAATCTGCCCCCTTTATATAGTTTATGTAATACTGTATGTATATACATTTTACATGTTTCCAATATTTTAATCATTTTATGTATAATTTTAAAATTTATTTATGTTAAGTATTTTAGTAAATTAGGCTATCAACTTGTATGTAAATAAATATATAAACTTCAGCTTATTAACTTACTCTACATTGCGTTTAAATTTAAAGCCTATTTGGAACATGTTGTGATTTTGAATTTTGAAAATTTGGTGGCAATGATAAATTATGAAAGAGTATTAACAAGGGGCGCATGCACATACTATATGATAAATCAAACCAAACCAAAATTAGACAATAAATCCTAAAATCTTTAGTTTTCTCTTCAGTCTAAAATAGTAAGTTCAATGTCACTCCTTGAAAATAACATGTCATACTTAGTTGTACTATTTTCGATCCGATTGAATTGCCTGAGGGGAGTCGTATTTGTCCGATGATGTCTGAAATGTTGGTACGGGGAGTAGGAATGGGTCAAGGGTCTGAACGGTGCTTCCTTCGACTACAACGGATGCGCTTCCTTATTTTAGGCTATCGTGGTGGGGCACAAAGAGGGAAATAAAACCTTGACGTCATTATTGCATTTTTCTGCAGTCCCTTTCAACTGGTTGGTTGTGCGGCATTCCTAGACAGTCGGCTCCAAGGACTTTCATCTGTATTTCTGCAGTTGCTAGGCGTTCACTGCACTTTTTCAAAATCCCACTCCCCGCCGAATACTACGTCGTACCCGATAAATTATATTTCCCATTATAATTTATTTTAAATTCAAATCAAAGTATTAAAAAAGCATCTTACATTATAATAAAAGTCAATTTTATTTTATCCCTCTTTAACTTTTTCTCTGTGATTTATTACATTAGTTTTTAGGCAATATTTTGAAATATCGTCCGACTTGTGCATAGTCTTGGGAATGCAGAAATTGTGCATATGTTAATTTGCTAGAATGAGTGTAATTTATTAGCGTGAATGAAGGGGTTGTTTAACCCCAACTCGACATATATCGAGTACTCTGGGGGTGTGAATGTGACCAGGCAATTTATGTTTGTGGTGATGTTTATGTATTGTATGTTTTATTCTGTAGTTGACCTCCTCAGGTACAAACGAGAGGCTAGCATTTTGGAAAATCGACTTAGTTTTAATATAAAAGCAGAGTCAATAAAAGATTAAGATCCTCAAATGGTTGCAGGTTGAAAAATATGCGTGAAAGACCAAAAAAAAGATGTCAAAACATGCAGAGGGTCGGCGATGTCTTCAGCTGTTTGTCAGCCCGAAAACTTCCCATATTATTATTATTTTTTTTTTTTTTTTGACTGGGGCTTCTGACATCTAGGTCATTTCAGCCCCCAACTATGTCTATATTCTATTTACCCTTACAAACACTACATTCATACAAATAAATACATTCATACTCATAAATACATCCATACAGTACACTCATTCCGTTTTCCCATGTTATTATTTCATTACTGTCTTGACATTTTTTTTTAATAGTAGAATCGGTATATAAAATTGGAATTTCTTAAAATGTATTGTTACTTTCGATTGTAATATAAAAGGACCGGATTTATATGAATGTATTCACTTTTTTTTTCTTTTTTTCCCCCTGAGCCTTGTATATGTTTTTCAAACTTTTATTTTATTTTTCAAGCAAACTTAAGTCTACTTTATGTATTTGTAAATATTTGAAGGACAATAATTACATATTTTACCTTAATTGATATATTTCGGTCCGTATTATTAAAATAAACAACAAAATTTTGAAAATTTATTTTAAAAAATTAGCAAAAAACGTTTTAAAAACGAAGATTTCACGCGTAAACATTTCGAAAATTTGATAAAGGTAAATTATTTCAAATAATAGTTTTAAACTTTTATTTTTTCTCTCACATTTTTCAAATACAAATCAATAGTGTAATTACATCACTAGAATTCCTTAATCATTTTTTTATCGTTTTTATTTTGCAAAATTTTTAATTGACAAAAATTTAAAAATGGACGATATTTCAAATAAATTTTAAAATCAACAGTTTATTTTCTATTTTATTAACTTGTTATATTCTTTTGTTTCTCATTATTCAACTAATATATGTAAATTTAAAATTCTTTTTTAAAAATGCATAACGGTTTTATATATATATATTTCATTTATTTACACATATGTTTAAAAAAAAGTAAATGTACGTACATATTTTATGTTTTAATTCACATATAAATCCGGTCCCTGGTGATACACAATCCTTACTACATAATTTATGCACATTTGTGAAGTTACTGTAAAGATACTTTCTTTCATGTAGAAACTTAATATTTTTCCGTAAAATAATAAAATGGCATTTCTTACTATCTAGATTCATTTTTATGTCATGAAGAAGGATATCCTGGACACTGATAATTAAAGGAAGCATTGTCGATAATAAAGACGATAAAAATTCCATTGGGCAAATATTTTTGCACCAATATTGTTTTTAAATCTTATCTTTTTTTCTTTTATTTCTTCTTCTACGGGCCGGTTTCTTTGTATGGGTGTAAATCGACCCCGATGATTCAAAAATTCCTCGTACATTTTTCCATTTACAAAGGTAATCAAATTATTTTAAAATATTTAAAAAAAGTTTAACTTTTTTTGTGTTTATAAAAACCTATCAAATTTCTGGAGTCAAAATATTATGTAAAGAAATGGTGAGGGGAAACATTAGCTTCAACATGACGATGATGGACGTTGACAAAAAATTTAAATATATCTTTATTGTCAGATTTAATTTTCTCTTGGAGTCTGCAGGATGAATGTGCAGTTTGGTAAAGGTTATAAGCAGGGCGAGACATGAAAGATCCACAACCGAAAACGGCGAGAAGCCGAAACGCTTCTTGATAGACCAAGGCAGAGGTTCAACTGAAAGATCAAAACAGACCAACAGATTCAGACCAAAAAAAACGACCCAACTACTATTTGAGGAAACCGACAAAAGCTTTTCAGATCTGCCACGAACAAAAGAAAGTCGTCAATCAAGACCTCGGAGGCTCAATTGACGAAACTGAAAGATTTGATTCCATCGATTAAAGGATTATATCTACTCTGTTTTCTTCGTGACTAGCATTTACTAACATTAAGATAATTATTATAATTATTAAGATAAACAATCCAAATTCTAGAATGGTCCTTTATTCTTTCTTATTAAGTACATTACGGGAAAATTCCCAAGCAGTACAATCTTACATACTAGTTAAATTAATATTTGTGTATGAGTAGTAAGAAAAAAATATAAAATTTATAAACAGCATAAAATATGCCAAGTGCAAAGTTAAAAGTAAACTTGCAGGAGCGTCGATGGCCACAACGCTTTAGGTTTGGGCGTTGACGGCGCTCATTAATGTAAGGTAAAGGTCCCGGGTTCGAATCCACCGGACCAGCATACCAACCCGACATATTAAATGGTTTCTTTTTTTCCATTAACACCAGCACCTCGAGGGTTCATATGAACTCGTAGTTCAAATACCCTCGTTACAAAAAAAAAAAGAAGAAAATCTGGTACATAATGCAATACAATACAAAACAAATATAGAAACAGGGCAAATTAGTTATTGTCACGAATGACAACTTTATTCAATTTTTTCTTAAAGATATCAAATTTACAACCCAGAAAGTCTATGATGCCAAAATTGTCATCAAAATCCCGCTGATAAAAGGAAATTGGCCCACACGGTTCTCCACGAGTTCGATGAAATTCAGGATAAAATATATAAACATTCTATTCCTTCTACTAGAAACTAGGAAATTCATTTTACTTAATAACCCCAACAATAATAGATATTCCTCGTCTTTCATAGGCTCCTTTTTCAAAAGGCTGGAGGTATTTAGGTCAACAATTGACCAATCGATCAGACATGTAAAATTGATTGAAGCCATCGATTTTATAATGTTTTCAAAATAACCACTGAATCCTATTCGGAGATTTTAAAGTGAAACCCGTATTAACCTGGATGTGTTAAGATATAACGAAGAATTTTTTTTAAAGTTTTGTCTATGGGTAACAATAAATGGATGTGTCCGGTTATACAATGAACGATTTTACAATTATTGTACGTTGAACCAATCTACATCTAATCAGATTCCATTATTTAAACCACGATGGGAAATTGTTTTAAAACACGTGCTTCTGCAGAATGCGCCTTGTAAAAATGAGGTCATTTTCGCAATTGCTCCATTCAATTCATACGACCTTGCAAATAAAATAATAATAATAATAAAAAATACTGCAAATACGAGGGGTAGACGAAAAAGAAAAATAAACAATTTCGATTCAGTAATATTCAATGGGCTGTAAAAAAACAATAATAAATTTATAAACGTGCCATTCATGAAACGCTTAGTTTATAACACTCCCCTATAAAAATACAATTAATAAATAATTTTTTGAAAAAAATTTGTTAGTACTTACATTTCGGTTTCTGCTTCTCCATAAGCAAGAGGGGTTCATGTTTGTGCCAGACGTCTGGCCTTTTGGCGTGCACGGCAGAATCCATCGCTGCCGGCACCACCTCAGAACTCAGTAGTACCATCGAACCATCCGACCCGCCGACCACAATTCCCGTTCCCTCCAGTATTAAAAACAAATATTAAAATTCGAAAACGAAAAAACAAAAAAAAAACCGGACGACAGGGGAAACTGGCGGTTCAAAACACGATCATTTGACCGATGGGGATGGGAAAGCGTTTCACGTAGAACTGCACTCGGTGACTGTGTCCTTTTTTTCCCCCCGGAGAAACTAAATCCTGGGCGATTTCGGCCTCTTCGGCATGTTTCGGAGACTGTCCTTTACACGGAGAGCGGCTCGGTTCCGCAATAATCGTCTTCTAAACAAAACAAACCGAGTGAGGTTAGGTAACGGTTTCAATGTTTTGAAGTTCTTATTTTATCGCTGGGTCGTCGCCCGTGCCGTCTGCTCGGCCGACACGACTTTCTCTTATAAATAATAACAATCGAGCTCTAACGAGCGAAAATGGACTCGTTGTTTCCGTTCGAACGAATTCGTAAAGTTCTCCTCGTTAGATATCAGGCACAAGATGGACTCTTCGGCAAGGGTCAAAAGCACGATAGCAAAATAACAACAAACCGTCCACAACGTGCGAGGAATCTCGCAACATTATCCGTCCTCTCGAACCGTCCCTTAAACAGATGTAAACACGTCCCAAGAAATATTACGCGTATAATCTAATAGAAAGTGAGTTTAAAAAAACGCACAGTCCCGCGTTGAATCGTAAACGCCACACTCGGTCTGCGAAGATTAAACAAAAAAAATTTACCTAAAAGTGCACTTTAAAATCCTAAATCGGAACGTGGTAGACTCGTGTTATTGTCAGTACCGTCGGTAGAATCCTTTTTGTAGTTGGCGTCTTGAATTTCACTTGTAACCACCTTGTAACACATGACGAGGCCTTTGTAGTCTTTCCTTTTCAAAACGCGACTCCGCTTTTCTAACACTGATTACCGCGAATCGAATAGATTTACTACAGTTAATGTCACTGTTATGATGACGATTATGATTATTATTATTATTATTATGAGGTGTAAGCACGCCCCACAATGGAACGATCAAACATGGCAGACACTGAAACTGAAACTGGCGTGGCTCCTAGTCGATCCGAGTGATCCTATAGCGACACTAGCGCCCATTTATCATTCTGTTCACCTCACTCGCAAATATTCAAATATTATAATTATTCTACTCCTTTTTGTCCATTTACCAAAAACGCATGATTTTGATTTTTTTTAAATAGCGAACAAGAGGAAATAAAATCGTTTCACGGCGTTAGAACAATCTTCAATCCGCCCTTCAAATTTTCATTGTTAAAAATTGTAAGAAAGAATTTGATTGGTCGTCAACAGCGGTTGACGTCACTTCTTCGTAATTAGGACCAATAGGATTTACTTTTATTTAACATTTGTCGCGCCACTTTCCTTAAACATTTTTATACCCAGTACCCATACAAAAAATATTATTTCAAAAATAACAAAATTTATTTTATTCCTAACATTTAAAAAATAATAATCATGATATTTGTGGAATCACTAATATTAAATTATTGAAATTACATTATTTTCAAACCATTTATGTTTAGTGGTCTAATTGACCACATTAATTATTCTTTTTATGTAAGGTCTTGGTTGAGATGAAAAAGTTTGTGTCACGAGCGGGATTCGAACCCCACCCCAAATTCGAGATGGGTAGTTGGTGCCCGAGTGGATCAAAGTCACAATAACTCAAGTGGTAGAGCAGTGGTGTATTCAGCCAAAGGTCTTAGGTTTGAATCCTGCTCATGGCTCTAACTTTTTCATCTCAACCAAGACCTTACATAAAAAGAATAATTAATTGAAATTATTTTCAATTTTTCCTCAAGCCTTCCAGCCAAGGCAACCCTTACTTATGTTGTACAAGTATCGGGGAGGAAGCCAGCAAGGAAAATTCAAAAATGGCTGTCAAGGCCTTCGCCTTTCATCAGGACTACAATCTATAACTTAAATTATAACAAATACAATAGCATCAAAAGAATTTTAGAATTGTTTCATGTCTGAGGTCCATTCATTCGTACATTAAAAAAAAAATCTTTCGATGCTATTTATTCTAATTTAAATTATAGATTAAAGTCCTGATGAAGGTGTTAAAAAGGCCAAAAAACGACTTCAAATTTTGTGGTTTCTGTACTGGCTTCCTCACCGATATTCATATAACACAACAACAACAAAAAAACGCATCAATTGAACTTAATCTTTACTTATGTTGTATAAGAACTGGGGAGGAAGCCAGCAAGAAAAACTGAAAAATTGTAGTCTAGCCTATTTAATGCCTTCATCAGACTACAACCTACAAATTAAATTATAACAACTAGCATCAAAATATTTTTGGAATTGTTTCAACTCTGAGATCCATTTGTATACCAAAAAAATCTTTTGATGCTATTTGTTCTAACGTAAATTATAGATTTTGGTCCTGATGAAGGTATTAACACAAAGCATACCATGACTGGTCAAATAACCAGTTGTAAACTTTTGATCAGAACATTTGCATAAAATGTTATTGCATTTTCACATTTGACTTCATGACATTTTTATTAAATATGTACTAATTTTAAACAATAATTTTCTATCATTTATTTCTATTTTTATTTGTTAAATCTGATAAGTATGTGTAGTCTAGCATTATTTACCACGACAGTCATTTCATAGTGATAAATATTTACTGCCTTATAGGAGCATTGGATTCTAAAATCTAATGCTAATTCACATTCTACGTGTTATATGAGTTTGTGGTACACTTCTACCAAGACTTGCATAATCTCAACTAGCTTGCAGCGTATAGCTCAAGTGGTGTATTGAGATCATGGGTTCAAATCCCACTTGTGGCACTTGCTTTTTCATCTCAACCAATACTTACATTAAAAGTATAATTAATTAAAATAGTATTCTAATCAACTAATTGTAGCATTGTGATCTAGAGGGAGATGTTTTAGAATGGCTGTATTCCCATCTTAGTAGTCAAATGTGGAAATTTCTGTAAACTTTTGGTTTACCGCAAGGTGGATATTTGTCCCCATTTTTATTTAAATTATTTATTTTTGATTTACCATCCATACTAACATTTTGCCAGGAGTATTCCTCGACATTTCTGACACCATGTTTAGGATCGTTTTCTTGCTGAAAAATAAAATTAAGCTAAGCCGAACTTGATAGCACTGAGTTCACCTTTTAGAATATAACATGTGCATATTCAATGTAACGTGTATACAATAATGTGGGTGTATGTAAATATGTATATATAATGTGTATATTCAATGTACTAGTATTGATCCACTATTCCTTCAATTATCTTTAAGTTGCCTACTCCAGTGAAGCATACATTTTTTAATTTCATGACCTCATTTTTCTCCTCTACATTCTAACATTGCCATCAGCACTCAAAATATTGAATTTACATTGGTCGATGAAAATAAACTTTTTCCAAAAACTAGAAAGCTGATCAATGTAATGTTTTGTAAATCCAGTTACTTAGCTTGGTTTACTTTGCTAATATGCAGCTTTTTGCAATTTGAGGTGTTATGTGAATGTTGTAATTTTGTACTAAATTATCAACTATTATAGGACCACTCATTTTTGCATTTTCATTGACAGTTTTTTGGATGTCCTGATCTAAGTCTTGCAGTTTGCAATGCAACCTGTTGATTATAATTTCTAATCACAATTTGAACCATAGACACGCTTTAATTCACAGTTTTAGAGATTTCCCCAAAGCTTTGGGGTCAACAAATAACTGGCTTATCTCTCGGCAATTTTTTTTTTTCTAAATCTTTTATTAGTCCAAATATCTTATTAACAACAGTATATATGTTGAGTTATTGATGCTGAGTTTAACCCAACACATCCAACATTATGTAATAACATTGAAATTTAAAAAATGTAAATTAGTTATAATATAAATAATAATTATATATAAATCAGTAACATTTAGAAGATATTTATTTAATAAAAATGATAGTCACACAATCCTAGTGCCCTAGTTAGCTCAATTGTTGCTAAGAAACATGGTATGTGTTCAAGTAACCCAGAGAGCATATTTTCATCCTGCCATGAGCTGCACATCGAACTATTACAAAACTTGCAATCTTCCAACAAGGTTTGAATATCCCAGTAAGTTTTCTTTTTTCACAGTACACATTTATTCTACTAAAAACAAAACTAATACAGCAATTTGATGATTGAAAATTGTAGACCGCTTTAGAAATTATGGTATTCAAAAGCAGCCACCGGATCATCCTCTATACAGAAAGACTTCATCAGCGTACGGCTATTTCCCACCAGATATCCACTCTGTGCCAAAAGTCTATTATCCCCTTTCACAGAAATTTACCCTGGAATTATCAAATTTTGGGATGTATAGAAATTATTCATTCAATATATAAACAATAATTATTAAGTTCTTGTGGCGTGAATAATCATAGTGACAATTTATAGTTTATAATATTATTAAAGTAGAAAATAATAAAAATAAACCACTAAATAAATTGTTGTTCCATTTCAAAAACTTTTTAAACCAATATAATATATAATAGTTTATGGAAAAAACAGTAGTAAAAAATATAATTAGGTGTTTCTTAAAATTACATTAAATACTCAGATCTCAAAATGTTAATATCCTGACAACACTGATCTCTTCAAATAAAAATAGTTATAAATAACATAATATAAGCATAGTAATTGTTTGTGTCATCACATAATTTTGTTAATTTTTTGCTTTTTCTTTACTATTAAATTATCTATGTGCATATTAATCTTTTTTTTACAAGTAAAAAATGTATTTTATAATTTCTTATTTTTATTACTTTTTTATATGACAAACTTTATGTTGTGACATGGCCTTAGCAAAGACAAATATATGTACATAAAAAGGTTATTTAACATTACTCAAATAATAAAATTATAAATGATACTAAACGCTAAAAACATAATTTGTAATTCTGAACTCCTCAAATTTTAATTCAAATATTCAACTAGTATTTAATTAAACATGAATAAGTTCCTACAAATGTAATATTGTTTAGATTAATAGAATAAATAATTGATAAATATAATTGTTTGAATTATATACATAGCAATTGCTAATTATAAATACAAGTAAATTACATGTATTATTTTTTTCATGCCTATGCATGCTATTGCGTCTGTGCCCATTTATCAACATACATTTATTTATATCATCAGTACACGTATACATTCATATTTATATAATTTCCCTTCTGGTACACAAGTTGAAAGGAAAGATTTTGTAGAAATTTTTCAATAATTGAGGTTATAGTCATTAGTATATCCTCTGTTGAGACGTTTTGGTTGGCTTTGGGCTAACATGCAATAAAATTACGTAATTCCACTTGGAAGTCTGTTAAATTACAAGTATCATCTTCACCCAATTAAGAATAGGCTGTGTGAGGTTGACCCAGGGACAGTTACTTTTGGGCCAAAGCATCCTCATGTGTCTGACATGTTGAGAAAGATTGCTCGGTATGTCCCTCCAAATAGAGAGCTTATAGGAATGCCATCCAATATGAGAATTGGTTTTTGGATAATACTGGGTTGTTTAATTCATTTTGTATTTTGTGAATATTGATGGTGGTATATTGAATACTTCATGTCCTGCATTAAGATTGGTTATACAGTATGTGTAAAGGGTGATGAAGGAATAATGAATACTCCACCACACTACATGAGTAAATGGTTCATAAATAAGAAATAATGCATTTAACAATGAATGAAAGTGTCATCTAGCTTTAAAAACTGCATGTATTGGGGCTGAAATGACCTAGTTGTCAAGAGATAAAATCAACATCAGATCCCCGGGCTGCCAAAACCTGAGGCAATACTAGGAAATATGAAATACATTTCTAACTATTAGATTAGTTAGAACAACATTATACACCAGATTACTAGGAAGAGTTTCTTATATGATTTTGGATCTATTGGCTTATGAAAGATGATATGATTGTATATTCATCATCTGTAATACAATAGGTGGACAATTGTACTGTATCAAATGATCAGATCCTACTCAAAATTGTTGATTTAGTGATGACTAAAATCCATGATATTCAGTTAATATGGTAATCTGCGTAACTCAAAAGCTCATCAAGCTTTATTTTCCCAGGTTCCTTATTTAACTCGCATTCTCTCGCACTGACTCTCCAAGAGGAGCGTAGAGCGCAATTTCATCCCAATATAGCGCAGTTTAAAACAAACGGCAAATAGAAAACAGTGTCAGATCCAGTATTGAGCCCTGAGGAACACCAGCTGCTGTAATGAAGGGAGATGAAGTGGCTTGTTCAGCGCAACCCGAAAAGACTTATTTTGGAAGAAGAATCACGAGGTCATTTCCTCAGTCCATCAAGTCATAGACGTTTTTAGACATATAAAGTTCTAAAACGACAATTTTATCGTTTGATACTGAAAATATACACATTAAAATTTTATTTATAAAACATAATGTTTCGTAGAATAATCAATATGTATATGTAAACTTAAATGTTGAAAATATGAGATGTAACGATTCGATTAACAGGTGAAGAACGGTATGCACTATGCTGAACCTGAAAGTTTGAAACCTCACAATCCATAAAATTCACCTGTTTCACAAACAAGTCAAATCAAAATAAACAAGTTTTATTGGTAATTGTTTTATTTTTGATGGAATGCTGACTACTGAGACATAAAAAATGGAGGATTCGCCTGGTTGCCCTAGGCATTATTCACCTGTCGTCGGTAATAGATTTTAAATATTTCCTTTTAACGATAATGTACCTTTTCTTACACTTTGTCATTAACGAAATACAATTGTATTTATATTCCTTATAATAATTTAATATAAACCATGCCTTGATTAATAATTTCTGTTTTTAATGGGGTTTCTGCCTACTTTGTACAGACAACCTGAGTATAGTTGCAACTTTCTGGTCTAGGCTCTCGGTGACAGTTCACCCGTAAAGCTCTTGCTGAAAATGTATTTCAAACGAGTGTTTCCAGGGAAAATGATGATACTTGTCTGGTTCTTTCGTTATTCTTTCTTTGGCACTAGGGGGCGAAGAATCACCCAGTGGTATCACTTATAGTAGGGTCTGTGTCCTATATCTCATTGCCCAATACGAAGCCTCTGCTGTTTTAATCTCCTTTAAGAAAGGATTGTGTGATTAGACTTAAAAGGGAGCGTTTACTATTTTTCGTAGGATTTTGGAAGGGAAATTTGGAGTTCAATGCCTTTTGTCCTTACGGGTTTGATTATCATCTCATATATCAGTTGTTTGTTGTGAAGTGTTAGTTCTGATTGTTTATCTACAAGTCATGAGTTTTTTGTAATGTCTTGTCAATTCCTGCTTTTTTAATCTTGTATGTTAAGTCCAAGTCAGTCGATTTTGTCGAAATACAGCGGTAGCGGAAGTAGTTAACTATATTGAAGTAGGTTTTGTAATGGCATTATTCCACGTCATATGGTAAAAATTATGTGTTGGCTTTTGTCTAAATTTATTTTTATCAGCCACTATGTTGAATAGTGGAGCAATGTGAGAGGACAGGATCTTTATTTAAGATAGCTATATCATCCGCATAAGTGTGAATGGGGGAGGTATATGTATATGTTTAATAGTTATTCAGATATCGTGAGATGCGGTCGGGTGTGATGTAGGTTTCAGAAAAACATTTTCTTTATCATGCCAACGTTTCGATCTTTTATTGAGATCATCTTCAGGGCTCAAAGTGTTTGTCTTCTGTGTAATTGTGCCATCCTTGTGTGTCGTGTTGAGAGTGTATGTATATGTTTAATATTTAAACACCCCAAGGGTTGATATGACCTCTGCTATTGTGAACCCTCATAAAAAATAAATAATAATAATAATAATAATAATACAAATGCATTAGATTTGCTTACCTTATTATCCTATTTAAGGAGACATACTGAGCTGGCACTGGGTCAGGATAAGTTGTTGCAGCCCTCCTCGCATCAACACATTCATGGAGAGCTTAGTGCTTTTAGTGAGATTTTCAGGGAATTCAACATCTTTATTAAATAGTTATTGAAACTTATACCTGTTATATTTTCTTTCTCCTCCTATCTTCTTTGGTTGTTTTCTAATTTCTTCTGCGTTTCTTGGATTTTATTTGCTAATGCATTTTCAAGGGTCATTACTTATATTTTCCAGGCTGAACATTATTCCTTTTAGTGTTGATGCTGGGTGTTGGTCTGCGAGTCGGTGAACTCTTACTGAACTGACATAAGGTCACTTTTTGGGTTTGTCTTCACTTGCGGAATTTGAATTACTCAAACGCATTGCTCCACATTCCAGTGAGGAACCAGTTCTTGACATGGCACAATGCCGAAACAAGTTCGAGTAATTCAACAAATATACGAGTGAAGGCAGACTCCAAACGTGATCCTTTGCCATTTCAGCATTAATCCTTTTAGTTTGGTCATTACCAATAATTATTCAGAAATCGTGAGATGCGGTCTGGTGTGATGTAGGTTTCAGAAAAACATTTTCTTTATCGTGCCAACATTTCGATCTTTATTGAGATCATCTTCAGGCTCAAAGTGTTTGTCTTCTGTGTAATTGTGCCATTCTTGCGTGTTGTGTTGAGAATACACGAGTACTCCTACGACAAGTCCATTACCCCTGAATAAATTTAACAAATTATTTATTTTAGCTAATAAGTAAAGAATGGCAAACAACCTAATTGTACACATTTTCTTCTTATTTACATAGTGGAAATTCTTATTTTTATGCATTTTTAGTTCATGAAAGCCCTTCTTGGACTCAGAAAAACTTGACAGGAATAGCAAGACAGCTAAAAGATAATTCTGCTGATCTGTATAACTGTGTTCAAAGATGGAACCAACATCATTTGGCTGGGATGAAAGTCTTAAATAACATCAGAGACCTTAAATGTAGTGCAATGTAAAAGTATAAAATGATCAATAGTCAAACTTTCTTTTATCAAGGTAATTATTTAATTTGTTGTTTTCAGAGAGAAGAAAGCTGAAAATCTCGATTTATACCCAGAAGGTTTACAAAAGTTATGTTATACTTTGTCAGATTTATTCGATCAAATGGTATTTCTATTTTGCCAAATTTATATCTATTGTTACAAATCCACTATCATTTTTAGTCTGAAGAGGTTAATCTTTTGAAAGTGATCAACAAACAATATGAAGCGTTACAAAAGTTACAAGACTTGAAAGAAAATTACGAGCCAGTGTTTATGACCTGGCAGTTGCATCATTTCGGTAATATTGGCACTAAATGAACTTCTCATCAACTTAAATATTTACATATTGCTTTGTTGTATTGTAGTTGAAGTGAGTAGAGATGTCGCCGAAAGCTATGAAAAACAGCTCGAGCTGAATAATTACACAAAGGAAAACATTGCTTTCTCAACAAACCCAGATAGCATAGACTTCTACAGGATATCCTGGCTGTACCAGCCTTTGATTGATGAAAATCTCGACTTTCAAATTGAAAGTTTGCTCAAAGAAACTGGCCTCAAGTAGATCTGACAGTTTTGTTGAATGAATGGGTAAAAACAATTTAATGCTAGTCATTTAAAAGTTATTCCGGGGGGGGGGACTGCAGTAGCTGAGTAGTTAGCGTGATAGACTCGGCTCTTAGACCCTGCTGTCGCCGCTGGAATTTTGTATAGAACTCCTCTTCCTAAATCTACCAGCACTGGTTTGCTGGCTGATATGGAAAATGTACTGGCCTTAAATAAATAAGTTATGCAAGTAAAGAAAAATTACAATGGAATTGTTAGAACAAGGGAAATACAAAATTTTAACAGAAAATCATGTTTTATCAGACAGGAAAATAAAAAACTATATATTTTTTACTATATAAGATTTTTTTTTTAGGATTCAAACATTGCATTTTTGTATTATTCCTCACATTAAATCGCCTTAATTTGGTAGGCAAATAATTTTTGTAGAAGGTATTTAGAAAATTTGTTATAATATTGTTTACATATTTAATTTGTTACACATTGAAATATAAAAATACAATTTATTTTGGTCTTCTACTATTTAGTTGTAATATTGCCCATACCCATTTAATTTATTTTGTATGATGAACTTATTTAAATTTAAATTTGATGAAAATTCAGTCTTGAAAAATGGTTTCATATGGAGTATAATATCATAATAATGCAGTACATAATCGTAAAATGAAGTGAATGTATTTTGCATATTATAATAGCAGAAATTTGAATGTTTAACTTGGTTACAGTTTACAATCTTACAGAGGTAAAAAGGACAGGCAACAGAATGTATTCTTCATATATACTTTTTGTATATATTATTGTTTATCTTTTGGTGGACTTTTGGACTTGTTCTGAAAATAAATTGCCATTTTAAAATTAAGTTTAAGTATTTTTAAGTGTGTTAAAAAATATAACAGTTTTGTTATTACCTCATTTTCTCCTTTAATTGGAGCATAAAATCCAGGTAGTTTAGATATATGTTTGGGAACATATCCTGATCTTGAAAAGCCAAATGCGGCTTTAATCAATGCCATCGCCGCCTCGAGTGTAATTTTCAGTTGTTGGGGGTTGCCAATGCTCGGATTTATTTCAACCATGTCGACTACCTGAAGCCAGCCGGTTCTGTGAGCGACCTCCATTATGTGAACAGCTTCTCTTAAAGTAAGTCCCCCCCGAACTAAAACGTGTGATGAGAATTTTTTCATGAATGTCACCAAACCAGTACTAGTTGAAGTGCATTAAATTGGTAATTCTCATCTCCCACTCCCACTTATAATAATGTACATATATTATGATACCTGGTGTTCCGGTGCATGGCGCTTCAAGTGCATCTAATGCATCAATATCAAAGCTGACATGAAGAGATCTCGTGTGGTCAGGGTTTATTTTTTCAAGAGCTAATCTTGTTACAGCATGTATCCCATATTTTTCTATATCTTCCATTCCATATGCGCTTACTCCGTATTTTTCTATTATAAATCTAGTGAAATACATGCAACATTCATAAGTAAATGTTATTTTGATAAATGCAATTAATAAATTTAAACATTTTTCAATTATATCAAATTTATTAATATTAATTTAAATTAATAGAAAATTAAAAATGAAGCAGGAATTAATGTGTTGAGAAAAAGTACTTTTTGTGAACTTTTAAAACTGGAAGTAAAATCTTATGCTTAAGTTGTCACACAATTTTGTGAAGATGTGTAGTATTTAGTGACTGTTAATTAATGATTATTTAGAGGTTGTGAGATGTGCTGGGTTGGACTGTCAAACACGTTTCAGCATTTTGCTATTTTTAAGACCCAACAAGCAAAATGCCGAAATACATCTCACATACCAATGCAGCAAGTATAAATGATCAAAGTTGGCCATACCTTTCATACTGATCTACTGATCTTAGCCCAATGTAAGCAATGTTCTGAATAGACAATCTGAAAAATATAATCAACGTGAATAGCCAATGTGAAAGCATACACTTTTTAAGCCTACTCAGGTTGCTGCCATTCGAATCCGGGTAAGTATGGCCAATAGTGCAAAAGTTCTTTGACAAGCAGAGAAACCGGCATTCCGTGCATATTGCCTGTATCGGAAGTGTCTGCAGTGTTGAGGTCGGCGTGGGCATCAACCCACAGCAGGCAGACTTTGCCATTTTTGGCTTTCATGTGGCCATCGACGCTTCCGAGAGCAATCGAATGATCGCCTCCTACAATCAAAACCTTCCTTTCATCCTTCATTGCGGTTTGGACCATTTTGCTCAGCTGTAAATATTAAAGGCCAAAATTGTTGAATTATTTGATACTTGAATTGACTTGTTTTGTTTCTTACGTTTTCAGATGCTTGAGATAGATCATTTAAACAAGGCAATTTCGGTAGATTTCCATCTGTACTTTTTTTAGATAAATGGTTCGTGGAACATAAAATATCTCCATAGTCCTTTACATCATGACCTGAATATTTTTAACATATTGTCTATTTTAATTATACATACATTAAATATATATTGCTGAACAAAATCATTATAGTAGTTCAAACATCAATGATATACTGCATATCTGAATTCTTTATTTGTAATAACATTTCATTTTCATAAACAAAAATATTTCATATGGATTTGTAGATTAATAGTTTTTTTATACTTGCATTTTTTATTTAGTTTAAAATAATACATTAATCTTCCTACCTCTTGAAATATTGCTTACACTATTGTTCTTGTATTTTTCAGAACTTTTGTTAGACATGTTAATGTAAGCAGGCAAGGTGTCAAAAATTTACAAATACCGAGCTGGGGTGCTTACCAGTCTATGGTAAGACTTATAACATGACTACCTATTGAACACTGTGCCAAGGAGGCTAAGTATCATTAACAGAAGAATAGTCAGGTAGCCATATCTACTTTTTTTAAGAGTTATGGAGGGTTGGTTCAGAAGACAATTCTTTTCTCCCCTGCTACCTAAACAGGTCTATTATGGAACCCCTAAAGCTTATTGCTCTTTGAAAATGTGCTATTCCTTATAAAACTTTCCTTGGTGCCTCTTCGTGGATCTCCTTTAATATGAGAAATGTCCTGCCAAAGTGGCAGTACCGTAAACGGGCTAACTCTACATTCACAAAGGACATGCACCGATGTCTCTGGTTCCTCCTGACAGAGCCAACATGTTTTATTCCTAGTTTTGCCCATCTTAAGATGATAGTGAAGAGGGCAGTAGCTGTTATAGAGACTTAATTCCACTTAAATCCTGCCTGTTGAGAGAGAGGAGTTGCTTCGCCAATTTTGAGAGATTCATAAATCTCTTAGCCTGTGCGTTTGTCCAGTGTTTGAGATTTTTTTCAGTTCCAACTTAAGCACACACTCTGAAATACTTAGTTGTGGTTCTGGTCCCTTGGATGAGAGGGTTGCCATTTTTTTTTTTTTTTTTTTTTGGGCTAGCTGGTCAGCTTGTTCATTTCCTTCGAGGCCTTCATGCTTGGGAACCCACTGGACATGAAGAGTTCAAAAAATTGGCCAAGAAAAGTTCGGCCTAATGCCCCTGAACCCTTTTGTAGCATACCGAACTGCCCAAAACTTGAATCCATCAGACAATGGATTAAAATGTCCTCTGTCCAATGGGAATATAGCCCAGGACAGAAGCATGTGGAAAAGGTTCATCAAAGGACCATTATACAAACCAACGGCAGATCTAGGATGTGTTAAGCCTAGAATGATAGTTGGACTACTAACTGGACACATAGACTTGGAGGGGCAGAAACAAGACTGTGTATTGCCAGGAAGAAGAAGACTGCAGAACATGTCCTCTCTTGGTCTGAAGATTTATGTAGGCTGAGATTTTTACTCCTGGGAGAGGAAAAGCCCCGGCCTGAAGCATATCAAGTGAGTTCACAATAGACCAATATTGTGTCACCAATCACAAGTTGGTAAGAAGTCGACTCCTTTTCTAATCTAATCTACAGCATTGTTTAATTATATTTGTTTGGAGATGAACATGTCTTTGATAAGTACCAATTTATATTTTTCAGAAATTAAGCTAATGTATTTTTGAAATTGTTTTATACAGAAATAGACATTTTTTTATGGTGCCATTGTTATGTGGAGTCATTAATGTGAGAGGTGTGGTTTTGCTCTTTTTTTAATGGTCGTGAGTACCCTGCCTTATCCACTGATGTTTCTATCAAAGTATTCTTATTGTACCTTAGTTACATAAAAATTGTTATACTTTTTTGCATACATTTTTATTATTGTTTAAAAAACACTTCTTTTGTGTTGAAAAAACAGTGCTGCAGTATTGTATATTATTGGACAAAATGGCTTGTTGCTCTTTAAATAAATAAATTAGGACATGAAAAACTAACGGAAACATGAACCAGCGTATTATCTTGATTAGATTATTATTTGCAGTTTACAGTTTGTATCTTTTTCACAAAAAAAAGTAATGCTATTTTTCCTGGCAAAGACATAAAAAACCAAAAATTTTGACTTGATAACAGTTCATATTTTTAAGAAAATGCAGACTTAATTTTCTTGAAAAGCCCACAGCAATAATTTTTCTGATTTTTGGATGATTTTTATTGTTAAAACTGCATTATTTGTAGATTGGAAATTATATTGAAAATACATTTTTAAAATGTATCTGGCTGACAACAAGGCTATTGTAACAGTACAGCGATATTATTATTATTACTATTTAAGAAAGACCAACTTTGTATAACTTCTACTACACTTTATTTAAAAGGTTAAAACTAAATTTAACATAAATTTCTCACCAAGTTGTTGCATTTCTTTTACTAAGCCAAATTCTCTTAGCATATAAGGCGCATCTTCAACTCCAGATGCTTTCTACTTAATGAAAACAAAAATGTTGATTAATTGCACGTGATTATTCCAACTTACGTTATTTTACTACCGAATTTTTACTCCCTTTACTGAACGGCACACCGACTACGCCTATACTTGTAGAAGTATGCTTATGCGAATCATCTACTCCTGCTGGAAGCTGAAATTAGCATTTACTTTGTTCACTTTTAAAATAATTATTTAAAAATTTAGAAAACTTAATGAATAGATGAGGATAAACAGAAAATGTTGAATTCCAACTTTTGTTTAAACCGGATTTAAAATAAAAAATGAAAATTGTACGTATCCTCCTTTGTCATAATTTGTACCAAGTGCTGAAATATGGCAACATTTTAAGAAAAAAAAAACTATCGAAATACCTATATAGGGTGACCAATGTTATGTGCTCTACTTAAATTTAACACTCTATTTAAAAAAAATATTATTTCTCTGGGTTAGCAATGGTTGCTGTCTTCCCACAGGATATATGCAAATGATAAATATGTATCACATTATATAATGTAATATATTTGTACAGATGGTAAATGCATTTATCGACAGCAAAATTTGTTGACTATTTTTTAAAATTTATTTTCTTATTTTATTTATTAATTCATTTTTGTTGGAAATTTAGAATTTTTAATTTTTTATTTTATTGTTTATTTTAATTTTTTATTTTATTTGTTACACATGTAATAAAACTGAGACATTAAGAACATCAACAACAACCTCATCTAGGTGTGTAGTTATAGGGGAACAACTTATTTTTCATCTAAAATTGAGAATAGATTTTGAAAAACATGTCTGATTAAAAAAAAAATTATGGTTTCAAGAGACACAATCAAAAATGTGGAAAAACTAATGGGATCCCATTTGGAAAAAAGTTGGTATTCTACAATATTTAGAGGAAAAAATAAATCTGTATTAGCCAAAATAAAGTAAGAAGAAACAATGAAATATATATTTTATTTTTAATTTGCCTTCATTAAAAAAAGGTGGGTGGAGCACATAATATCGGTCACTTTATATTCATAGTATGGTAAGTTCATGAACGACTATTTAATAATGTGTATTTTATTACCTTATTTTATAGTTAATATGTTTTTAATTAGTTGAATGCTGATTTTAAAGTATTGCTCCATATTTATATAATACAACAAAAATGTAAATTACAATTTTGTTTAGACAACACTATTAATTTTAAAAAAAATGCTGAGATATAAATAAAAATAAACTAATCATGCAATTTAGGTAGTGTCTAGTAAAAATTATGAATAAAATAACATACCTCAGAATTAACTTCCCCGATTGAATTTATCAACTGTGAAAATAAAAAATTTCAATTAATATTCCGACTACGAATTTGTGTTGAATGTTGTTCATACCCGGGGGTGTAAATAATCTGTGCATACTCTTTTTACAAATGCTCTTGAAACTAAGTGATTCATTATATTTCTGAAACACAGGCAAGTTAACCATAAAACAAATATTCCTTTATTTTAATCAATTGTTTTTTTCTGTTTCTAATTAGATAAGAGAAAATTAGTGATAAAGCTGATGAGAATGAAGATAAAATAATGATTTGTTGTTCAAAGAAGCTAATAATAACTGTTTAGTAACTAAAGTTAAGCAACACTTAAAGGGAGAAATGTATAAAAATATAAGAAACTACATATTTAAATATAAAAACAATTATAGGAAATAGACAAAACTTCGTCATTTAACGTTATGTAAAGAAAATCCTTACAACAAAGTTAATGCTTGAAATTAAAATGCATTTATGATTATCTAAACTTAACCAGTTATGTCATTCCTTCAATACACAACAGATAAATAAGTATAAAATATAATAAATGATTTATTAAATCAGAAGCAAAAGTCATCTTCCTTCCATCTCTATTTAATCTAAACCCAAGCAGTTTAAAAACCCAGATGTTTGATTCTGTCATATTTTCATAATGATCAAGTTAGAAGCTGTAGCTCTCTGGTATTTAATTAGGCAAAAAACATCCATTTCAACTTGAAATTACATGCTATCTCAAGGGCAATAATTTCATACGGAGCTCAAATCTGGGATGTGAGACAGTTCCAAATAATGAAAAGAACATTTAAATATTTTATTCAAAAAATGTTAAACCTGCCTAATACAATCCCTGGCTATACAATATATCTTGAGACAAATTGGTTATCAACCTTTTTGTACAGTTAATTGAATATTAAATATATACACAGATGCCTAAACTTCTCCCAAAGCCGTTACCCAAATTTACTAATGAGAAAAATAATAGAAAAAAAATTATTTATTTAAAAAGACCACATATAATATTATGTTCAACGAATTAGTTGAGAGAAAGATTACCACAAAAGATATGTGCAGTCTATGATTAAAAATAAACTGGTTGAGGAATTTAAAATGTGAGTCCAGAACAGTCTAAGACACCCGTTATACAGTAAAATCTTGAAAAGAAGGCCCTGAAGGAAGGGCTAGACTGTAACTCTGTAAGATGGTTAATAAAAAAAGATTAACATTACTCGTATCGTTAAGTACCAATATGTATGAATATGTTTATTTTGTGGTTATGTTAAATGCACGGCTGTTATTATTATAAAGGATGATTAGAACCAATCCTTGCAGAACTCCACTAAGTATTGGATAAGAATTAGAACTGGCAACTCCTGTCAGAGAGATAAGATTTCAAGAAATTTAGGAAAGTACCATGGATCCCAAAGACCCTCAAGTTTGTAAATTAAGGGTCTCGTTTTTTTTTCTTTCCAAAATCTTCTTGCCAGTATAATAAACATCTTGGACTTACATTAGCTGTCATTTTTTTAATACAGATGTATGCTATATGTTTTAAGCATTATTTTTTCAAGATCAAGCAGTCATAATTTTTTTTGTAACAAAAAGGTAGTAAGCTGTCTTGGGGCTATTTCACCTTGATTCAGTATGTCATTTATTTCTTTGTCTGTTTATTTATTGTTTTCTTTTAATTTTATTTTTATTATTAATGTATGATAATTTTATTTTGTTTGTTTTATTTATTTTGCCTTATTCCTCTGCCAATCTATTTTTTTCTTGTTTATTTATATTTTAATTTTTTTATCATTTATTTTATTTATATTATACTCACACATACATATTTTTATTGTTTTTGTTATACTGTATATGTATATATATTTAGTATGTTTTGCTTTTATTTTACTCGTTTTTTTGGGTTGAGTATGTTTGTATTTTTTTTAATTTAAACCTTTTTTTTAAGCATGTTCTCTCGTCGCTTAGGATTTCTTTCGGGCTTTTAGGGAGGTTGAAACTTCTCTGCTGTTTTTGAAAGTTGAAATTCAGTTAGTATGTGTTTTACAATCAGAGATTCGTTGCATTGTGGTGTTTCTCTGCTCATGAGGTGGCTGTGTGTATCTGGTGTGTCCGATTCTTAGTCGGGTCAGAGTTACTTCTTTTTGACCGCTTGGTCGAAAGGACCAAGCCCAACACCTGACAGAATCTTTGATGTTTCGTAGTTTATTGTCAAAGATGTGCCATGCTTATTACCAATCTATCCATATTTTATGTTTTAGGTGAGATACTAAATCTCCACTTGGGTACGCTTCGAACCAAACGGTGTTTAAAGTACCCAATTTTTAGTAAATAAGGTTGTGGTTGGTGTTATAATAGTAATGATGTAAAAATAAAATGCCGTAAGTAAAAATATATAATTTAAAAAAATTAGGAGTGAGAGATGGTAGAAAGATACTTACGTTTATGAATAAGAAAACAATCCATTGCTTCAGAACACTGTCTCAATCAATGTAGAAATTTTAATATTTTCTTTTTCACGCATTTTTTTAGCGTTTATAACATTTTCAACGTATTTCTCGTGGAATAAATTGGAATTTGTTGTTGTGTCGAATGTCGAGCAGGCATTGTTTCGTTTGTGTTCTATGAGCTCGTTGGTCAGAGGTTTTGCAAGATGGTCTCGTGGTTTGCGACCCGTTTTCGAAATTGGTGTCTTAAATTTCTTCCAAATTGGGAATCGGCGGATTCGTTCTCCGTCTGGCTCTTTCTCAAATTGCTTGAATTAGTGAATACGTGTTTCGCCGTCGTTGAAGGTTCGATGGAGAAATTCGACCCGAAGGGTAAAAAACGGAAAATCGACAACAGTAAAAAGGTACCGGGTGTGAAAGGCGCGAAGCTAATAAAGTTGAAACCGAACGGTTATGAAAAACAAATAGGGTATGTGAGAAAAACACATGATAATCTCAACACAAAATTCGATAAAGGAATCAAGAATTTGGCTGACGTTAATAGTAAAAACTGTACTGGCGCCAACAACTGGGAAAGGTTCATTGGTAAGAAAATCGAAAGTCGTAAGACTGCGACGAATAGTTCTAATAACAATAGAGTTAATAGTGATATTAAGAGCGATAAACCGAAAACTTTCAACAATAGAATGAAGTTGACAAACGTCATCGGCATGGACTGTGAGATGGTCGGAATCGGGAAAGACGGCAAAGACAGCATACTCGCTCGTGTTTCCCTCGTAAATTTGGACGGTGATTGCCTGTATGACAAATTTGTGAAACCCAGAGAAACAGTTACAGACTACAGGACACACGTCAGTGGTGTGCGGAAAGGCGATCTTGAAAATGCGGAAAGTTTCGAAGTCGTACAGAGAGATGTGGCCGAACTGATACGAGGTAGGATATTGGTCGGCCACGGGCTGCAGAACGATATGGAAGTCCTTTACCTTTCCCATCCCAGGAGAGATATCAGAGATACTTCGGTTTTCTTCAGGAAGAGGGGCAGAGGGACTCCATCGCTCAAGAGTCTCGCTTTGGAATATCTCGACGTCAAGATCCAAGAAGGTGAACACAGCTCGGTACAAGACGCGAGGGCTGCTGTTCAACTGTACAACATGTTCAGGAAACAGTGGGAGATCAAAGGTGGAAATAGGAAAAATGCCAGAATAGATTCTCACTTTGAACGTACTAACATGCCTAGGTACACCCAAGATATCGCACAAGACACTTAACAGACATAATAAAATAAAAAAATTATTATAATCGTTTTATTGTTATCATAGTATGTATATTTGAGACTTGATGAAATTGTACATATTTATTGGAGAGTTAAAACAATGTCTGCCTTAATTCGTGATAAGTTTTGTACTGACAATTGTAAAAAATGGAAAATAAGTAATAAATTAATTTCAGATTTTGTAAATTCTTCCCCTTCTAAACTGATGCCCAAACCACTTCTGATATTTTTCACTTGAACTACTTTTTTTTAAAATTATTATATAATATTTCTTATATAAAATCAACAATCTTTACAATAAGAAAATTTCCAATAACTGTACAACTTTACAAGACAAGTGAAAGCAGAATTAACAATCCGATTTTTTGAAACCATGAACAATTTTTCACATGATCAGTGGTGGGCAAATATGGGGCTTTTGGTTAAATGCGGCTCTCGTTAAAATATATTTATTACATTGATTAAATTTTAGATGATGTTCTTGGTTTAGAAGTGTGCATGGGTATGTTGTAATGATAGTAGACAGTAGACACAACTTCCTCTGGGGGTTGAAATCTTCTTTGGCCCCGAAGAAGGTGAACGGAGCCAGATCTGTTCGTTAGGTGTCTCCCAGTTAATAATGTAAGAGCCGATGCTTCTGCAGGTAACTGTGAGATTCCATTGATGTTTCACAGCTCTGGAACTCAATCAAAACAGTTGCAGGTTCACCTTCACCCTGGATGGGTCAATAGACAACAGGGTGAAAAAATATCGTTTTTGAGGGTAAAAGCGATCCTCAACACTAAACATACGCCAGACAATGATTTTTTTAAATGGGTTATTTGGCACCCTGAATTTTTTTTTAATGTCCCAATGAACTTTGCATATTAGCCAAGGAACGTGATCGTCATATGCAATTTGTATTCTTGACTTTTTTTGAGGGGGGAAGCGTAGCATGAAAGAGCCAGGGGCAACGGTGCGAATCGAACCCATGACGAGCCGATAGTATCACACTGACCACTCGGCTACCACAGTCCTCCTGCAAACCTCTGTTGATCGAGCATTTGTGTAAAAAAATTGTATAAGAAAAATGCATATGATGATTAACATAAAAATGAATTTTAATTTAATCGAGGTATCCTTATTAAGAGTTGTGAGGTTTAATAAAGTTATATATTTGATCATTTTAATGGAAGGATTCAACTTACGAAGTCAGTCATTATTATTGAAGGATTTCCAATGAATATTTTCATGTCATATAAATTTGTAAAATTTAGGTTTATTTGGGTGTTTATCACAATAACGAATAACTACATTTTTGAAATATGGACTTCTGTAATATATCTCCCAGTAGATAATCTTGATTTATCACCTAAAAGCAATTTATTTACCCAAAACCCTATAATTAATCTGTAACACTTCCACAAAAACTATTCAGATATCCAAAAACATTTTTGTAAGTATTAAATTTAATTATAGCAGAAACAACATTAACAAGGATTTTTATTTGGGTCCCAACATGTCTTCAGGACGAACCCACTTATCAAATTCTTCAGCTGTTAAATAGCCTAGTTTTAATGCTGTTGCTTTAAGAGTAGAATTTTCTTTATGGGCAGTTTTGGCAATTTTGGCAGCCTGCAACCAAAATAAATTACATATACAAGATGTAAATTAAAAATAAATAAATAATTTACCTTATCGTAACCAATATGAGGGTTGAGTGCAGTGACCAACATTAGAGATTCATGAAGCAACTTTTCAATTCTATCTTTATTAGCGACGATACCGTCGACACAGTTGGTAGTAAAAGCTTTAGACGAATCACCGAGCAATCTGATGGACCTGAGGACGTTTGACACCATCATGGGCTTAAAAACATTGAGTTCAAAATGACCGTTGCTCCCTCCGATTGTGACAGCCACATGGTTGCCCATTACTTGTGCTGCGACCATCGTGATCGCTTCACATTGTGTCGGGTTCACTTTTCCTACGATTAATTATTAATCAATAACAAATGCATACTGGATCATAAGCTATCAAATTACCTGGCATGATTGAAGAACCAGGTTCATTTTCAGGGAGTGAAAGTTCCCCGAGTCCACATCTAGGACCAGAGGCAAGAAACCTAATATCATTTGCAATTTTCATTATGCTAACAGCAACTGTATTCAAAGCTCCAGATACTTCAACCAGAGCATCATGTGCTGCCAAGGCTTCAAATTTGTTCGGAGCCGATTTGAAAGGTAAATCTAAAAGCCAACAAAGGAATAAGCTATTCTACTACTCAAAAATAAAATGAAATAGTGAACTTTATTTTGCGGTTAAAAAAGTTATGTACTTTTAATACTGACTTGTTAGTTCGCTAATTTTTTGTGCACATTTCTCAGCGAACCCGATCCTTGTGTTAAGACCTGTTCCGACAGCTGTGCCACCGATGGCAAGTTCATAAAGCCGAGGCAGAGTCCCTTTAACACGCTCAATTCCATTTTTCATTTGTTGAGCATAGCCACTAAACTCTTGGCCTAATGTGAGTGGGGTGGCATCCTACAACAATATATTTAAATATTTTGCAATTTTATATCTATATATATCTATTTATAATACATCTAATAAATATATTTTACCTGAGTATGCGTGCGTCCAATTTTGATGATTTTAGCAAATTCTTTGGCTTTTGCGTCTAGAGCTTTGTGCAAAAGTTCAAGGTTTGGAAGGAGTGTGCAATTGAGCTCGACAGCCACTGCAATATGCATGGCAGTCGGAAACGTATCGTTTGAACTTTGAGATTTGTTGACATGGTCGTTCGGATGGACAGGAGTCTTTGAACCAAGTTTACCACCAAGCATTTCAATTGCTCTATTGCTTATGACTTCATTTGTATTCATGTTGGTTTGAGTACCAGAACCGGTCTGCCAGATTACAAGGGGAAAGTGGTCATCATATAATTTTCCTGAAATTACATCATCTGCAGCTTTCGAGATGGCATCGGCTATCTTTGGATCTAATCCGTACTCTTTGTTGACCAAAGCCGCTGCTTTCTTTAGTGTGCCCATAGCCATTATAACAGGATACTGAAACATTTAATAAGATAATAATTATCATTTGTTTCTTGTGCATTTGACACAGCAAAAACATAAAACTAGTGATTGATGTCTTTGAATTACTTTTATTGGAACATAACAAATAGTACTGCTCAGAAAGCCCAAAATAAATTATATTCTGTTAACAAATATATTTTCTTGTGTTACAGAGTAGTTCACAATAATTTGTAAATCCCTTAAAATAAAACAGAGAAGAAAGTTCAATTTTTGGTGAAGAAAGGAGAACTGCTTGTGGTATTGGAACCAAAATAAACCAAATTTTTGAATTCCCCATTAAAATCGATGTCTGATATTTGACATCTGACCCTCACATCGACAAAGATAAACTTTTGTAAGTTACATAATTTTTTTTAAAGAACAAACATTTTTATCTATACATATTTAAAAAAAAAAAAAAAAAAAAAAAAAGAATTTGCTTATAACCAGTATTTTGTAGAACATATTATGAAAAGAATAGGGAAAGTTTCAGATAAAAATGTAACCATATTGTAAATTGGATTAATTCTGTAAAATATATTATTATTACATAATCAAATCTGGTTGTACAATTTGACAAGTAATGTGTCCTTTTAACTAAATTATGACATTACAATTTTGTCATAAAAAGGCAAATATTATTATTTTACAGAAAACAGAGACAATGGTTGGACAAGGGAAGTGAATCCCATCATTGTATCTGTACTTTATCAAGCAAATGTATTGTAAATAAATTGGTAAAATCGTAAATGACAATAACAATTTTAAAATAAATTAATTTAAAACAAACTATATGCTTTATTTATTTGCTGTGAATGTGTGTCAAAACAGTACTATACGAACCGGCATTCTTTCCGTGACTCCTCCAATAGGAAAATTCATGGTAGACCTTACTGTTTGAGCTCCATAATATTTATCTTCTGGAACTTCAAGCTCTCCAAATGTATCACTTTCTTTTCTGACGTTCTTGTTCTGTAACACAAAATTTAGAGATTAAATTGTCTTGTTATCATAAATAAATTGGTATAATTTCTAAAACATAAAATATTTATATTAACGATGTATAATAAAGGAATTCAAGGTTAGATGAGAGGATAATAATTTTATTGAGTTCTAAACCAACAACTGTGAAGAACAACCAAATTAGAGGACTGACGGTTGACTTAAAATCAGTAAGGAATGAATTAAGGATAGATGTACCAGGTAAAGAAAAGTTGTGCTGTTTTTCATTTATTATTGTTTTAATATTATAAATGAACCATGCTCTGATATGCATTATGTCCTGAATGGCGATGAATTGAGGGAAGCTATGGAACTTAATTGGTGTCAAAAATCGTGGAGTGTGCCAGTGTTCAACATAAACAATGAAATTATTCATTCTAGCTTACGTCAACTCGTCTCAAGAAAGTGAAGGAGAGTTTTGTTGCCATTGAAGTACTTTGTGGACAGAGTACCATTGGTAATTAGCTGGAGTTGTGAATGGTGTGTAGTGTTAAAAGGGCACTCAGTATTCCTAATATGGCCATTTTGTTGAACTTATCTACACTTAATAATGATATGTTGCTTATAAGGCTATTCAACTTTTATTTTAGATAATTAATCTTTTTATGTAAGTTTTGGTTGAAATGAAAAAGTTAGTGTCACGAGCCGGATTCAAACCCATGACCTTCAGCTCGGTGGGTTTTTTTTTTTCATTTCAACCAAAACCTTACATAAAAAGATTAATTAATTGAAAGAAGTAATTTGGTCAATCAGAACACTAAATATAATGGATTTTATTTTAGTGTTGCAAAAATTTCTACAAATATCTCAAATTTATTTTTATTTGGAATGTGAGAAAAAAAAGCAAAAGATTTGTCTTTAGTACATGGTGAGTTGTTTGGTTGGGAAGCCATTTAATTCCTCTTCATTGACAAAGGTCTGTGAGGTTGGAATTTTTATCTTTTTCATTTTCACTTGTAAAAACTTGTTCATTTTTTGATCAATGGACACGTATGGTATTAACTGTTCTTGATTAATAACCAGCTCATCTCACCCTGTAGTTGAAATGTTTGGAGTCATCCTAAAAGGAAAGTCAATTTGCTCAGCCTCAAAATATTTTGCTTTTAAATTTGTCAATGATAACATTTAATGGTTGTCTATTTGGGGCTTTTCCCCTTGGCAAGTGAAACCATGAAGTCAATAAACTATTTTCAAATCTGGTTCACTAGTTAATTTAAACAGGAAAAAGTTCTAAGTTTAACAGAAAGTACGTTTACTGTGTCATTTTTTGACTAACCCAATCTTGAACCCAAACCACCAAAGTTTCTTTGGCCTGTAATTTTAATAAATCATTTACCCCAAATCTTAGTTTCTTGAGTCACAAATGACAAAATTTCACCTTGGTAGAATATAGCAGGCTTGAGTTAAAAATAAGATAAAAACTGCTAAAAAGATGCATTTTTCTTTCAGTCTTTTTCACTTGCATTATACAGAAAAGTACTATTTATCAGGGGTTAATTAATATACTAGTGTTTTGGTTTATTTATATTACTCAGTAATAATAGATTTTTAATGAAAAAATATATAAAATCCAACATAATTTTGAAAAATATTAAACGTGAACAACAAAATTTGTAACTTGTTTATTAAAAATCATTATCACACATTAAACCTAATTTCATTAGATTTGATTGCTGTTCCAACTATAGTAGTATAGAAAGGAGACCAATTTTCCAATTTAAAATAATAAAACCAAAAAAGATTCTAAAATAAAATTGAATAACACAATTAGATTAAAATTCAATATTTAGCAAAAATGCAGGTTTAACAGACAGCCAAAAACAGTTTGGAATGATTTTGTTGAAGAAATGTTATCTCATGCTAATAATTTATTCAATATAATCCAGTCTAAACCTGTTTGAAACTTAGGTTTTTTTTTGCTTTTTAAAGACTTTTGAGTTGCATTGAGTCACCAAACAGGAATGCATTATTCTATAAATTACGTATGCTGAGGATTATCAAAAAATTTATATTCAGGAAACTGAATCTGTCATTGGGAAGAGTAGAAGTGTAGAAATGATTGAGGTGGAGTGAGTATATTGATACACTTTTTGTAAAGGATTTCAGTGAGAATAAGAAAAAAATAATTAAAATAATAATAAATAATTTACGAATAGAACCATCCTTTACAGAAAGAAAGGAGAGGTGTCACTTTTATTTCACGTTTTCTCAGCTTAGACATGTTTTTAAAACCAAAACCCTCAAAGGGGAGTAGTCTTATTTAATGACGTCCGAAAGTAAGGATTTAATTTTTTCCAAAACTTTTCCACCTTCATTTTTCTTAGGACCTAGATGATGGTTTTATTGTTTCGGATGTACTCAGTAATCGACATTCTACAGCTGTTGAAATCAAGAGAATTCAACAAGTTAGAAACGTTAATGCCAGTTTAAGCACTTAAGACAAAGACTTTCAGAAGCTGGATTACTCACACTGCCACTGGTCCAGAATTTCTGACTAAGCACAGAACAGCATGATTAAGTATTGCAAGAAATCACATCAATTAGTCTGAGGTCTTCTGACAGTCGAGAGAGTGTTTGGAGAAGAATAGGAGAGTGATCCCCGCAACAGTTTCACTCTAGAAAGCTATAGAGGTGGTTGTTATGGTTTGGGCAGGTATTTCTACGAAAGGTCGCATAAGCTTAATCTTGATCAAGAGTATCTACATTGAAAATGTGTTATAGAAGTTGTTCCTTATAGGCCACTAATTAGTGACGGTTTTATTTTTATGCAAGGTTCCACAGAGTTAGGAACATTGGTGACTTGGAACCGGTTTCAATTCAATGTTTGGAGTGGCCAGTATATAGTCCTGACATAAACCCTTTCAAAACACCTTTGGAAAGAGTTGACAAAGAGGGTAAAAAGTCTCCCAGTGATGCCAGAGAATTTACATGAATTAAGAAGGGCGCTGTCAAAGGAGTATGAAAATATTCCACAACATTCAAACCATTTAAAATTTTGAATTGAATCAATTTTTTTTTTTAAATCGATGCAACGTCGAATGTAAGCAGTGATCAATGCAAGAGGAGATAAAAAAAGTTAAGGTAAAAATTGAGGAATTTGAAGTTTGGCAGAGATTAAACATAGTTGAGGAATGCCAAAGTTAACCTAATGTTAATAATGTAAAAATTGGGGAATTTGAATTTTCACAGAGTTTAAACATAGTTGAGGAATACCAAAGTTAAACTTATGTTAACAAGGTAAAAATTGAGAGTTTAAACATAGTTGAGGAATACCAAAGTTAAACTTATGTTAACAAGGTAAAAATTGGGGAATTTGAATTTTCACAGAGTTTAAACATAGTTGAGGAATACCAAAGTTAAACTTATGTTAACAAGGTAAAAATTGTGGAATCTGAATTTTGGCAATGTTTAAACATAGTTGGGGAATACCAAAGTTAAACTTATATTAACAAGGTAAAAATTGAGGAATTTGAATTTTGGCAGTGTTTAAACATAGGGAGAGGAATACCAAAGTTAAACTTATGTTAACAAGGAAAAAATTGAGGACGTTGAATTTTGGCAATGTTTAAACAAAGATGAGGAATACTAAAGTTAAACTTATGTTAACAAGGTAAAAGTTGAGGAATTTGAATTTTGGCAGTGTTTAAACATAGGTGAGGAATACCAAAGTTAAACTTATATTAACAAGGAAACAATTGAGGACGTTGAATTTTGGCAATGTTTAAACATAGATGAGGAATACTAAAGTTAAACTTATGTTAAGGTAAAAGTTGAGGAATTTGAATTTTGGTAGTGTTTAAACATATGAGAGGAATACCAATTTCATTGTAATAAAATGAATCTCCTTTTTAAAACTTAAATAAGACGTTATAAGGTAAAAATTGTAAATAGTCAAGTCTAAATATAGATGAGAAAATTATTTCGTCCTACCATGACGGTTGTCGAGGATAACGGTGCCGTCCGGTTGAGATCGAGGAAAACTCTGATGGGTTTGAGAATCAATCCCCTCCCGCCTTTCTCAATAAGTTGTATAACATTTACTGCCATGGTCGGTCAGTTCTGTAAATCAGCCGGGCCGGTGGAAAGACGAGAGAAGGACGAAAAGATACTCGGCAAGGATCGGGATCAGAGGTCGACAGATATCTCACTGACCAGTGCCTTTATCCTTATCGCAAGTGAATTTGTGACTTTCGCCACTAGGTACGCCCTAATTTTGAATTCCCCCCAAAAATTTTTTACTTATTTTTTATACAATTTTAATCAAATTTGCAACCATCTAGTAGAATTATATAAGTTGTGCTCGTACTTAGTTTCTGATTTCAACAATTTTTCTGCATGAACCAATTCGACTAACAAGAGTGCAAAAAACATCTTGACAGTAATTTTTTTCATTTCATAAAGTTTACATTTATGGAATACATATATACATACTTTTAATTTTCTACATAAAACTCTAATAATAATAGTTTTTAGTTGCAATATACAACAGAATTTGCATATCCCTGACATTGTTACTTTGGTCGTTACACTTGGAACATCATTTCAGCTGATTATTTGATACATGTTCTTTTAAATTTATTTTTAACTAACAGTAAATTTATCCAAAAAATATTATATATAAAAATCACATATATAGTCCTATTAAGTTGTTACCCGTTCATTCTAAATTATTCGAAAAATTAATTTACAAAAGAATTATCTTTATTCCTACTACAAACCTCTTAACAGAACATCAATTTGGTTTTCGAACCCATCATTCCACTATTCATCAACCTTACATAGTACAGATTTCATTACTTCATGTCTCGAGTAGAAACGAGTGTTTCGAGATGATTCTCAGGACAAAGTATGGCATGAGAGATTATTATATAAATTAAAACTATTTTACCCCAGGCTTATTATCTAATTATACAATCATATCTTAAAAATTTTTGCAAAAAACCAGGGTACGGAGACTTCTAAGATGGACAAATGCTTGCAGGTGTGCCACAAGGGTCAATACTTGCTCTGCTGTAGTATACAATTTTTACTTCTGATATTCCCACAAATGAGAATGCAGTTACCATCACACAAGCAGATGACACTGCCATATTAACAAGTCATCCCTCTTTTACATAAGCTTCACTTATGTTACAAAACCACATATTAATAATTAAAAATGGAGCAATCTTTGGAAAATAAAGTTTAACCCCTCAAAGTGACAACGTATCACCTAGATCTTTCTCAATCCAATGAACTAATTATTTGGAACTTATATTTGATAGAAGACACACAATTTAAAAAAACAGACACTCAACAAATGATTTAAAAGGCTTTATTGCCTACTTAACCAACAATCAAAATTAACATTAAAATCAAAACTCTCGCCATACACATACTTACTCAAACTAATTTGGATGTTTAAGGAAAAGTTTATGGACCGGACAAATATTCCAATACTCAGATATTACAAAATTTTCAATCCAAAATTTTATGACTAATTGTTTCTGCCCCTTCTTACTTAAACAATAATAATAACACACTTTACAGAGATCTTCTCGTGCCAACAGTTTTTTCATCCATCAAAACATATTACAAACATTCTTATAGTAAATTTAAAAATTATACTGACACACAAATGCAATTTCTCCATTCTCCACAATTACCACGTAAGTGACTGAAAAGAATATGAATAAGAATTGAAATCCAATGTGCTGGTTGTATACAATACACATACAATCTATGTGTTATACAAATTAATTATACACAAATTATATACAAAACAATTAAATGAAGAAAAAAAACTAGTTTTATAACCCTGTGTTGCCCAGGGGGATAATAAAAAGTGTTACTTAATACATTATTTTGAGCACACATATTGCTATTTAAAGTTAGGAGCATAATTATATAAATTAAATGAACACAATTGGATGATTGATATCAATGATTGTATTTAGTCATTTAGTCAGTTTGCATTGTATTAAATTGTAATTATTGTTGTATTCAGTGTTAAATTCATTATAATATTCTTGGATATACAATGTTTTTGGTGATGCCATTTGGCATATGTACAAACAACAAATCCCTATCTGTAGCATGCAATGCATGCCCGTGAGAAAACCATGGATTCTCCAAATTCAATCCACATAATAGCAATGATTGACCTTGTGATTTGTTTATCATTACAACAAAAACCAGTTTAATTGGAAAGGCACTTCTGTTGGTATCATTGGTATATGTTGCATTAGCACATCCTCTCCTTTGAGAGTTAGTAAGAATATTAATTGATTCTAAAATGATTGATGTAATTTTATGTGGTTGAGAAGAAAAGATTAGTATCACGAGCAGGATTTGAACCCATAACCTTCGGCTCAACACGCCGCTGCTCTAACCACTTGAGCTATCATAACTTCGGTACCCCCAGACACCAACTCATCACCTCAACCTACAACTTTTTTCAAATTCCTCTCTTTTTTGCCTCATATTTAAATTATGTGTAATAATTTTTTTTTATATTCTTGATGAACTTGAACCAATGAAACGAATCAATACCTCACTAACAGCTTCCCATAGCCACTTCAAGTTCCTTGATTCAACAACGATGAGGATTGGTAGGTAATGTTGAGGATGACAATTCGTGGATTAAGAGGTTTGAGTGATTGGGTAATTTAGAACAAAAATTGTTGTAACATAATTGGTCAAGGTTATAATGGGATTTTTAAGTCTATCATAATCGTAAGGTTAGATATATAGAAGGGAGCATTAACTACCGTTCGAGGAATTTTAGGTTGTAAGTATTGTAGGATTGGAACGCTTAGCCCTTCTGTCCAGTTCAGGTGCGTATGTCCAAAATGGTGCTGGCAGGGCAGTGTATAGTCTTTTTTTGTTTGTTACTATAGTTTTAGCAGTCTGAATCTTGTATTTACATTTTTACATTTGGGTCTCATATGGGGATTTTATGTAAGATACCTAGACAAAGAAAAAAAATTACAATTGTTGGTACTACATACAGTCCACAAATTATATTACTTCACTTTCTTTGATTCCTTGAGACTTGTTTGTTTTGCCTAATGTACTGGACTTTAGAAAACAACTGAAATGTATACTAATACATGTGACAAACGAATACTTCGGACCTTCCTTGAAATTTAGACACTCCTATTGAAAAAATATCTGAAATAACTCCATACAGTGCAAATAAGATGACTATATACAAACTTGACTTTTATTCCATAAAAACAAATTATTATAAAAAAATAAATTATAAACAAACTGTGAAATCCTTCATATTTACCTGCTTATATTCATGAATAAAAAATTCGTAAATATATACAGTGGTTTTTGCCACTTTTCCCTTAATTTTATTCTGTAACTAAGACCTTTAAACATAATCTAGGCGATTCAACAACATTAAGCCTTCGTTTTTAACTTTTTTTTCAAGTTGTTCTTGTTTAATTTACGTCTCTAGATAATGTAATATGCAATTGTCAGTCAGATTTATAAAATACAATTACCATTTTTGACTTTTCTCTACTTTCTGCTCAATATCCTTTTGAGTGTTATAAGCTTTCCTGCATTTATTGATATGTTCTTATTAAAAAGAATTGTTAGATATTTCATACTATTAATAAATATGCAATTTAGTTATTACCAGTAAGTTTCGTCTGCCCATCTTTGCTGAAGGCCAAATGATCACATTTCATCACCCCACAGACGGCAAGGAAAAATCTCACAGAAATACTATTACAATAAAATCTGTAAAAACTCAGCCATTATCCGTTGTATCACTTAAAATGTGTGACGTGTTATTTTTTTGCATCGATAGTGCAGGCTGGGGCCTAGGAGGTTTCTCAATTCTGATAAGACATTTAGAGGCAATAGCCAACTGCCAGATACAGTTTAATTTCTGTAAGTTTTGTCAAGTTGTTGGAGATCTAAACGGAGTCATAATTGAATCGAAGTGTGAATAAAATCAGATAGGGAAAAAAATGTCTTTCTCGGATTTTCAAGATTACAACGTTAATGTGGACAATCCTCAAAAACATTTTGACCCGATGGAAACTTATGTCTCTTTTCGCATTACAACAAAAGTGGTAGGAATTTTAAATTGTTAAAACCATTAAATGACATTAATTTTACTGTATTTTCTAGGTGAAACAAAACGCCAAACCAGATTCAGAATATATTGTAAGAAGGAGATACAACGACTTCGTTTGGCTTAGAAACAAATTAATCGAGTCCTTTCCCACGCTGGTTGTGCCGGTAAATTTATGTTCATTATATCTAACACAAACATAAGTAATTCAAAATAAAGCTTTATGTTTGCAGGCTCTACCTGCTAAGCACAGTGTTTTGGAACAGTTGGACAGATATTCAAGACCTTTTATAATGACGAGAATGGCCATGTTGCATTCGTATTTACAAAGACTGACATCTCACCCTGTATTCAGCTGTAGCCCAGTTTTAGAATTGTTTCTTAGAGCACAGTCACTAAATGTAAGTTCAAACATAGAAGTATATAAAACTAGTGGCCTGTTGGAACAATAGCCCCATTCTTTACTCGGAATCAAGGAATTATATGATTTATGAATGTGGGAAAACAGATTGCGTATAGCAAGTTGATAGTAAGTAGATTGTAACATTGTTAGTCGTTCATGACAGTTTTGTTTTATCATGCTGTTATGGGTCATTTTTGGGTCACATACCGGCATGGGGATAGATCAGTGGGTTCACAATGAGGGCTTAAAACAAATTAACTTTGGACCGCTATGACGATAGTGCACAATTTGTCAATGACCTGGCGGTTCTCGTTCCGAAAAATGAAAAACTCCAGCTATTTCTTATGCTGTAAGTTTGTTAAAATCACACACACATTCATCGGTACACTATTAACAAAATGCTAGTTCAAGTTAAAACTTTCATCTTGCAGTCCTTTATGCTTCGGCATAAGGGTTTTTAGCCAAAATGCCACCAAGGGCTATCGATATTATGTTTTTTTTTCCTGGGTGTCCTGAAGGCACATCCACAACTTTGGAGAAGTCTAGAAAGTAAAATTGGCTGTATGACTTCACTATCACATGGTAACTAATCTGATCAGTGAATCTGCCCTTGTATTTTAAAACAGTAAGGTCCAACTCCTGAAAATTCTTTCCTTGTGGCAGAAAAACAGGCAAATGCCAGTTCACTGTTGTAATTCGGTATATCATTCATAAAATTTGGACAATTAAGGAATAGTTAATTAGCTTCAAACTGATTTTTGGTTCTGGAGTGAAATAAGGACATTCTGGCAGTTACAGTGTAGTTACTGTACTTTTCTGTAATAAAAAAAATAGTAAAACAGTAAATAAATATAATACACAATAACACAACAATATTGGTACTGCAACGGTTGTTTTTGGTTTTTAGTACTGCAACATACTGTAACTGCAAGGCATATAGACATACACAACGGCTGACGGGTGACTTACAAAGTTTGAATCCCAGTGTTAACCCCCACCAGTCATATTTTAATTATTTATTTACTCATAATTAATTATTTACACATTTGATAATTTGCTGGATAAATTTGAGGTTAGGGCTTTCGTTTAAGCCATAAGGAATGAAAATGTGCAGGAGTTTACCCATAATTTTGATCGGCATTTCGGGCATTCACAATTATACATAAAGATTATATGTTTTACCTTCATCAGTTGATATTTAATGCTAAGTTAACACGACATAATTTTGTCATTTATTCATTACTTTAGGGGCATTGGTGGCTGCAACGGTGTAGCCGTTGACACTTATTCATCACAGTATAAATTGGCTTCTTTTTTTCAAAAACATTAATTGATATGACCTCTGCTGTTGTGACCTCGTAAAAAATTAAAATTTGAATGAACACTAACTTCTATCACTAAAAAACGAAAAATATTGTTATATTTGAAAATATGAAAAAATTCATTATAATTTCTAATTGAAAAGGAATTTTATGATGTGACAACCTTTTTGAAATTTAATTAAATGTAGTTTTTTATGTATTATTTTGTTATGTTTATTTAAGTTTATTGTTCTTTGCATAGTTTGTTTGATTTGTATTTATCTGTAATTATTGTTGACCAAGTTCATATAATTTGTAAACATATTGTTTGTCCTTGAATATTTTGATTGATTTAAGCTAATGGCTTACACAGGTGGAAACAAGCAATTGACTCTAAAACAATTGATTAGCAAATTAATAATTATAATAAAAATTTCCTTAAATCATTACTTTAGTGTAATGAGTAGACACAAGCAGTGAAAATGGTCTGGGCGTTATGTGATAAGTAGTGATAAATCCTTTCAAAACAGTTATCTAATTTGAGCTTGGTCATTTATGATAATTTCGCCAATTAAGTACTATGGACACAAATTTTAAAAATCAAAGGAAACAATTTTTATGTTTTAAATCCTATGATGGACCCTATGCCTCGAAAATGCTTTTTAATTTAGAAATGTTGGATACTTCGTTAAGTGTCACTTCACTAATTTCTTTATGCTTTATTATTCCTTTGTAATAATTAAAAAAACAAAAATACAAAAAGTGTTATTGCTTTTGTGTCGCTACCACATCATGGTTAAGGCTTCACTGTTCTCCCATGTCTGATTTTTCTTGACAGAATTGGCAATTCTTACCTGAATGAGTAAAAAAGTATTCTTATTTTAATAAATAAAGGATTTTTTTTTTTGGGGGGGGGGTTGAATAAGGATTTTAAGAATCTTTTCTTCCACTGTGACCGATATAGATCTATTGTGGGACCCCTGTAAATAACCCCACCTTGAAAAAAAAAACACTTTTTCATATAAACTTTCACACACACTTTCCTTGGCGCCTCTTAGAGTACCTCTTTTGTATGAGAATTGCCTTACCGAAGTGGCTGTACTGCAACCAGGCTAATGCTTACATTCACAAAGAATATGTGCCAGTGTCAACAGTTCCTCCTGACAGAATTGGCATATTTCTGTCTCTGCATTGTCCATCTTCTTGTAGTAGTTAAGAGGGGAAGGAAGCTGAAAGAAAGGAGTTCCTTCGCCTTCCTTTTTGTGCTTTCCTCATACCTGGTGTTTTTGCCCAGTGTTTTAATTTTTCTTTCTCATGCTATTTGTCCATTTCCAACATAGGCACATTCGTGGGTGAGAGAGCTGCCCTCTTTTTTAGCGAGTTATTAGTCTTTTCATTTCTTTCTGTGCCTTGTCCCAGAACACACGTTAAAGTCACTTGTTGTGTTTTTCTACAGTAATCAGGCAATTTAGGCACTCCTAGACAAGTTTGAAGGTAAAATCATTCACATTTAGTCCTTTATGGCTGCCTGACTATCTGAGAGTATGTAAATCTTTGCATATTTTTCTTTATTAATTCCCGTGTACATTCAGTTTGAAAAATTGTTGGGATTAGTCCAAGGGGTTTTGCTCTGGGGTATATTTAATATAATATTTACTTTTTTGTTATTTTATCAAAGAACAATTTAATGTTTGTTTATGTATAGAATTGAATAATAAAAATAATACTTTCTGAAAATTAAATTAAATATATGTTAAATTAATATCATAAAAACATAAATTGATGTCTGTGAAGTTTTGTACATATTTAGTGGTTTCCAATTATCTTAGTATTGGCAGACGGATCAAAGATCCATGTCCTTAAATGCTTTGAAATCACAATTGTCATTTTTCCTTTCTTAAGTTTCTTAAGCCCTGCCAATTCATGCACACTGGGGACTGACAAGGAACAGTTTTTCGTGCCTTTCCAGTCGACATCCACACATAAAAACTTTCTTCTTACAAGAAGAAATTGTATGTCCTAAATCTAAACATTTAAAACACCGTAGGGGAGCAGGAATAAATGGTCTTACGGCAATTTTCATGTAGGCAACATACAATTCTTTTGGAGGACATGGGGTATTGAATGTGACAACCTATGAAAAAGATGTCCTACCATCTTTTCTTTTTAACCGATAAATGCTTATGAGAACTCTTTAATTCTTTGAGGAGTTCTTCATCAGTACACTCTTTCAAGTCCCAGCAAGAAATAACACCTTTTGAGGTGTTCAATTTTACATTTCTTTCAACCTTTTATTATTATTATTATTATTAATTTTTAAGGGCGTTATTATTATTATCATTAATTTTTGCCTATCCTCACTGGTTGAATAGGTCAGCATATGACAACTATGTTAAAACAGCAAGGGTAGGTACACCAGGATGATCGGAAACCACCAAACTATAAACTAAACATTAGTACATAAATGGCACTTAACTATTTTAACTATTGATTAATTATTCACTTGATTATAAACATAACATTTATAAATTTCATTAGTTAATTATTTAAGTTAATTAGTTAAAAAATAAAGTATTCAACTACTTGAAAAATCTCATAAAAATTCACTTTTTTCAAAGACAAATACTCATTTATTTGTTTTGCGATTATAAAACGTGAAATTTATAATTCACTGCCAGAAACTGATTAACTCCAATTGATTCCATCCAAGAATAGAAATGAAAAAAACAACAACTCAAAATCAGTTTTTCAAATAAAAAATAGTTTGTTCTCTTGTGCAGGATGTAATGAAACAGTCAAAATCTTCACAAGGAATATTTGATCGACTCACTGATTCTCTACACACGTTGACAGGATTCAATACGAGAAACTGTGCCCATCCTGAATTTGAAAATATAAAAATCTATGTTACCGCATTGTCACAAAAGCTGGGTTCAGTGCAGGAAGTTGCAGCTAAGATTAATAAGGAAAGAACAGGTATTAAATCAGTAATGGAATTAACCGTTCAATTTACTTTTAATCATTTAGTATTTTAATTTTCAAGAAATGGCTTTGGATTTTGAGGATGCTCAACGGTCGATCACCCATTGGTCTTACCAAGAACCAGACTTGGAGGAATTATTGAAAAGTATTGCTGAGGCAATCGGGACAATATCAAAATCTCAAAACACTCAACTTCTTCAAACTTACAACACTCTCATCGACCAAGTAAGTTTCATTAGAAAAAAAAAAAATTGTGTGCAAAAATTTTATATGTGGTTATTTCAGCCCCTGGAAGAATACTGTAATTATATTGATGCCGTCAAAGAAGCTCTGTGTAGACGAGATATGATACAGTACAATTATGAGAGTACATTAGACGACTCTAAAAAGAAACGAGCCGAAAAGGAACAAGTAAATATAAACTTTTTTTATGTTGATGTACATACAATATTTATACACTTTATTATGTTCTAGTTAGAAAATTTACAAGGCAGTACAAACGGATTTGGATTTAAGCTATGGAAAGTAACAAATAGGGAGAAAATAAGAAAACTCCAACAAGACCTTCCAGCGCTTGATCAGTTGGTTGAGGTGTGGAAAATAAATTATTTTTTCTTACTGTGGTGTTATCATGCAGACAAAAAGAATTGTAATTTCAGTTAAACCAAATTGAAATGAGACAACTTTGGATCAAGCCTGTACAATTTTTGATGGATATTTGCATTGGAGATCTTAATACCAAAAATTGGTAGCGAATAGTGTTTAATATAGTGTTGGTGGACTTTTCGGTCTTGGCATCCCTGCAACTTGCCAGTCATTCAAGCTCAATGTCTTCATTGCTTTTTTAACGTCTGGCTGGGCTAACTGGTGTTATGCAGCGTTTTCGATGTTTCTTTCGTACTACACATATGAAAAAACAAAATTACACTTTTTTCTTTTCCTGTAACATACATATTTAAAAATAAGTATTCAAATTGTCTTATTTTATTTATTTATTTTTTAAGAAAGGGGTAAGTTATTATTTATTAAGCTGGCTAACTACTAAGGTCAATGTATTTTGTCCATCTCATATTATTTTTATGAGTCCATTTCAACATTTCTCTTCTGTCCTGTAAGTTTCTATATAGGTGACTAGATTTTCTTTTGACCAAACTGAGATAGTTATCTTTACTGGTTTTAACCTTTCCACATGTGGTGAGTTAATAATCAACTATTTTTACAAACGTACACACATAAATATGTACACAGTTCACAATCATACTACTGAAAAATATTAAACTAATCAATACTTGGTGGGTCTCATAGTGCACCCCTGAGGACCTACCCCTGCAACTAATTGGGGATTGGTAAAATGTACATCCTTTGCCAACTTCCTTCCATTCCCATCAATAAATACATTAGTAAGGATATCCTAAGTGCCTGAGTGGTTAGGGTGACCGACTCGTATTTGCCATGTCGATCCTGGGTTCGAATTCCAACACAGCTTATGGTTTTTTTATTGAGAGTAGGAGGAAAGAAGTATTGTAGAGTGATTTGATTGATCCCTTGTCCACCCAACAGTTTGATATTAAGCACTCCTGTATGACAGGAATTACTTTACAGGACTTCCTTTCAAAACAGTATGTACAATTTAAAAACTGATGAAACCCTGAGCTTTTGACATTGTCCGGTGTCTCACCATCCTATCACACTCCTCGCATCCATTATAGTAATTAACCTAACTTGTTTGACAGGCAGCCTTTAGAGTATTCAATATTCTCAAAAGCTCATTCGTATACAATATGCTATATACTACATATACTCATGCTAGTAAATACATTCACTCTAGAAGAATTGACGGCATTTCAGCAAAATTATTACAACTGAAGTACCATCAACTTCTACATCATTATGTGGCATTTTCACTGCTCTGCCGGCCTTTTCATTTCCTTTTAGGCCAATGTGACCCGGAATCCACAGGATTGCGACCTCGCGTTCCGTTTTCCTTTAATACTATTATGGTTTCGTAGATATTTCTCTTAACAGGTTGTGGTTCTTTGTATCTTAGATTCTTTGTAGCTTGTAAAGCTTTTAAGAATATATAAGATCAGTAAACCAAATATACATATTACATAATTTTGCATTAAAAAAAATGCTATCAGAAGAAATAAAACATCTTCAGCATCAGTTGTTTGGCATGGTACTTTCCAGTCATGTTGTGGATGTTTGGGTTTAAAAAAAACAATCGAGTGAAACACGTAACGAGTAAGAATTAATGTGGAAATTTGAGTTGATATATCTGGAACCAACTGTTTGATTTCAATAAAACTCCATGGAAATGTGTCTGCCCTGAAATGATGGTTTGTGTGGTCTCAAATTGTTCAGTAGTTGGTTCAGCTAATGTAAAAATATATGCTGCTATATTAATATATTTATATAATAATTAATATATTTAAATTATCTAGCAGAAAGCAATGTCGATGCATTTTGAAATGAACTTTGTGCAGAGAGTTCTTACTTTTGTGATGACATTTGTCTTTTATTTTACAGACAAATCATGATAAAATGGAAATAGCAAATGAAAGTATTAAATCTGACTTGGAAAGGTGGAATTGTGAAAAAGTGGCAGAAATCAAAAGTATTTTTAGTAAAATTGCAGAGCAACATGTCCTTTACTATGAGGAGGTACTTATCATTTCAACAACTACAATTTTGTGTAAAAAACATTTAAAAAAGAAAGAAAAATATATCTTAATTTTTAATTATTTCCAGTGTGCAGAAGCATGGGAAGGGACATTGAAATTGCTTAAAGGGAATAACAAACAGTAACACCTGGGTGTATACTTGGATTTTTTAATTGGTAATTAATCTACATCACACTCTAAATGAATTTAAATCAATGCGATTATTATTTACATTGATATTTACAATGTCTTTTATCCACTTCTTTAAAATACTTTTAATCAGCATTACAAAAATCATAACAAAAATTATATAAATAAAATAAATCTAAAAACAGTTACTCCTTAATTTTAGGGCACTTAAACAAAGGCCTACTTAAAAATGAGCATTTGTTTCCCACTAATGAAGAGTAAGTCACAATATAATAAACAAAGTTGTGGACGCTGCAAGACAAAATTGGTAAAAGAAATTGTATATTTTATATAATAAAAATTATAAAAAGATGGAAGAATCTCATTTTGTTCCTCAACTAATCTCTTAAATGCTTTTGTACGAAAGCATAAGCTAATTTGACTGTCTCATATTACAATTGAAAAGACAGCAAATCGCATCAATTATTCTATAAGTATATAAAACTTGGTATAATAAATAGTATTTTTGTTTTTTGCTTCTTTAAATTTATTTAAAACAAAGGAATGCATTTCTTTTATCACTAAGCTTTTATTAAATTTACTCTATTGTGCAGACTTTTCTTTTTTAATACTCTAAATTTTTATATTGCTGACTTTTTGTTAAGTTTTAAAACCATCAGTTTTAATATAGTAACAATAAATACTCTTTAAAATTTAAAATAAACATCAAAACGGCTGTACCGCCAGTAAATAAAGACAATGTAGTAGAATATATTGCACCAACTTGTTTGACTGAAAAAAAATCTTTTATTAAGATAAGAAAAAAAAATTAGTGTTTTTCTTTGAAACATTCATACATTTTTGAATTCATAAATATTACACTGTTAGTAATTACATTTGCTTTTAAAAACAAAATAAAGAATAAATATAAACACAAACCTTTCATAAAAATAAAAACTTAAATAGTACTCTTCTTAATAACGGTTTCACTGGTGTTTGGCTAGAAATACTGTTACGAAAGCTGCTGTCATAAAAATAGATAATTGATTGCCATTGGTGATGGAAATAGTTAAGTATCAATTAATCAATTTTAGCGGGAACACTAATAAATTTTTATAATCTTCTTTTTTGATACAAAATCACAGATGAAGCCATTTTTATCGTCTTGTCATTTCTTCTTCTAAAGGAATGTACATTATAACCTTTACAACTCGTTCTTTAAATTTTTTTTTAGATATTGAGAAAGTTTGTCTCAGTCTATATGATTTTTCTTCTTACAATTTATTTAAATTCTTCTTTAATTCTTTGATAAACCTTAATCTGTACAGCTGGTCAATAGTACTACTGATGTGTAAAACGAACTCGGTGGCTGTTGTCCTTCCCAGAATGAAAAGTCAAATCTTCACTGCTACTCTCTGTAATAAGAAATAATATCAATTTATAAAAACATTGTAAGACAAAATGGTTAATACAATAAAGGTAAGAATACAAATCATAACAAATTGAAAAAAAAAAAAATTTGCTTATTATTTTACCTTATGACAATTTATAAAAAGGAAAATACCAACACGTGAGGAAAGTAGTACATTATTACAACCTAGAGTTTTGCAGGATACAAATTTCCATAGTATAATGAAAAAACGTGTACCAAATGAGTGGGCAGTTCTCACATTTTGTGCATTCGCATGCACATTTTTTACTCCATTAAGAATAAAATTCATAGATCATCTAGAAATCAACTTGCATAATTCCTGCAAATTTCATAAGAACAATGCGTTTGGTGATACAGCTGTGTTCAGGATTTTATGTTTGTGCATTCGCATTCACATATGTTTATCTGATTGGTATCATTAGAAAACAATTTTCATAATCCCTGAAAATTCCATAAGAATCCGACCAATGGTTTGGGAGATATAGCTGTATGTGGGATTTTAGGTTTGCCAGGAACCAACTTGCATAATCGCTGAAAATTTCATAAAATTGGGGTTCATGGTTTCAGAGTTTTGCCAGTTACGAGGAAATAACTACATCCAGACATGGAAAAAAATTGTTATGACTTCCCGCATGAATGTAAGGCCTAGTATGCACTGGTATTCTTTGAGTCAACTCTTTGAATCTCCGGAGAGTCTCGGCTGCGTCTAGCCTGAGTCCGGGCTGCCTCGACTACTCATTGTTGCGGGCTAGCATTTTCGGACTCTTGAATCCCATCTAATATGGGATTCTTTGACTCAATGTTGTGCAACATTTGCCAGTGCGGATGTGAATCGGAACAAGCGCTCTTGCTTCATTTATTTATTGTAGTGTTTTCTTGAAGATTTTGACAGTGTCTTACCTAAATAAAGTTTTCAATATGTTATTTCGAAACATACTTGATTCTTTGTGATTTGGTTTAATTTGGTTTATTATTGGGTTATATTTTTACCTTTTTATATACACTTTTATTACTTACTACAGCAATATATAATTTCCAAACATAAAAATATTTGATTATTTGCTTGCAATTCTTTACTTATCTTGATGTATTCTCTCAAACGATGAATGATGGCTTCGCACACTTCTGGAACGAACTCATATTGATTGTTTTGAAATCCTGAAGGTGTACATGAGGCTTGTATACGAGTCTCCACTTGTTAGGTACCGGAGAATGGCAGCTAATCTGTTGGCCGGAGAGATAGATTCCCGAAAGTTGATATCTTTCTTGGAAATTTGACCGCCAACTTTCAATAAAATGGTTTCGAAAACGGTCGAGGACATCCTCAAAAAATTTCTGAACCCTGCGCCATCATTTAATCACAACGTGTCTAAAAGATTTTTCCCGTGCTGATTCCCACCGTGAAATATTTGTCGAACCCACTATCTTTTTGGGCGTTTTTTTAATGCATCTCCGATTGGATTCACTACATACAATGCAAAAAAGAGCAAGGGAAATTCCTGAAAGAGCTAGTTCCTCTGTCATTTTCGCAGGCACTGATGAATGTGAACTGAATCTTGGTCTGGACACGATTTTTTGTTGGGGCTGCGTCGCAACAATGAATCTACGCAGCCGCGACTCTGCCCTGCAACATGAATCGACTCAAAGAATTCCAGTGCGTACTAGGCTTAAGGCTTCCCTACCTCAGGTAGGCTGGAAGCAAAACGATGTAATAATATATCAAAGAATACATCATCAAGATTAAATTTCAAAACCAAAGGGAACACAAATAATTTGAATTATCAAAAGGAAAATATTAAAGAGTTGATATGCATTTTTGAAAGTTCTTGCTGAAATGTTCATATGTATATAAAACATTGTAAAAATAATGAAAAAGTGAAAATAGATCAACTTAAAAATCAACTTTTGCTATGCATTATTTAAAAAAAAAAAAACTATAAAAACAGAAGACACATGAAACACATTGAAAAAGTAGTTGTTTTAACAATTTTTAGGTTTCTATTACTTTCAATGGCCTTTGTTTAAATGATTTTACAGTGACCAATAATGAGAATACATGGGAAAAACACTAACTGCCAACCATAAACTAGAAAAAATTGAAAGAAACTTTAGGCTGCAAGGAAGTAAACTATACAAGGAAATTTAGAAGAACATTAAATGGAAAAGTTAGAATTATAAAGAAGAGAAGTTGACAAAAAATATTTTAATCCTTTTTAAAAAGATGTTTCAAAAATATTTTATAGTGCATCAAAATACACGGAATGTTTTCGATTTGCCAAACTGACCTACTGAGGAGTTCGTTCATACTATCAAGATTAAAATTAACTAGAATCAACTCTATATGGTGGTCAATGATATTATATTGAACCATTGAGTTCTGCATGAGACTGCCCAAACCACTAGTCAACTGTCAAATATTCTTGGTTCTTACACAGTCAAGTGAGGAACATAGTTTATAAAATATAAAGAAAGTTAAATAGGCAAGTAGTTATATAAGTTCAACACTAAATAGCAAGCTATATTTAAAAATATAAAAATAATGTTAACAAAATATTATCAGAAGGCAGTTGGATTGAGTTGAAGCCAACTGTTGAGTCAGCAAAGAGCATTTTTTTTTTTTTTTAAGTCACAGTACATTTTACAAATGAGGCAGCAACCCCACCCCCAAAGAGGATGGTACAGATTCCAGCAAATATGGTACAGCTGGAGGCAAACATGGACTGGCAGTCTTAAGGTAAACTGTAACCCTAACCATCCCTAATTTTATTTTATCAGGCCTGCTGCTTAAGTGGTTAAGTTGCATGTTTCCCTGGTTATAAGTTTAATTTAACCCGTTTGTTACGGCTCTGGTTTGTAAAGACTCCTGAGGTTAGGAAAAAAAAAAGTTTTCCTTCAAAAAATTGTAAAAAAATTCCAGAAGTTCAAATTGAAAAACCATCTCCATATTAACATTGATCATGGCACGGTCTTGATGAAAAAGTAAATTCAATTACTGCCAAGCTTTCAACCTTTTAAGGCCAAAAATCTTACACTCAATATTTCCAAGGACTGTCACACTGAGTTTGTCTTCAAAGAAATTTGAAATTGTCTGTGAAAAACTTAATTATGTCAATATGTAGACATATTTAAGATTGTGGAAAAGTAGTGCCATATACAACAAAACAATCACCTATTGTATAACACTAACCTAATTGAGGGCCAATGGGGTAATATTCCACCATCGACCCCTCTCACACTACACATTTATGCCAATAAATACAATCACTCTCAACTCAACATTAAGAACACAAAACTATTATTGTGTATACTAAAACAACTGTTTCTTACAAGAATCGGAACAGGGGACCGTGTGCCCTTCAATTAGGTGGAATACATCAAGCAACCTTTCTCTGCATGCCAGACACATACAATGCAGGAAAAAAGTTTATGTATTTTAAAATTTATGTAGTTTAAAAAAATATAAATTTACCTCTTAAAAAACTCGTTTTACTCACCCTAATAATATCAAATGGTAATCTTTAAAATGAGCCACACATTCATGTTCTGATAAATGGACTATACATTATTTTTAGTTCATTAGAGTTCATGGTCCGATTGACCAATTAACTTTTTTCAATTAATTAATCTTTATGTAAGGTATTGGCTGAGATAAAAAAATCAGTTCACGAGCGGGATTTGAACCCAAGACCTTCGGCTAAATACACCGCTGCTCTACCACTTGAGCTATTTGTGTCTTCGATCCTCGTATTACACATAACGATAAAAACTGATCATAGAATATTTGATAAAACAATATCTATTAAACATAAAAATACCTTGTAAATAATAAGCATCAGATGGTCTCCTTTCATATGTGGGAGACTGGGCAAAGGTGGAAATCGGTGGCCTCGAATGTGTAACTCTACCATGGTAAGTGTTGTGACCATGTACTGGACTATTTGTAACATTAAAGTAACCAGCGCTGTAATTCATCGAGTGATTAATTTCTTCTACTTCTTCGAATGATCTGTAAAAATAAAGACTCAATAATACTGTAAAATATACATTACAGCAAAACGATAAAAGTATTTACTTATTTTTATCCAAGTTCCTTAAATCGGGACCTAACCCAATACATGCTAGCATAGCTGACATGTTATACAAGGCAACTTTAAAAGGTGAGAGCCTAGTTTCGCCATTCATTGCTCCAGCTGGACTCCAATCTTACATAAAATAACCACACCAAAAAGAGATTAAACAGTTTTAATCACGATATATGGTACAAGAAATGTTCTTATAAATAATTATATAAGTATAATTATAAATATATTTATAATTCAAATTTTATTTTATTTTTTTATTCATGTTAATTTAATACAGCGGTAAAAATAATTTGAATGTAGAAGTTTAAAAAAAAAACTAAATACCATCTATTTTAACGCAAAATATTTTAATTGTTAATGCATTTTGGGCCACGTACATGGTCCCTCTTTTAAGCTCACTATTTAGCTAAACAGAACTCCAATTTCCATTCTCCAAAGTTTCATTTAGCTAAATAGTGAGCTCTGAAGAGGGACCAGGGTCGTAGCCCAAAATGCATTAGCAGTTAAAATATTTTGCCTAAAAATAAATGGTATATTTAATTTAAAAAAAAAAAAAACTTTCTAGATTTAAAATATATTTAAAATTTAAATGTACCAATAAAAGGTCATTTCATACAATTTGTAAAATACTAGGTTACATTTATTTTTTAAATATGTTTACAGACCTTGATGAGTTTGTTTTTCCAAATCTGGAGCTGAGCAGCTAAATTTTGGATTTCTCGTTTCAACAGGAGTACCGCCAACTGATGTGGCTTGTGGTCTTTGGCGGTTTCTTGACTTCTGATGGATTGAGCTAGGTCCCCACGTCTTACCTTTTGATTCTCCTCCTTTCACTGATTAGAATCATTTTTAAAAATTAAAAACCTTAAACTTACATGCATGTTAAAAAGCTTTATAATATTTTCTAAAGGTGCCAATAACAAAAAATAAAAAATTAAAAAATAAATTAAAGAACTTACAGGGTATGGCTTTCATTCTATGACTATTCGGTGAAAGAGGAGGGCTTATTGAGTGGTGCGGCGGTTGTACAGTAAATTTGTGCCTAAAATCTATAATAATACATTATTAAATATTTTGTCATACAAATAAAAATTAAATCATTTTACCAGAAGGAGAACTTATTTTCTGGCCTGGCTCTCTTTTCATGGCTTTAAGCATTGAACTTTTGAATTTCCCCTTCCTCCTGTTTGGTGTGGGGGTGCTCTGCATATCCATGAGTAAATGAATATGAAGTTCCCTTGTGAGCAGTTCAAATTCTTTTGCTTGCAGCATCTGCTCTTTTTGTTGCAGTTGTTTCTCCATCATAGTTTGCTTCATCTTTTCACGATTCAGCTCCTCTTCTCGACATTGTAACTCCTTTAATTTTTATAATGGAAATTACACATTTCAAACCAACAGCCATTAAACTTAGGATATGAGAGCTTTTTATCAATAATAATAATTTAGATCTAACTGATCTAATACAAGAAATATCACTTTTGTTATGAAGGCATGATTTGTATGTATGAATTTTTTTTTATTTATTTATTATTTTATGGAAAATTATATATATAATTATTATATATATTTTTGCAAGTAAAACTTTATTAGCAACTTATAAGTATAACTTATCATTCAAGGACAATAAAGCATTATTTTCATTATTTCAATTTGAAGATTCTAAAATTAGTTGAATGTTTAACAAAACCAATAATTCAAACATAATAAAAATAAAACCATTAAGTAAATATTGTTTGGTTTTACTAAAACAGGGAGATTGAAGAAAATTCAAACACAACACAATACTTTTTAGAAACCAACTAAAAAAACACCAAAAACTATAATACGTGTAATATTTTTTAAATTAGTGAATGCAATGACTGATCTACAGGGTCGTGTTGCCCCCATTTCATACATGCATCTGTGTTGATTACGAAATAAAGGACAAAATCATTAAAAAAACAGGCACAACTTTTTTTTTTGTCTGTATTCATTGTCTTACCTCCTCTTTAGAGCGATAGGCCTAAGCAAGCATGGAAAAAATGTACCAAAATTATTAATGTTCCAATATTTCAAACCCTGTGTTAGTTTTTATTTATTTATATCAAAATGTGACCTACACTCTCTTTATTTCGGATGTCCTTAAGTACTTTATCGATTTCAAGCCTCCATTTGTCTTGCATTGTGTGGAAGCTTTCGTATGGCGTTTTGGTAAATCCTGATTGCACAATGGAATCAAGTCGCTGGAGAATATGTTCAAATGAAGGTCTTTTGTGCGAGTCTGTCTCCCAGCAGGCTTAAAATTGTTTCTGCTATTAGAAATTGAACTGAGAAAAATCTATCTTAATTGAGATTCAATTCTACCTTCCATAAGTCTTTTCCATTCTATCGGGCAAGTACTTGGAATAGGAAGCTTTAGATGGTTTGAAGCGACTCCATAAGCTATCGTTAAAGGTTCAATATCCTTATAAGGAGCTTCACCAGTTAAAAGCTCCCAAAGAACAACACCAAAACTAAAACAAAAAATAAATTACGTAATTAAATTATTTAAAGATATTTATTTGGAAAAAAAAAAATTACCTCCAAACATCACTCGATTTGGAAAATGTAGATGATTTAATAACTTCTGGAGCCATCCAAGCATATGTGCCTGCTGCTGACATTCTGGTAGTAGTGTACACTTCTCGTGCCAACCCAAAGTCAGTTATTTTCAATGTTTTGAACTGTAGATTGTTACCATCGATAGGTTCCGCTATCAACACTAAAAATTAAAGCTCGTCAATTTTTGTTATATCTAGTATTTTTCGTTATAACATCTAAAATATGCTTTCAATTTTATTTTTGTTATCGTACACACCCCTTGAATTTTGCTAAAACTTAAAACTATGTCTCATAAGTATAATTAAAGAATATTTTTGATTGATAAATGTACTTAGGCAAAGGGAATCATTATATGGTGGTCATTACAATAACAAATTGGGGCCGATACCTGATAGGATTAGCCGAATAACTGTAGTAATGCAGAATCAGGAAGGTCTGGTTTACTTAGTAATGGATGAATTTAAGTATACGCTATTCTCTCCAAAATTGAAATTATGATATTTTTTATGTACTTGTCTTTTAATGTTAGAACCTATGTTTTTATAATTTAGGTATTTATTAAAAGATTTGGTTAGGATGAAAATCTCTCTCTATCTCAACAATAAATAATTAAGTTAAATAAAATATATAAATAAAAAATAAATTAATAATAATAATAAAATCACTTTTGTGCAGTTTAATATTCTTCTTATTAATTAATCTTTATATAAGGCATTGGTTGAGATCAAATAGTGTCACGAGTGGGATTCGAACCCACGACCCTCGGCTAAATATGCAGCTGCTCTACCACTTGAGCTACCATGACTTCGATCCACTCGGACGCTAACTTCCCATCTCAACCCCCTTTTAAATTTTCCCTCCTTTTTGCCATTTAGGAGTGGATCAAAGTCACCATAGCTCAAGTGGTAGAGCAGCGGTGGGTTATTAGCCGAGGGTCGTGGGTTCGAATCCCGCTCGTGACACTGACTGTTTTATCTCAACCAATGCCAATGCCTTATGTAAAGAATAATTAATTGAAAAACATTATTTGGCCAATCGGACCACGAACTCTAATGAATTCTTTTTATTAGCGTGTTCTTCCCCTTGCTCTTATTAAACACTCTAATTTTCTCAGCATGCTCCTAATTAAGCCTTTAATGTCATGAGTTATTTCATTCCAAATCTCACTAATGTAACTTTCAGCTCAGCTAAAGTTGTAAGCGGGTTATTACTTCATTATACCCAACATCTGAGCTAATTCCAAAAGTGCTCAATGGGGTGGCCCTTCTTATGCAGCAAACACTGACATCATTATTTTGCATAAAAAAGAATTGCTCGCCAATAACAGGAGTAAATGGCACCACATATTCCTCAAAAATGTCTGTCTCATAGATTTCTGCATTAAGTGATAGGCAATTACAAATATCTAACTGTCCATTTTGTCCATATGTATCTCCATTTTCTTGTATCATCTGTTTCTTGGAATATCCTCTAAAGATATTCCACTTCACACATAACTGAACCACCTCCAATGACCCTCTTCCAACACTGTTGTAATGGGTGTAGTGCACTTCACCTTGCTTGATAAATTTGAAGACATTGAAGACTTTCTTGAAGTTCTCCAAGAAAAAATAATTCACGATTACGATCAATTTGTTTAAGTATTGAAGGTTCTCACATTGATGAGGTAGACACTATCTCGGATCTCGGGGTTATTTTTATTAAGAATTGTGATTTTCGGAACCACATCCTTGCTATTAGGAATAAATCATTTACAAATTTATGATTCATACTCAGACAGTGTGTTGACTTTAAGAACCCTTTTGCAATAAAATTATCAATCTCTGGTGCGCAGTCAGAGAATGCCAGTGTTTTATGGTCGCAGGTTCTTTAGATGGGTCTCACATGATAGAAAGGGTACAGTGAATTTTGACTGTACCATATAACATTGGGGGTTTCAGGTTCAATGGTATTAGTTTTTTAACTGCATATTAGTCATCTGAGAATAAAACAATCACTATTTTTTATGGCTGTTTGAACTCTAATTTTTAATTTTAAGGTGGGATCATTTTTTATTTCTTTACAGGTACAGTAGGTACGGTCAAAATTTTTCCTGGTTCGGTTGCAGTTGCCTTCCAGTAATTCGTTTGTAAGTTTTGCAGATGGTCCTTCTATGAATCTCTTCGCATGCCTCATGCCTGTGCTATTATTGTTCTACCAGGTTTTGGACTCATTAAAGATCCATTTTAAGATGTATCCTCTTTTGTGGTAGGATGCTATGCCACAGTAGGGTTCAGGACCTAGGGAGTCCATGGCCCCCCCTCTTTGGCCACCATGTTAACCTTTTCGTTGCCTCTATGCCCTGAGTGCCTAGGGACCCTCATACCAGGATCAGCTTATTAGTGTCACCGTCTTCTGTTAGGAGCTCTATGCAGTTCCAAATACTCTTTGCCTTCACCTCGCATGAAGCGAGGGTCTTTAGAGCTATCTTTAGAGAAGATGGCTATCTTCCGGGAATGAATTCCTACCGCACAACACCTAGCTTTATCTTTTCCATCTTACCCATCCTTCTGCAGCCAGAACACGGATGGGAGGGACCCACACGCCGAATTTTTGGCACCAACTACCATTGGCATTGACAGCATCAAAGAATGCAGTTGTTAAAAACATAAGAAAAAAAAAATTAAAATTGCTTCCAGGTTGAAGTCTTTTCATATAGAATTTAAACAGATTCACAGTAAAATAGACACAAAAACCTGTCTTTTGATCAAAAGTATTAAGTTAATTTTTTTTAACAACTTGAAGAAAGTGTAAGAAAATGAAAATATAACATGACAAAAGTGAATCTACATACTCACCCCCATTTTCATAATTTCTATAAACTGAGTCTTTGCTCTTCCTATGATCCAAAAGAATACTTTAAAAAAATCATCAAAATCGGACCAGTAGATTTTGAGATTACCTGTTACAATACAACCTACTTTCTCTCTATATTAATATAGATAATATTAGTATAGATTACTGCTACGAACTGGCAGTGGGCCTGGGCATATCATTTGTAGCCACAAACAAATTCCAAGTTATTTTCGTCTTCTTTTATCTTACTGTTAGCCTTACTTATTATTTTGAAAATAATACTGTTTTAAAGAGTATACTGTTTGCGAATTGACGAAAAAATAAAAGCACTAGATGTAAATGACTGTCGTCTTAGAAAATAATTAAAATTTATAATGACTCAAAACGAAGCTTTATAAACAATCGGCCGCTCGGAATAAATAATAGTTAAAATAGCCGATTTTAAAATATAATTGACGTTCTAAATGAGTGTGTAAAAGACGTGAAAAGGTGATAAAAGTAAGTGGAAAATGATAAGATGAAATAAATTGCGGCGATATAAAGGGTGGAGAGAACTGCTGGCGGGGGCGCCCCAGGTGCGATCGTACTTGACACAAATACAAAGACGATAAAGGTTGTGTACTATAATTAAAAATAAGGAAGAGTGGATAAAAATAAACGTCTCACCATTAGATGATTTGAGGTCGCGATGGATGAGGGAGATGGGGGCTCCGTTATGCAGGTACTCCATGCCCCTTGCAATCTGTATGGCCCAGTGGACGAGGACGTCCGGGCGGATCTTTTTCCCCGTGAGAACACGGTTGAGTGAGCCTCCTCTCGCGTATTCCATCACGAGGCATAGGTTGGACCCTTTCGTGCAGACGCCTTTGAGGCCGACGATGTTCTCGTGTTTGAGGAGCCAGAAGAGCTTCGCCTCCTGCATCACGTTTTCCAGGACGGTCTCCGTGTCCTCGCCGGGCCCGTGCCTCGCCGCCTTCACGGCCACCTCGACGTCGCCCCAGACACCCCGGTAGACTTTCCCGAAGCCTCCGGCCCCGATCACTTCTTCCAATTTGAGCTCGTTGAAGTCGATCTCAGTCGGCCGGATCCGGCTGAATGCGCTGTTCAGCTCGCTCTCCTCCGCCACGAAGTTGGACGGGAATATTCCGACCCTCTTACCGATCTTGCCCGTCCACCAACCTTCGTCCCCGGAGACCTTCGAGTCTTTGGAGAGCACCTGGACGATGTCCCCTCTCCGGAGGGTGAGCTCGTCCTCGCCGTTGCTCTTGTAGTCGTAGGTCGCCGTGCAGAGGGGCATTGCTCCATCTTGGTATTCGTGGTTGATGTAGCCCGGACTGTTCCTGTAACTGTAACTCGAATGGGGCGAACTGTTCAGGCTGTTTTGAGTCGATGTCCTCGCGTAAACGTCATCGTCGAATCCGGTCCTCGAGTGGTCCATCGACGTCAACGAGGGAGGCATTCGTTATCTGAGGGATGGATATTAAATCCACCCAGGCCCGAATCGTTATCCGTACGTCGAAAATCGAAATCCGTTTTCGACTCGCTCATCTGTAACAAAATATCGTCGTTTCGAATGCGGCTCGGTATCATCGACGGATCAGCGTGTCATCCTCCCTCCCAGGTGACGGATGCGGATCGAATCGGAAAGGGTCGAGGTAGAAAAAAGGGACCGACTGCGAATCTGACACAAACGAAATCAACACAAAAACACTACCACCATTTTGAACTCGGAGAAGACTATTTTCGTTCCCACGGCCGGCCGGATCGGAAAGAGGCGAGGGACGGCGATAAAGAAGGCCATGGCGCCTCCCATATCGGCATGTCCCGTTCCCTGTTTTCCGACCATCTCGTCTCTACTCTCCTTCCTCTCCTCCGTCCCGTAAGAGAAACATGGCGTCAGGTGTACGTACACATTCACATAAACGAATATTATTTCTTTTCATCAAAACTCTTCTGACGTGATCCCTTCTTTATACCGTCATTCATTTTCAGACCTTATACACTTATCCGGACAACTTCCGAGCGTACAAAGTCTTGGTCGCTGCCCAGTACGGCGGAGGTAACGTGAAAGTCGCCCCCGGCTTCGTCTTCGGTACGACCAACAAGACACCCGAGTTTCTCAAGAAATTCCCTCTGGGAAAGGTAAGCGGCTGGTGGGCCGATGTACGAAACTATCCTCACGTCCACCCCGTGGCCCGGTTCGGCTCGACCGACGGCCACATGGCCTAACCTACAACCATCCTTGATATTTATTTTATGTGTTAAACCATTAAAAGAGGTCTTCGCCCTTTAGGTGCCTGCTTTTGAGACGTCTGACAACCAGTACCTCACGGAAAGCAATGCCATCGCCTATTACGGTAAGCGCTTCTTTTCGTTCGACGACTTATCAGGCACCGGACTTGCTGGCAGGCCGTTCTAGAAAGTCCCCCTCCCTGTGATGACCAAGTCTTAAGTCCGTATTCTTTACAGAAACCTCCTCGTACCAGGGTTTCAAAAAATCTGACAAAAGGGGTATATTACTTATACCCTTGAAATCAACGCTCATCCTATACCACATTATTTAAGAAGTATTTTATTTGAAAATCCCGTTTTCTTATTTCCTCTGGTGTTTGAATTGTTAAATGGGTAAAATTTTGTGTTAGTGGGGTAAATGTGGATTAGCCTCCTTTCACTTAAGTTGACCCAGGTCTGCTTTGCACAGTTGTTGGAACTGTTTTGTTTAAAGGTACTTTTACACATGAGAGGAACTCGCAGCGGGAGCTCTTGAGAATTACTCTCAGAGCCCTTTGCACAAGAGAGTGAAATTCGCCCGAGTGCGTACTCTGAGAACAATTCTCACACTTCATAGATGTCTTCAACACAAAAAAGAGAAGTAGCAGCAGTGCTATTAGTTTTGTGCTTATTGGAAAAAAAGTGGGTCATCATGGATGCGAATGATTTATCATTTAAGCGTGTACCATGCTTAGCATAGCAATTGGAACTTGAAATTTTGGAATTTTTGCAGATTTTCAAGTGTTGAAGTTGATTTGTTTGCCACTGCAATGAGAGAAACAATTCTGTTCATGAGCATCTTATGGTTGCCTTACGATTAATTTCATAGGGAACAATTGAAGTCTGATGCTAATTTTTCCATCACAATGTTTTTTTAATACTTTATTTTTTGAAATCTGGATGTCCCAAAAAAGATTGGATTCAATTTGTATGCTTCAGTGAGCTTGCAAACATTGTGGGTCCATTTTTTTTTATTGGATTTGGTGTTTTACTCTCGGCAAATTAAAAAAAAAAATGTTATTGAGAGAATTCTCTGAGAACATGGGGAAAAGGTTTACACTAGCGAGGAAGATGCAACATTGCACCCCTCAGACTTTTCCCTCTACTTTCAATGAGAACTCTCTGAGGCCTTTACGCTTGTGCGTTTTACTCTCGAGAGTAAAGAAATTCATGTGTAAATGCACCTTAAGAATGAAACATGCTAGGATCCCTAATAGTTAAAAAGAATCTGCTGTTTGGTACATTTTTGAACAGGTAATACCTTGAAAGTGTATTTCTATTGTGCGAGAATCACTCATGAAATGGCTGTCTTGGGTTTAACGATGTCCACAAGGTGAGTCATATCACTCTGTAAGACAAGTACGCCATTCTTATACTGACTCCAGCATCAGTTTGCTGTCATGGTGATACTTTATGTTAAGATTAAAATGAAAAACGAATAAAACACCACATTTTCTTCAGCACATACTCGTTCTAATTATTATGCTTTTATTTTTAGCATACCACAAAAATCGATAGCACTTGATACAGTTGCTAATGGTTCGTTCTAAATTTCGAGTTGAATGGCTAAGGACTGACCAGTTACCAGTGGAGCCCTCTTGCAGGGGCATCCACTCTCTTGTTGCCCCCTTAAGATATAACTTAATTTATTTTAGTTTTGCAGTTTAGTACTATCTTTGATCTAATGTTTGAGCTTTGATGGCTGCCTGGATAACTGACATAATTATATTCTTGTTTCTGTTCTGTCTGTTTAAATTGCACTGAGTACATAAATTTCATTGACAAGCCTGAAAAATTGCTGATATATTTCCCTATCAGTTCTGAGTATTTGATTCCAGTAGTGAACACTCCTGTCCACATACCTTCTCGCGTTCTACATCAGTGTACCAGCAGATGTTGCTGTTCTCATCAGAGGGTTTTTTTCCCTCTTTCCTACTCCTTGGTACTTAGATCTGTACAGAAATTGTGCTTAAATTCAAAAATCCTGTTCACATCATTCCTCAGGGCCATGATTATCATGTTCCTTCATTACGCTGTTATCCCTCCATTTAAGTTTTGGAAGTTTCTCTTTAATAAAATTGTAATAAAATAACACGAAAAAAAAAAAAAAACAAGATAAAAGAGATAACAATTGTTAACAAAGTTATGCTTTTAAAAATCTATTTTCCAAATTATATTTACAAGAATAATATCTGAATAATTTGCCAAGTAATATTTGTACAATTGATTGGACAATAAAGGAGATATTATAAAGTGTAAATTAATATTTAACAACTGATAAATTGTCTGGTGTTTGACTTTTATAATAAAACTTATCAAAAGGTAACAAAAAAAGTAGATAGGGGAAAACAAGTTAAATAAGAGTTTTATGTATTACTTTTCTATATTAGTGACAAATTTAATTATTAACCAAAATGTGATATATTAATTGGTCAAACGGAATTAGTGAATTTAAGAAATTAACCAAATTTTTTTTACTTGGTAAAATAAAAATAAACTAGACAACTAAGAACATGAGAGGAAAAGAACAGATTCAAAAATTTGTTAACTTTGCAGGAAAACGTAAATAAACTGACTCAGTAGAATTTTCTTGAAATAATCGGCATCCTATTTCAGGCTCCCATTTCCAAAACTTCTGGGTGCTTACTGTCATTCAAAAAATTAATTTTCCTGAAGTAGTTGGTTTGTGGAAGGAAATTGAGGCTTCATTTCAATTTTTACTTCTCTGCTGTACTCTATTTTTATTATTCATTATACAGCATCCTTTTTTTTGGGGGGGGGGGGTCTTTTCTTCATTAGCCCAAACCCATTACCTTTCCAGCCTGGGGTGTTGACCCAAAGCCATTGCGTTTTCAGGCCATTGGCTCAAACTATGAACCACTGTTCTGTTCTGGCTGGTGTTGAATTAAAGTTAATGCTATTGAAAGAATGAGCTCTTATGAAAAAAATCACTTTTGCATTTTCCTAATATTAGGTGAATTATTCTGTTTTCTTAACTTTTAAGTTGGGTTTCCATTATGCGAAACTTGTCTCATATTGTGGAGCTCTAGCAGGGACTGAAACATTTACATGAGGATGTTTCATGGTGAGCCGACTGATTTAGTTTTTTATAGCTCATCAAAGTGTTTCATGTTGATCGTTTCTCTCCGGGTAAACGCATGTCTTGAATGTGAGAATGAAACAAGAAAATTCAGCTTAACTGAATGTATCACACCTATCGATTTTTGAGGGTTGTTAAAGATAAAACTCATAATAAAATTATAAAAATATGTTTTTCTTTTGTACATAAAGTATCACCATGATAGCAAATGCTGATGCAGCAGTTTGTTTAGTTATAAACAGCATGCTTGTCTCGTGCAACTGATGGCTCACCTTGTTTCCCCTCTATGTTGCTAAATGTTTCATCTCGTGGAAATGGTTAACCCGAGATGGCGTTTCACAAGTAAATATCATGTTTACTTATGCGAGTAATTTTTTTGCGCAGTGGAAACCCTGCTTTAGAGTGTGATGCACTAACCACTGCTAATGTGCCCTCAAACATACTTTATGCTAAGAATTATTAAGTTTGTACAATGAAATTTCCAAACAAAATTAAATTTAAAAATGTATTAATTTTATGCTTTCTATAAAAGTTTTTTTTAATATTGAAATGATTTCTTTCAAATTTGTTTTTGCAGTGAGCAGTGACCAACTTAGGGGAGGAAATGCAGTTGAAAAAGCCCAAGTTGTTCAATGGTTGAGTTATGCTGATAATGAAGTACTTCCAGTTGTCAGTACATGGGTTTTCCCTTATATGGGAATGCTTAATTTTGACAAGAAGGTAGTTTTAAGAAAAAATAAAATAAAATTTTTTTTGAAGAGTGCAAATAGAAATAGTAAAATTGATTGAATTTTATAGGTAGTAAATGGTGCCAAAAATGACATGACTGAACTGCTCAACAAATTGAACAGTTATCTATTAACGAAAACATATCTCGTCGGAGAAAGGGTTACTTTGGCTGACGTAGTGATGGCTTGCACATTGTTGAACGCTTACCAGCACGTCTTTGATCCGACCTATAGAGCTGCATTTAAAAACGTCAACCGTTGGTTTCTCACTGTTGTAAATCAACCTAAAGTCAAAGCTGTTCTTGGTAATGTTAAGCTGTGTGAGAAAGAACCGGAAGTCCCCGCTGGACCGAAAGCTGAAAAGCAGGGAAAGAAGGAGAAAGAACAAAAGCCTAAAGAAGAAAAGCCAAAACAAAAAGAAGCCGCTCCCCCTGCTGATGATTTAGATGAAACAGAATTGGCCCTTCGAGCTGAGCCTAAATCTAAGGATCCTTTTGAACCTTATCTACAAACAAAGAGCACTTTTGTCTTAGATGAATTCAAGAGATGCTATTCCAATGAGGAGGTTACCGTGTCGATTCCTTTCTTCTGGAACCATTTTGATAAAGAGAATTATTCCATTTGGTTTGGCGAATACAAATACAACGAGGAACTTAAAAAAGTCTTTATGAGCTGTAATTTAGTAACAGGTGATTTGTGATAACACTATTTGGAATATGTATAATACTTAAATATAAATTGTTTTTCATCATTAAATTGTATTTTAGGAATGTTTCAAAGATTAGGTAAAATGTGCAAGCATGCATTTGCCTCAGTTTGTGTTTTTGGCAAGGACGATGACAATTCAATCTCTGGTGTCTGGGTTTGGAGGGGTCCAGGACTGGCTTTTGAGGTAAGAAAAAGTACAATGTAAACTATTACTCACCTTTGAGGTACTAACATTGTATTAATATTATAATTGCAGCTTAGTCCTGATCTCCAAGTAGATTATGAATCTTACACTTGGACCAAATTAGACCCTGATAATGCTGATCACAAGGCAACAATTGATAACTACCTTGCCTGGACTGGTAAAGACAAACAAGGGAGACCTTTCAATCAAGGCAAAGTTTTCAAATAAAGAAGTTGATCATTGATCTTATTTAATATATATGTTTAAAATATTGTGCCTTATTTGTATTCCTTTCATTCACTTTGTATTTAAACAGCAGTGGCTTTTCTAGATGTAAAACAGATAGAGGTTATTGAGCTACAGATTCTCTCATGCCAAGATCTCTCCTTGCACCGGAAAAATGGAAAATTTTCATATTTATTTGGTGTTTTTTTTTACATAAATTAATTTTCTTTTTTCTCTTTTTAATAAGGGCGCACCTGAATTGTTGTGAAGATATTTTGTATACTGAAGAGGGGCAGGCTGCCTCAAAATATATACAGTTTGTAAAAGAACATGGTAATATCAGTTCTATTAATTAAAAAAACTACAATCATGATGGCAGTAAATTGAATTTAAATTAACCACTTGCATGAATAGTTAAACTAGAAAATGATACAGGTAATTTCTTTTGCATTCAAATTACACAGAACATTACTGCTTTTGTTCACCCTCCGTTCAAACTCTTAATTTAAATTTATCCAGCTCTGTCTTGTGACCAATGACAGATTTTCTCTGCAAAATTTTATTAACTTATCCTCATTACTCTTCATCTTGTCTAGTCCATACAAGTTTTTGTAGCAAATGGTATATTTTATATGGTTTTATAAATTCTCCCTTATAAGAAGTGCTAAAAAGTAGCAATGAGCATTGGAGAAAGGTCACCATCAACCAATAGTATGCTGGTCGAAGTGTGGGACAACCTAATATGCCACGGAACCGAATTACACAGATGCACCCCAGCAACTCTTAAATTATCATTCATAGATATTGAATTATGATACACGCTACTTATATTTAAACTACGGGAAGAATTAAAATAGAAGGTAAAATTAAAAATAAGTACAATAGGCAGAGCTTATTTTTTATTTTAAAAAAGTAAATAAGAGATTGGAGTTTAAAGTATTCAAATAAATTAATACCCGGAATGAAAATGTGTTGAGATGACATACAAATCTTTTTCAATTATTAAAAAGTATCCTAATTTTTTAAATAGAAGTGTGATTAAGAGAAAAAGAGTAGGTAGTACTCCAATAAGTAAAATACAAGTCTTCATTAGTCAGTTGGAGTGTTTGAGAAGAATTTATGATAGTTACAAAGTGAATGTAAAGTCCCATTCACCCTTCTAGCTACAGAGCCTAAAGAAATATCCCAAGATAATCTGGTATTAAAAGTCACATGGTTTTTATACCTGTTGAGAGGAAGGTATTCACCAAGAGTAATGTAAGAAAAATCCTCAATGACATATGTCTGTTGTAAGTAATTATAGATTGGGATTTGAGAGGGTTAAGTTTGAAGCCCAATTAATAAAGCTAAAAAAGTGTTAAGTTAAATGGAATCAGGGATTAAAAGAGAACATTGTGTATAGATTTAGGCATCGTCAGCATATAATTGTAATTTGGAGTAATTTAAATAAGAAGGTAGGTCGTTAATAAAAATTGAAAACAATAAGGATCCTAAAATTGCACCTTGAGGACGTTAGACGACTGGAAGGACAGATGAATTCGTTATTAGGTAGTTTGAACTTGTTTATGACCTGACAAATCATAGGATATTAATTTTGAACTAGAGGACGGAAAACCAAATTTTCAAGTTTCCAAATAAGTAAGGTCATGGTTGGCCATCCCGAAAGCATTGGAAAAGTCAAGCAGCACTAACAGTGCATTCTTGAATATCTATGCCTCCGAGTTACTAATTTTTAGTAAGGCCTATTCACAGCTATGTTGATGTCGAAAACCAGATTGAAAAGTTGTAAGCAGTGAATGAGTATCAAGATAGTTAATTTGTTTAAGCATATTAATTTCTAGAGTTTTAGATAACAAGAGTAGAATACTTATAGGTGAAAATCATTTCATCAATTAATCTGAAAGTTGTTACATTTACATTTTAGGTGCAAATAATAGAATATAGGAAGATTATTAAAATTTCACTTATTAGAACATGTTGAGAAATTTTTCAGTTTTGTGCTTCCTGCTTCCGTCGTATCCCCCTCTAATGCTCGAGTAAGAGAAATAGGTTTTACTGTTGTGACGTTTTGAACTTAAAAAGGTGAAAAAGCCCCTTACATAAGCGTTTGAAAGACGAGGACTGCTTAAACTGCCAGCTAAGTAGACACAAGAAGATATAAATAGCATCGCGCGATAGCCCCTCTACAAGTTCTAACCACTTCATAGTTCATTCACAATTAGTACCAAGCTCTCTTCCCGGCGGCACGGAGCCGGGTGCTCGTTCATCCCTCAATTCCATACGCCTATCGCTCAACGAACTTACGAATAGTTTATAATAAAAAAAAATGGATGTTAAAAAGTTTTTGAAAGACGCCGCTATACAAATAGGATCCGGCGGTTCTGCAGGTATTCGACTCGTTGATTAATAACTTTAAACCGACCACCTTTCAAAACGTTATCGGACGATTTCAGGGTTTGTGGAAGTTTGCATCATGCATCCGTTGGACGTTGTCAAGACGAGGCTCCAGTTGCAAAACCAAATCAAAAAGGGCAGCCCACACCACTACACAGGGATTGTCGACTGTCTTGGAAAGATGAGACAGCACGAAGGGGTTTTCGCATTTTGGAAAGGGATCATTCCGCCTATTCTGGCAGAAACTCCGAAACGAGCCGTCAAAGTTATTTCTAAAACATTACTAGAGAATTTTTATTTTGATTAGGAGAAGTAACGATGTTTTGTTTTCAGTTTGTTTCGTTTGAACAGTATAAAAAAATTTTCTTGTTCGGCTCACCGACGCCGACTCCTTTGGTAATTGTTTCAACCCGTTCGGCGGGTCTTCAAACCTCCAAAAAATCCTAATGCGTTTCGTTTACAGACTTTTTCTTTGGCGGGCGTCTTCGCCGGCATGACCGAGGCCTTTTTCGTCAACCCGTTCGAAGTCGTCAAAGTGACGATGCAATCCGACAAAACGCACATGAAAGAGCTTCCGAGCACATGGACGACGACAAGGCGGATTATCGTTACGCAGGTGCGTCAATTGAATAACGGATGAGGTACAATTCTGAGAGATTTAAATTTACGAGATTACGCCTTCTTCCCTTGTAATATGGAGCGCTCCTTGTCACACACAGCCTCACCTGATTCTAATCTCGTATTTATGGTTTTTATAAAGAATTATCGTTCTCACGCCTTCTAAATTACATTATTTACGAAAAGAAAATTGTCCGCAGCTTTATCATAAAAGACATTTTGTACATATAGTTCTATAAAATTTGCAGTATTTTTTAACACCACTTATTTTTTTAATTACATATTAACACGGTATTTCTGCCAAAAGCCCGCCAAGGAGGTACAATTTCAAAAGCACGTAGTTTAACTAAAACTTTTTAGCTGGCTGCGTATCTTAAAAGCACGTCGTGAGAACTAAAACTTCGTGACCGGCTTGCTTATCTTCGAAGCACGCATTTTTAAAAGCTTGTCTTGTTAACTAAAACTTTTTAGCTGGCTTGCGAATCTTCAAAATCACGTCCTGTTAACTAAAACTTCGTGACTGGCTTGCTTGTCTTCAAAAGGACGAATTTTTAAAAACATGTCCTATTAACTAAAGCTTTTTAGTTGGCTTGCACAACTTCAATAGCACAGTTTTAAAACTGTCCTGTTAATTAAAATTTTCTAGCTGGCTTGCGTATCTTCAAAAGCACGCCGTATTATCTAAAACTTTATAATTACCTTGCTTAAAAGTACGTTAGCAAAGATAAGGCAAAACGTACAATTTTTAAATACTTCTCATGGTTGTTTATACAGGTGATATAGAAATATGAAATGTTGACCGATGACAATAGTTACATAAGTGTTTTAATTGCTGTTTGTTCATTTAATTCCAAAATACACAATAAACAATTACCATTACACTGCACCTTCGGGTCAATAAACTTCAAAGTTGCTTAGATCATTATTATTTTACAAATAATATAAAAAAAGTTGTTTTGGAGGAAACAGGGTTTACATAGTACTTTTGTAAATATTTTGTTTTGTGCCCACTAGTGTGCCATAATTGAAACATTAGCATAAATGTGTAGGATGAGATAGTGAGTAATAATATGTGCAGAGGGTGATGTAATATAAGTAATTCACCACCAATTGAGTGAAAGGAATGTAAATAAGAAAGAACATAATTAATAGTGTGAGATTTTGATTGGGTTTGAATTTTGAAACTTTCATTGGGGGTTGAAATGACCCAACAGCCGTTAGCCCGTGAAGCCCAACCCCAATGGCCTCGTACTGTCAACATTTGGAGCGGGTGATTCTCGAGGCCTGCTGGTAATTTATTTTAAATTGTACTGTACATGTGTGTGCAGATTTGTGCTTATGTAAATCATTTAAGAATGCAAGAAAAATAATAATAAGATTATTACACAACACATGAAAAAATACAAACAACTCAAACCAGAAAATAAACTTAACTCGGCAAGGTAACCATTTGCCGGAGTTTGGATTAATTATTAACTAAATCCTACAAAGTAAACATACAAACGCATTGAGCTAAATAAAAATAATAATATACTAAATGTATTACTTATTACAAAATACTAAATAATAAACTAAATATTTTCCAATGCATCGGCAGTATATGAATAGATATAAACAGAATATAAATAATACATGAATTAAAACATATAGAAAGTAAATTAAGGTCCAAAACATATTAAAGAAACAGAAAGAGAAAATAAAACTGAGTGTATTCAATGTCCTAGAAAATCAATGAACTAGAGATGAGATTGAGAAGCTGAAGTATTCAAGTCCCAAGAGGCAGATCGGGGAGAGGGAGACAAATACTAAAAAATACTTATTGTTAGTTAAATTCACTTAGTATTGGACTTCAATATGCCAACTAAGAATGTTTTAAACCTATTAAAAATCTTTCCATTGTATTTAGTATTTTAAAAAGTTATGAGATTTCTTTCAAGAGGACTACAGGGTGATGATTCAAGAAAGTCTATTTCCAGTGTATAAAAGAAATTTATGAAAATTTCTGCTTTCTTTTATCCAAACTGTTTTAAAGATATAAAGCCGTAAATATTTAAAACAAGAACATATTTTAGTTGAAATAATGTCAGATGCGTTTTGGCTTTTTGCCATCTTAATAAAAAGTGCTTCAAAATATCAACGTAAAAATGCTACAGATTTGTAGATTCTCATGAAACATATACTTTGAATTAAGCAATGTATAGAATAACACACCTGCAAATCATTTTGAGTTTTGCAATTCATTTGTCAGATTTGCAAGTCACTATCTACAATCTGCACTGGAAAACATAGATTTCATTCAGTCTGATGATTAGCATTGAACGTTTTTAATATGGATCTCTATGAAATAAGTTCATAAGTAGAACCATCCTTTTCAACTATTGAAATGATAGACTCTCTATGTCATAGCAACACTGATTGTGGCAAAAAAGTGAAAAGCATAAAACAGATTAAACCAGTAAGGATACACAGACCAAAATGAGCTCTTAAAAAAATGCATTAATGTTTAGTTTGCCTTTGTCTGTTGCTGACGATATGAACCAGCGCATTAACCAAATTTACTGTTTAGAATGGCAATAAAAAAAGAATATTTTTGTTTCAGGGGTTTGGAGGGAAAGGTCTATACAGGGGCATTACTGCTACCATTCTGCGTAATATGGTTTTTAATGGCATATACTTTGGTTTTTACCATTCTATGAAAGGAAAACTCAGTGGAGTTAAGGTTAATAAAAAATAAATAGCATTTTCTTTAAAAAAAAAATTAAAATTTTTTTATCATCGACCTTTTTTAGGATCCAAGGCTGGAATTAATATACAAGTTAGGACTCGGATTTGTCTCTGGTGTCCTTGGTTCCTGTTTTAATATTCCATTTGATGTGGCTAAAAGCAGGATTCAAGGACCTCAGCCAACTCCTGGACAAATTAAATATGCTTCGACAGTAGACACTATGATGATTATTTACAAAGAAGAAGGGTAAGATAAATGTTTATTAAAATTTAAGCAGGACATACTCATTTGATATTTTATTATTTGATCATTGAAAATTGCCAATAATTGCTGCTTTAAAAAACCAAATATCTGTTAGTGTTTGAAAATTTGAGCATGTTATGCTCTTTTTAATCTTCTTATCTTCTTTATTTATGGTTTATTTTAACTGATTTGTAAATCCTTATATTTTATGAATGGATATAGCTATAGTGTTTACTACCAGATAAATGATTTTAAAAAGCATAATGTGCAGTTGTGTTATTATTATTTTTGTTTTCAGATGGCGAGCTTTATATAAAGGGCTTGTTCCCAAAGTGATGAGACTTGGTCCTGGTGGAGCTATAATGTTAGTTGTATATGAGCATGTCCATTCTTATTTAACCACAATTTACAATACTTGAAAGTATACACTTTTTTTTAGTATGTACTTAATATGTAATTATATTAAAAAAATAGAATATAATGATTTATTTTTTTAAACAAGCTCTTTTATTTACTCCTCGACCCCTTTGTTGTTTTTCTGTTTAGTCAGATTATTTAGGGAAGAGCCAAGTTGAATCCCTAAACGTTATCTATTGTAATGCAAAAATGAATATATAAAAATGTTTCACTTAAACTTTGACTTGTAAAAAATCAAATAAATCTATACTCAGAACTCTGGGATAGCCAATTTGTTTTTTTCTTTTTCAACGGTGTTGCGAATCTTTGTTAAAAAAAAAGAAATCTAAAATATTGTGTGTTTTAATACTTTGGCATTAGTTAATTAGTTAAGTGTGAAGTTTGTAATAGTTTAATTTCTTTTGTATTCATGTATTATTTTTTAAATTATTTTTTGTATGTTTTTTATTTATTTTATTATAATTTAAATGAAGCACATTCTATTTGAACTACTAAAATTTTTACTCTTATCGGTGTGATCATGTCATCGATCAGGTGTAATAAAATTAATTATTTTTTTAGTTCGCCAATGATAGTTCATAATTAACACTATTAATAGTACAGTATTATTAGAAAATTATAGGTTGCAAAAGAAAATTACTCTTAAGGCTAGTGTACAATAATAAATTTTGTTTGAGTATCAATATCTGATAGCTGTAACAATTATTTATTTTTTAATGTTTTTTCATTTTATACCTCTGACTAGGGGCTGGTGCTTTGTATTGTCAGACCCAATATTAAAAAAATGTAAGGCGATGAGAATTAAAAACAGTGGTTCTTTATACTCAGAGTTGGTATCAATTGCAATTTTAAATTCTGGGTTAACACTGAGCCACTTTTCTTTGCACCAGTTATCGAATATATATATAGTTCAGTTGTATAATTGGATTTTTTTCATTTCACTACAAGAACTATGTGCCAATGTAATCCTCATTTAGGAAATGTAACAGATCTTCAGCAATCAAGTTTTAAAATACTGAAAACAGACATCTCGACTGTTAAGTATAATAGCATATTGTGAAAACACTCCTTTTTGTCTGCAGAGTATGAGCCTGTAATTTGGTAATTATCGATCATTTTGGTCTGCCTGTTCGCTGTTTTTGTGAAAAGTAGGGATAGGCATTCCAAATTGTATAAGGTTTCTGGTTTGCTCCACTGCTGAGGATAGTAACTAGTTTAATGCCAGTACAATTTATGATTCTTATTAAACCTCTTTATAAGGCTATGACTAGCACTTTATTAAGATATTTTGAATAATTGTGGTTGTGATTATCCAAAAGTTTTGGATAACTGGTTGAAGTCGATGACGTTGACGTTATCACTGAGGTGATGGTTTTTTAAATGGATTTGTAGTTCAGCACAGCTGACGAAGGATTTCTACAACGCTCCCTAGGTCGTCTAGAGAAGAAAAATATTAGCAGAAATGTGATTGTGGAATTTGTTGATTATTATACGGTCATGGGTTCAGGGGTGTCAACAGTTGACCAGAATTTCCAGTTCGGATGACGAGGAGGATGACAGGCTTTGAAGAAATAGGAAATTTATGAGTGCCCAACAAATTATGGGTTCACAAACCTTGGAAATACTAAGGCAAGGAGTATGGGCATCATTAACTGGTGGATGGTATTACGACCCACATCAGAGCATTTTCTGCAACACTTTTCATCTGTATTTGTGGCTGTTTCTTCTCTGCCTGCCATTTACTATCTACTTGGTGAGCTTTAAAACTTTCAACTTGATTTTTCAATTTATTCTCGTCTACGTGTTTGATTTTGTATCTACTGTTTTAATAAAATTCACATTTATTTGTATTTTTCAATTGACGATATGTCAAATTTGTTTTGTTCTAGTACGTTCCACCTTCCGTGTTGGTTTGGAGCGGATACTGCTCCAGTGTTTTTATTCTGTTTGCTACAACAAAGTTAATAAATCTGTCACTCCATCACATGTTCGATAAGCCAGAATGCATGGTAGAAGAGATCATCGATGACAAAGATGTACGCAAACATCAATTGTACCACACAAGTCAACAATCTTCCCCACTCAGGTAATGAAATTTCTGTCATGATATTAAGATTTTTCACAATGTTAAAAATACAAAGACCCATTTTATATCTGATTTTTTAATGGAAAAAAAGGAATGAAATCTCAATATTTTGTATCGCCATACATCATAAGAAAGTACTGTTCCCTTGAAAAAGTTCCATTAAATCATATAAAACCAATGCATTTCAGACCCCTTGGTTTAACATATTTTTCTGTCTTCAAAGTCGATAAAACATAATATTTTATCTTTCAAGCAGACTACGAAAACTAGTGAATTTAATAATATTTTATTATTGAAATCTCGATTAATTTTAAGTGTCAACATCTTCCAATCTCTGACTATCAATGAAGTAAGCAAAATAATCAAAGTCACTTACATCTTAACTCGTGACTTTGATTGTTTTGCTTACTTCATTGATGGTCAGAGATGGGAAGAGGTTGTCACTATCTCCGACCTTGGTGTCATTTTTAACAGAAAGGGTGATTTCAGTGACCAATCAAGCAGATTTGAGGTAAGGCTCTACGCAATCTTGGTTTAATTACCAGGTTTTCTAGAGATTGTAAAAATGTTTTGGCAGTTAAAATGTTATTTCATTTCCATGTGCGTAGCCATTTGGAATATGCGGTGAGATTAGCAACGTAGAAATACTACAGAGGAAAGCAATATGGCCTTAAAATTTGGTCTTGCTGCTCTGTCTTATTTGGAAAGATTGAACTGGCTTGGTTTAGATTCACTTAGCTCCCTCCGTATTTCTTCTGATCTTAGTTAGGCATATCCAAAAATTTTATTTATCTCGGTGTTTGACTAAGTGACCACTATGAAACCATAAATTCTTCTTTGTCCCACATTGTTTTCTTTGACTACTCCTCTTGTAGACTTCTTCAGTTGGAGTTATAAATGAATAGTAAAAATATAGTGGTAGAGCTTTTCTTACAAGAATGGATCAAGGTAGACCGCAAGGATCTTTTGTGACCAGTGGTGGGTGTTTCCAAGATTTTGTTTGTAACACCCGATGCTACTGACAAGTACATTGCTTGTAATGGAAACCACAATAAATATTGAGAAAAAAGCTTCAGAACTTGTGGTTTCCTAAAAGATAATATATTGGGCATGGCACCGGAAATGAAAACTAATCTCCCATCAGATGGCAACTCTTGTCACAAAATGAAGAATATCCCATCACTCTTCAGGAATTATGTTCATGATGTGGAATTCTTAACACTTTCACTGAGGAGGTCAATTATGGGTCTGGGTACCTGGTGGCTGAAACTACATTTTTCCAAAAATCGATCAATATGGGCCTATAATGATTGGGAAAAATACTGAAAAAAAGTTTTCTTCTTTTTCTAGGCTTTTTCCCCCCATTTATTTAATTTAGGATGTCTTGGAACTAATAATATCCCATGTGTTTTATTTTTTTGAATAGTTTGATTTTGGGGGCATCATCAGTCTTGAGTTTATTGTTTCTGCTCCAGAAACATAAAATTAGTTTATTATGTATTTCCAGATTAGAATTGAGAAACTCAAGACTGATGAGGGGAGGCGGATGCCCCTGAAATTAATATCTCAGTAAAACAAATAAAAAACACATGGGATACGATTAGCTACAACACGTCCTAATTGAAGTAAATTCTAAATTGGACACATATGTGGTTGTCCTCAGGCAAACCCTCACAACAAACATTTATTTTTTAATTTTGGTGATTTTGGGAGCAAATAAAAAAATAAAATCATCTTTTGAAAACACATTTAATATAAAACCATATTTACACTTACATGCTAATAAATTCAACTGAAAATAAATAAATAATTACACGAATAAAAAAACAACCTATTTACCTAATTACTTTTTTCGTTTATATAAATTTGTTTAAACAAAATAACATTAAACTGAAACATAATAAATCTATGAAATAATTAATTTATACATAATTTAACCATATTTGTGACAAGCCATAAAACGTTATCCAGGGCAATGCCAGGACATATCGGGCAGGATGTCTTTTCCCATATTTGGAAAAAAATGTACGTTGCATTACTTTTTTAGTATTTCAATATTACAAACTAAATATTACAATAGAACTTACAGGGTACTTGGAAGTACAGCATTAATTTTAAATTCGCACATTCCTAAATACTACGTATGAAAAGTGTGTTGATGCCACAAGGAGAAAAAATTAACATCCTACAAACAAACTTTAAGTCAATAAACACATTTAAATACTTAAGAAACATTTCTGAAAGTCAGGTTCAACGTTTGCATGATAACAAAATCACTAACACCGGAATAAACGAAAATTTATGCAAACTTAAAAGAAATGAGTACACCAAAAGAACGAAGGGCAGATCTGGTATGGTGGACTGCTTTCTAGAGATAAGCAGTGGGTTTATGTGTCTCTAATGAAAAATTCAAAGTTACCCATACATTTTTCTGCAAATAGTAACAAGGATGCGTATGGGGTCCTCTGCAGTGAAAGTGTTAATAACGATAAAATTGTAATTGAAACAGACGTTATGGATGATGAAGAAGATGAAGAACCAGAAGATGTTCTGAGTATCAGTCCTAAAGGTGCCATGAAATTGACCAACTGCATATGTTATCTTTTAGCTGAATCAAACATGGATGAAAACTTAGGGATGGTTAGGAGCAATTCATGTTCAGGGTAATTCACACTATTAAATTAGCATGTCCACAGATGCAAACAAAAATTGACAATATTAAAAAAAACAAAAAAACATATATAATGTTTATAAAAGTAACATATATGTCCGTAAAAAATGAAATAAAAACTTTCCTTGCGTACAACTTTCGATATAACATCGATATAATCATGATTTCAATTTTCCTTCATTGTTTTCAATAATTTTCATAATACATTACAATTAATTAAGGTTTTTAGTTGAGATGAAAAAAATTAATGGCACGAGCGTGGGATTCGAACCCACGATCTTCGGTTAGATAGCCGCTGCTCTACCACTTGAGCTATCGTGACCTCGATCCACTCGGACACCAACTTCCCATCTCAACCCCACCTTATGAGTTTCCCTCCTTTTTGCCATTTTTTTTTTCATCTCAATTAAAAACCTTAATTAATTGTAATGTATTAATTGGTCAAGCGGACCACGAAACTAGTGAATTTTCATAATTTTCTCTCAATAAACCATTATCTTGATATAATGAACATGTTGATTATTGTACTTATTCTTTGCCTTCTTGAAGATAGATTATATATCGGGATTCAACTGTATTAACTTAGTGTGGTGATTAGTGACCGTTAGTCAATGATTATTCGGAGATCGTGAGATGCGGTCTGGTGTAACGTAGGTTTTAGAAAAACATTTTCTTTATCGTGCCAACGTTTCGATCTTTATTGAGATCATCTTCAGGGCTCAAAGTGTTGTTTTCTGCACTCTAAACACGAGACACAAGAATGGCACAATTACGCAGAAAACAAACACTTTGAGCCCTGAAGATGATCTCAATAAAGATCGAAACGTTGGCACGATAAAGACAATGTTTTTCTAAAACTTACATCACACCAGACTGCATCTCACAATCTCCGAATAAAATATATTAACATTTTTTTAATGCATTCTTTTATATTATTGTAAAGATTTTCAGTAGAAATTAAATCTGTTAAAAACTGTCGCAAAGAATATTGATTAGAGATGATAGTCTAAAACAGGTATAACATCATACCAACAAAGGAAATCTTCCTAAAAGAAATAGCTTCCCCCTTAGAGTAATCTAGAGAAACCAAATAAACCTTTATCTGTATAAAATGGGCAAAAATGAGATAACCAACTATCAGGAAAAATAAAAGTTATTGGTACACATTCTGTGAAGTATTAGTTTCTTACAGTAATTTTGGGAAGGACATTGTTGACACTATTAAGTCAAAAGATTTCATATACTGTCACTGTAAGAGGAGGAAGATGTAAGAAGCTCACCTCCGAGGAAGTCATGCCTAGACAAAATAAATGACCTTTTGATTGCTGGGGAAAAGACAAAGTGCTGCATTGAAGGTTTTGTATATTGTTCCTTATATTTTGAAGAAGTTGGAAGCCCCAGAAAAATGATTCTTGTCCCACAACTGATGTCCAGATATGTGAAGTAGCTCGCTCTTTTGGACAAGCTTGGCCAACTGCTCTCAGACATTAAAATCATTCATTTGACTAAGCTCATTTGTCATTGAAATGGCCAAAAATATCGTAGGTTGTTTTTACTGATGCAAAAGGTTCAACACAAGCCAGTACCGTTTGCAGCCATGGCCAACGAACTTTATAAGAATATTAGACGAGTCAGATATGTGGACCATGATGTTGCAGAAATTTTTGTCAAGACTCAATGCTGAAGCCTTATTTCATAATGAAACTATAAAATTTGACAATATGTAAAAAGGATATTAAGTAATTGACAAGTTATTTTATAATCATACTTTCTATTATTATTTTAGAAAATAGACAGTGTTTATAAAAAATATCATAAATGTTTTACATGTTTAATTTTATCTTTTATTCACTTTTAATTGAAATTGATTACATTGGCCTTCTGTTCTCATGCTAAATCACTCAACATTACACAAATTTGATTTACAATGAGAAATGTAGTTTTTGTGGTATGGCCATAAAGTAGTATCAATTAACAAAGTCAAATTAGGTTTCAATGGACAAGGTTTTTAAATCAGTAAAAAATTGAGGAATATTTATTAAAAATAAAATTTCACACTTATCTGGTATACCTTTCTCTTCATTAGAAAGATCTCAGCTCCTGTGGCTTATTTCACGAATAAATGTTTTTTGCTGTTTCTTGGTGATATACAAAGCCAAGTTGTTTCAAGCTGGGTCATAAATATGACTTGTTTGATTTCGAGGCAAATTTTATAATTTTACTTGGAGGGTGCAGACCTAGGAATGAGGACCTAGGAAGAACCTAGATGATACGTTAAGAATCTACAAAATGCCTTGTATTACTTTTTTTATTATATAACAAAGAAGAAACAAAATAAACAGAATGTTTATTTTGATTTTAAACTCTTGTTGGTTTTTTTATTAAAAAACCAAAACAAAAACCTTTAAATTGTGCTTACAAAACTTTTAATTTTGTGTATTGAAAAAACAAACAAACGTATATACCAGAAAACATCTCAAATGAAACAAAAATTAGTAAACTTACTAATATTAGTTAATAGCTAATAAGTTTTTATTGTCTTTACACCACCCTGCTGTTATTCCGGGAGGCCTTATAGTGGCAACCGCGCCAATTTACCAAAATTTTGGTTCGTGAAAAGGGACTTAACTAAACAAGGTGCTGGTTTTTTTAATATTTGTTTCTGTGATTAAATTAGTATCGTAAATGAGTCTCCTCTTGCTAGTATCCCATTTACAATTAATGCAAAGGACACTATCCCATATTAACCTAACTAAAGAACACTTACTCAATAGTTACATAAATACACTATATACACAAATAGGTTAATTATTGAAAAAAAAAAAAACATGATTAAACTGACTTGAATATAATTATCCAAATCATATAATTAAGTCGGACTACCCATGATGTCCGGACTGAAATATTTAAAAACATTGAATTCACTTTTCTCACTCCTGTTCTGGTGGCCAAATTTCTGGGAATAAAGCCTTTAGTTTTCCCTTTCTCTGTTGAAGAGTGAACGAGAAGAATCTATGCGTTACATATCTTCTGTCTTGTATACTGAGCATAACAGACTTCTTTAATATTTATAGGGGCATGCTGTGAAATTCCCATGACCTGTTAACATTTGCATTCTATAAAAATTGGGAAGTACCCATTTCGATTTTGTCCGTTCTTCAATTGTAGGGAAATATTTAAAAGCAAGTCTTCCCTTATTCTATTTCCCGGGATCCCGCTCGTGACACTAGCTTTTCATTTCAACCAATACTCTACATAAAGATTAATTAATTAAAATTAATACTAATTATTAATTACTTTACTCAATGGAATGATTTTTTTAAATAAATAAATAATAATATACATACTTTTTTTAAGGGAGGAAGAAGGCATTGAAATGCAAGTATTAAATAGTAACCGTGCGAGCAATGGAGCAGGAATGAGTGCCACTCCTGATTGCAGCCCTCCTGCATCATCAGTGGCTGACAGCAATGAAATGCAAGCGCAACAAATGGCTAGTACCGTAGATCTCAAGGTAGATGTTCACAGAAAAAACAGTTCAGAAAGCAGTGAAGGTCCTTGCAGCTGCAACATACCTTCACTCCGTAAAGGTAGAGGGAGCTTACTATATTTATGACATTATTTGTATTACTTGAAATGATTGTCTAGATTGTGCGGCGAGTTCGAGTTGGATGAATGCTGGAAGCAGTAGATCACTGAGTCAAGTGTCCCTCCATAGAAATTTGGTACGTCCAATGGTAATGTAAACAATAATTATATGTATTTTAAATATTGTTTTTTCCTAATTATATGCATTTCATAGAGTGCAGCTAAAAGCTTGAGTGGTGTTTTGGAAAGCTCAGAAGGTGTGGATATGATCGATTCTGGCCGAAGGAAACTACATCACAGACATAAAAGGAGAAAAGGACGATATCGTCTTAGTCAATGTAAGTGAAAGAAATTGTATAATATAGAAAGAAACTGTTTAATCTCAGACTAACGTTGGTGTCTTGCTGATTTGTTCCAGCTCGCCGTGAGGCAATGGCATCACGAGGTGTAAGTGAGGATTATGATGGAGAAGCTTTGAGTCCTAGTGGCCTTGACTGGCTGTTTCAGAACACCGACGGTGAAAACGAACCGACATTGCATGGTGAGTCTTTTGTTTATTGCACCGTCATTTCCTTTACTTTGTTACAGGGCTTCTGAAATGTATTTGAGAATTTCCTTTCTGGTCCAGAAAAAATACTGCTTTGCTCTTTAAAAATATACATTTTTGTAAATAGCTATAAATGCATGCGTGTGTGAAATAAACATGGTAACAAGCAGCAAAGGAATTAAACTACTTTTTGTTCTATTTTTTATTTTTATTTTTTATTTTTTGGTGTGGATGTATTATCTAGCTGTGCATATATTCGATCCAGGTGAAACATATCAAGCTGGCTTTTGGAGTTTCACACTGTCTGATGACACCCTGTCAGATACATCACTTAGCCTATTAGAACAACCCAGTAAGTTCCTTTAATTAATAATATGCCCTTTCTATTTATCAGTTGTTTCTTACACTAAAAAACATTTCTTTGGATTTTTTTTTTTTTTCAATTGGTGGCCTTGCATGTTTTATCTCTTATTTCTTTTGCATGAAAAGCTCTCTAAATGATTTAGGTTTATGATTTTTTAAAATATGATTTTCTGCACACAGCTTAACAATTTAGATTTAATCACATCTATTTATCACCAGAGCTCTAATTTTCATGATATTGTGATAGTCATGATAGCTTTATTGTTACAACCTTCTTTTTAATGGACAAAATCTAAACAAATGTAATGAAAAAGAAGGTATTAATTTCTAAAATTTGAACTATTTTTACATTAACGTACAACAAATACAAAAATAACAAGTTCAATTATAATTTATTTATATATTTTATATATTATTAAAATTTTAATCAAATTGTGATTGCAGATGGGAGAAATTAATATTAATTAATTCACTACTTTCGTGGTCCGCTTGACCAATTATTTTAATTAAATTATTAATTTTGTAAAAAAATTGATGTCTGCCCATTTTTTGAAACTCAAAAATTTTATATTTTATATCAAAAGGGATAAAAATAGAGAAAATTGAAGTAATAAAATGTACTTTGGAAGAAGCTTTAACTAACTAGTTTTTTAACCTTTAGTAAACACAACCTTTTGCTTTTCTTTCTAATAACATAATTAATCCAATAAGCATAAAATATATTTTAAAAAATTCAGAACATTTGACCTTTATTGAAAAATATACCCTTTGTACATTTTAGTTCAGTTAATGTTCTTTTATTATATATTCTGGTTTAAAAAAAAATCACTTTAGCAAATTGTAGTAGAAAAATGAACCCATTTAAAATCAACGCATTGAAGAGTTGTAAAAGTTCTTCAAATTAATTTTTCTTTTGTAGTGTTAAAGTTTCAGTTATTTTTATGGCAACAGTATTATCAATGGCATGTTTGTGTCTTGAAATAGTTAATGAATTGGTTACCATATTTGTTAAATGTTTTATGCAGCTCAAGATGATGTTGAATCTCCCCCAGGAAAATCATCACAAGAGCAAGGCGCAATTCCAAAAACCCCAAGTAGTCCAGGTAAATGGAATGATATAATCACCACTGTAAAATATGTGTTTAAAAGTAACTAAAAGTACTAACACCATTTTTCAACTCTCCTTCGTCAAAAATATATTTTACTGTGGTCAGTTTTCTGTGCATAACATTACTAACAAACCTATTTTTATAGTTTGGGCTTCAAATGAAGGGCAAAGAAACAGGAGGGGCTGTCATAAACCTAAACATCATCGTACTTTAACTCTCATGGCAAGACAAAATTCGGGTTGGTTTTGTTTTCTGTCTTTGTTGAAGTTCTCAGGGTTTCTTTTGAATATAAGAATTGAATAACGATTTTTAGTGTAGATTTTGATTTGACAATTAATTTTCAGGAATGAATGGTTCTGGTGAAAGGGAACTGAAGCCTGATGATGTTAACAACAATAGCAATAAAAAGGCTGAATTAAGCTGCCTTTTGCCGACGCCTTCGACTCCGACAGTCATGAGGTTTCCAGTTCCTCCTTCGGCTCCAAGTTCTTCTTCAGCAATGAGCACGTTACAACAGTTCACTCAAACCCCCGGAGGTTCTTTCATTCTGCAGTCGCTTACTCCAAGAATCCCTTCCCATCCTATGTCAGTTTACACATTTTCTCCACAGACGCCCCAGCAAGAACCGACAGAACCTAAACTTCACCGTCATCGGCCAACAATGGAGTCGCCTAAAGTTCCAAGAAGATATTACAGACATACATGGTGTCCTTATGTTAAAATACACTTTGACAGACTAACTCTTTTAGCAGTTCTTGACAGGAACTTGAGCTATGTGGAAACATTTTTAAGCATAATCCTTGCATCGAGTGTTGGGGTTCTTGGGTCTATTTTATTATATCTTCAACTTTATCGTGATTTGCATGCATTTATATTGTGTTTTGTGATGGCTGGAAGTCAATACTCTTTGATAAAAAGTGTTCAACCTGATACTGCTTCTCCGACTCATGGATATAATAGAATTGTCGTATTTTCTCGACCTGTATATTTTGTCTTAGTGGCTTCTCTTATACTTTTATTACATTTTAATGTACCAAAAACATCAATGACATTTTCTATCTATGGCTTGACTTTTAAAACTGTACATTTAACCCTTTTTATGAGAGATCTGTTATGTATAATACTTTTGTGTTTTCCTGTCCTTTTCGGCCTTGGTCTGTTCCCACAGGTAAATACATTCAGCATGTATTTACTGGAACAAATAGATATGCATATTTTTGGAGGCAATGCTACTTGCAGTTTAAGAAGTGCTTTATACTGTGTATTTCGAAGTTGTGTTGTTGTTATATTTTTATACGGTTTTGCCTACGGTGGCCTCAGTGAAGAGAAATCTTCACAGCATATATTGTTTTCTATTTACTGTGGACTGCTGATTGCGGCCAGTTATCATCTTAGTCGAAGCTCAAGTGACCCTGGGCCCATTTTGAACATTCTCAAGACACACCTGTGGATTGTGGAAGAAGTGCCAAAGACAGAAGATGTGAAAGAGGAACCCGAAGAAGATCCCCTACCAAAGAAGTTGCAAGCGACAGTCAACACCAGGCTCATGTCCGATCTGTTGGTTTGCACTGTGATTGCTCTAGTCGTTTTTGGAATTCATTGCAGTTCAATATTTACTGCATTACAACCAGAACTCAATCCTGTAAGCAATCAAATTTTTGTAAATTATTCAATGTAAATTACATTCAGTTAATTAATAATAAAACATTTTGCAGGTTATGGGAAGCGTTGCTGTTGCACTCGGTTTTCTTTTGCACTACATAATGCCTCAACTACGGAAACAACTGCCATGGCTTTGCTTAGCAAGGCCAGTCCTCAGACACTCCAACCAACCTCGTTATGAACCACACCACCCACCTACAGTTATGTGGTTTGAAAAAGTCAGTTTATTTTTAGTTTTGTATAGATTGTTTATTCCTAAATTTCAATTTATGACTGTGGTTTTAACATTAACATTTGTACTTATATATAATATACTTAGACAGATGGACGCCAGGAAGCATCAGGGTTCAGGGACTAATTACAAGGTCCATAAGCTGGTGTAGTAAGGCTGAGTCACCTGTCTTTAATGTGTAATATAAAATTAAACTGTATGACATGATGATCAAAATAATATGCACATTACTAATAATATATATAATAACACAATGTATTTTCATTTTTTATTGCAACTACAGAAATATAACTTAAATTATCTAGCTGTCGTAATGTTTTTGTTGTTTGAAAAACAAAAATACTGCTTGATCTTATTAATTTTTATACTACAAACAAAATGGTTTATTATAAATAAAAACAAGAGTTTAGGCACATCCTTTAATATTATGTTGTATTTCCAGCTGTACGTTTGGCTTTGTGTTCTGGAGAGCAACATTGTCTATCCTGTGTTAATGTTAGCTCGGCTCACTTCGGACTCTTCAATTCTTGCGGCTAACATGGGGCCTGGTTGGGCATCACTTGTCTTGACTATCTGCGGCCTGAAAGCCCTTCGTTCCGCTTTTTCACAGCCTCACGATCAATTTTTAGTACTCACGTTTGCAGTGCTTCTCTTCCAAGTAGATTTCCGCCAATATTCTTCAACTTTCCTTGTCGATTACTTCATTACTGCTATTGCGCTGAATAAAACTTATGAATTTTTGCTCAAGGTTTGTAAAAAAATAAAATAAGATTAAAAAAAAAAATGGAAAAACATAATTTTAATTATTTCAGATTCAGTTTGTTGTGACATATATCGCTCCTTGGCAAATTACATGGGGTTCGGCTTTTCATGCATTTGCCCAGCCATTTTCCGTACCTCATTCTGCTATGACTTTTCTTCAAGCTGCACTCTCGGCCCTCGTGTCAGCTCCTCTCAATCCTTTTCTTGGTTTGTATTTATTTTTTTTACAAAAACTTATCAATTACAAAAATCTTTTATATTTATTTAAATTAACTTAATAATTCTTTAAATTTGGAAGAAAATTGTTTCAATACTCTGAACTCTCTGAATGTTCAGCTATTGTACTTGATAAATTTGCTATTTCATAAATACATTTTATGTTTGTAACTAGGGAGTGCAATTTTCATCAGTTCCTATGTGCGGCCGATTAAATTCTGGGAAAGAGATTATAACACAAGGCGAGTCGACCATTCCAATACCAGGCTCTGCTCACATCTAGACAGAAATTTGGGTGCTGACGACAATAATCTCAATTCGATATTTTATGAGCATCTAACACATTCCTTACAACATTCTCTCTGTGGAGATATCATCTTAGGCCGTTGGGGCATCGTGAGACAAGGGGATTGTTTCGTTCTCGCTTCTGATTACTTAAATTGTTTGGTCCATATCATTGAAATTGGAAACGGCCTAGTGACTTTCCAAATGAGAGGTCTCGAATTCAGGGGCACATATTGCCAACAGAGAGAGGTCGAAGCCATATCAGAAGGTGTCGAAGACAATCAAGGTAACTCTATTGCATATTATTAAAAAAAAAAATCAGAGGTTACATTTTCTCTTAACTTCAAGGTTGGTGCTGTTGTGAGCCAGGCCATTTGCCAAATCTTTTAAGTTTAAATGCTAGTTTTTCACTAAGATGGTTAGCATGGCAAGTTACAGCTGCAAGTTATATTTTAGAAGGATATAGCATATCGGATAACTCTGCTGCATCAATGCTCCAAGTTTTTGATTTCAGAAAAGTCCTCGTCACTTATTATGTGAAGGTAAACCATATACATTGATTATTTATTAATGTGTACCATTAAATTTTGTTTTGTTTTTGTAGAGCATTATATATTACGCTGTTGGGTCAGAAAGACTCGAGACCTGGTTGGAGAGCCCAGTCTTGTTAGATGCATTGAGGCCAACACTTAGTAAAAATTTTGTGGAGCTGGATCCAATTTTTAATATAAATATTGATGAAGATTATGATTTCCGAGTGGCAGGCGTGACTAGGACATCATTCTGCACTGTCTATTTACATTGGATACAGTTTTGCAATGAAAAAAGAGAAAAAGTATTAAATTTTATTATATGATTTATTAAAGCTGATGCCTATTTAATATTAATAAATGTATGAATCGTCCCGTTTAGAAATTAGCCGATACAGGAAAAGATTCAACATTGGTGTCATTGTGTTTTGCATTGAGCTTACTTGGACGAAGAACCCTTGGGGCTGTTTCTCACAATACTACTGCAAGGTAAATTAATGATCAACATTAACGAATAAATATTTAATCCATCATTTGTATTTAACCTTAACATTTTTACAGTGTGGAGTTTTTTCTTTACGGACTTCATGCTCTGTTTAAAGGAGATTTTCGTATTACATCTTTAAGAGACGAATGGATATTTTCGGATATGGAACTCTTAAAAAGTGTGGTGGCTCCAGCAGTTAGGATGTCATTAAAACTACACCAAGTAAATTTTTGTACCAACATTTATTTTCTATTTTAGCTTTATTAAAATTTATGACTAATGATTTTAATTAATTAATTTTTTCAAATAATTACTTGAATTAATTGTTTTTCAGGATCATTTCATGTCACCAGAAGAATATGATGATCCAAATTTATTACACGCAGCAATAACAGAACATAGGGAAAAACTGGTCATATCGCACGAAGGGGATCCGAGTTGGAGAGCCGCGGTATTGGCAGGGACTCCATCATTACTTGCTCTACGGTTTGTATTAAGTCAATTTGTAAATTTGGTACTAACGATAAATAAATAATACTAAATTAATTCTAATAAACATTACTAAATTAATATTTAGTACCCACTTTAAGGGGCAAATCAAAATAAGGTCACCTGGCTCTAAAGCACATTTGACCAGTCTCGTCATGCACTTATTTTTTTATTTTAAAAGCCTATTTGTAAGTTTGTCGGGCTCGAACCTGGGACCTTTACCTTACGCTGATGAGCGCCGTGTCAACGCATAAACCGTTACGGCCATCGACGTCCCCTGTACTTATTTTTACCAAATGAGAAAGTATTTACCTTGTGCATTCTTGTTTGTTTAGTATTATGCATGGGTCGGTTTAATTTGTGTACCTGGCTTTAGTATAGAGTGATTGTGATTAATTTATGGTGATCTTAAAAGTGATGAAATTCAAATTGAGTGTGCATGAACCATTCGGATGAAAATTACAAGTGATTTTTTGTTTGTTCAGAAACTTGGAATGTATAGTAACACAGAATAAATATATAGATCTGTAATCTTAAGCTTATGTATTGAAAGAAGTCCTGAAGAATTACTGGTATATTTAAATAAAAAATCGCTTATTGTTTTATATAAGCTCAAATTTGTGTACCCATGTATATACATATACACGTGCGTGTACAGAGTTGGGCCTATACTTCTCACAGTTCACCGGCAATTCCAGCTTTTGTAGTTTACAATGAATTACTGGCAGGCCTCAAGACTCATAAAGGTTAGATGTTGGCAGTCCAGGGTCAGACCTTGATCTTATCCGTGTTGACACCAAGGTGAATTCCAGAGGCTCCGTGAACAAAACATCAATTAGTTATTATTGAAATAAATACAAAATCAATGGAGTATTCAATATTCTGCCTTTGGCCCTCTCACACTACACATTCATGCTAATAAATTCACTCAACACATCTTATGGACACAAGCCATCAGTATTATATAAATAAAAGAACCCTATTTCCAAGAATCAGAACAAGGGGACCCAGATCTTGTTGCCATGCTCAAACACAATTCTCATATTGGGTGGCTGTGTAGGAACATGCTCCCTATATGGAGCTAAGGACCCTCCAATTAGTTGGGACACATCAAACTTTCTCTATATGCTTTGGTCCATTTTGTCCATGTGTCAACCTAGCCTTTCTTAATCGGGTATACTCTTCTTCTACGAGTCAGATCTTTGTTCAACTAATGTTTGGATATATTGCGTGCTGATTACTTTTCAGAAGTTAAATATCTTTTTCCATGTAAAAAAATCATTATTTTCTTGCCAACCTAATATGAAACCTTGGGGTGCCAGCGCTTTTGATAAAAAGCTCATTTGTAAATGACAAACGAGGGATCTTTACCTTATGGCATTAAATGTTAACGGCCACCGATGCCCCTTATTATAGAGGTTTAAATAATAACTGTTCTGCTAAATTCTGAATAATGGGAATATATAGTGTCTTCATTGCCTGTCTCGTTTATTTTAATAATTAATTTTTCTTCAAATTAAACAATCAATTCAACCAAAGAGTTGATAATTGTTATACTAAACTCTTTATTAACTGTCTGTTTATTGCTTGTGATAGGCATGTCACTGACGATGGTGCTGATGAATATAAGATAATAATGCTAAACAAACGTCTGTTGAGTTTTCGTGTAATCAAACTCAATCGTGAATGCGTGAGAGGTCTTTGGGCAGGGCAGCAGCAAGAATTGGTGTATTTGAGAAACACAAATCCGGAACGGGGTTCCATCCAAAACGCCAAACAAGTAAGCCAACATTTAAAATTATAGTACACGTACAATAAATGTTTATTAATAACTTAATTTCAGGCATTAAGGAATATAATTAATTCCTCGTGTGACCAGCCAATCGGATATCCAATTTTTGTTTCTCCTTTGACAACATCTTATTCAGACACAAATAGCCAACTTAGGAGCATTCTCCCCGGTCCGATTACAACTACTTCGATAAAAAATGCTGCAATACGACTCTGGACAAGGTAGTATTTTAAACACATTCAATTTTAATGCCTTATCGACATAATGAGAGACAATCTCATAATTCAGCCCCTGTGGCAATATTTAGCTATTGTATCATGGCATTATTTAAATAATGGAGTGATTGATATCATTCAGGGGCTAAAATTAGAAACATTTCCATTTTACATTCATTGATTTTTCATCATTAATTTATTTACCATTTCTCAATCAAGGAGTGATTTTACAATTTAAAAAAAGTTTTGTGGTTTATGAAAAGATTAAACACAGGGTCTTGTTTTTGGGACAACAAGTACACTTATTTCAACAATGGGTCATCAATGAAAAAATTAAGAAGAAGGATTATTTCTAAAGGTTTTACTTGTTATGTCCTATGCTTCAAAGTATCATTACTCATTTTTTAAGTGATTATTGACATACAGATGAAGGCGCATGTGATTTTAATCGTCTTGGTTTTGCTGGTGCATTGTAATGTTCGAACATTGCCAGGTTTATCAATGCCATTCTCATTGTGGCTTTGACATGAAGGCGATGTGATCATGCTTTGTATTCACGTGCTCTCTGTGGGCTACATATCTATGCGGCTACAAATGCGCTAAATGAAGGCCATTTGGCTTCAGGCACCATTGCACTTGAGGTGATGAAGGATGTGCTAATTTGTGAAAAGCTCTGGTGAGTTGTTATTAGCCAGGGATGTCCAAGTGGGGAAACGAATGCAACTTTTGCATCAGTGTCAAAATAATTGATAGCTTGGCAAAGTGAACCAGGGAATGCATTTCAGTACCCTGAGAAAAATAAATCAACTGAGATTATCTTAGTAGTGATTAAATGAGCTATGATTGAAGCAAGAGGCAGTACTTTAATGCAAACACCAGAAAGCCTTGCAGGGGGATCATGAAGATTCTCAATTCCCCTGAATTATCACATAAAATGAGAATCACAGCCTGAAATGTAGAAAATGGACAGGCCCTCTGTGGAATAAAACATGAAACCACAGTGGACAATAACAGAAAGAAAAAGTAACAACCACATGTCAAAACTTTTTGTACATTGTATCTGTAAATGTTAATCGCAGAAATTTCACCTCACTACATTTATAGAAATAAACCAATATAAGAAATAAATTTATATGTGAACATGTGACAAAGTATCTCTCTGGAGATCAATTGCCTATGTAAAATCTCCTTGTATGGAAAAGGACCAAACATGTAAAAATAATAATTCAAAAATACTTTTGTTAATAAATTATTTGGAAATCGTGATACGCAGTCTGGTGTGATGTAGGTTTAGAAAAACATTTTCTTTTTCGTGTCAACGTTTCAGTCTTTATTGAGTTCATCTTCAGGGCCTGGGATTTATAACCATTGTTTAAATTATACAAATACATGTAAGATGTGAAAAAAATAATTTATACATTGATAGAAATTCATTTTCAAATTCATTCATTCGTCAGCACGATAAAGAAAATGTTTGTCGAAACCTATGTCACACCAGACCGCATCTCACAATCTCTAAATTAATTAACGGTCACTAAATACCACACATTTGTTAATAGAGTACGAAAAAGGTGCATCGAGGGATGTTCTAGTGGTAATTCCATGCATCAGGATGACGGTGGATTTGGAAATGAAGGGGTCTATGCAATGACAACTTACACTAATCGTCAATCTGGTGGTAATAATTAGTGTTACTATTTATATAATATAATTATATTCTCAGTAATAATTTATTTATCTACACTATTACCCTCTAATTATTATTATTATTATTATTATTATAGAGATTATTAATTTAGAGTTGTAAATTTCTAATTTTATAATGTTTTACTCTAGTTGTTTAGCAACTTAGTCGTTTCTTCAAATTAATAATTTTTGATAAATTTATATTCCAGAGCTTAAATTTAAAAAAATCAAAAATGAAATTATGACTGGCATAATTTGTGGTCAAATACCCTTTTTTCTTAAAGAAGTTATTCAAAACGCTTTATTTGATTGCCATATATTTGGAAACAAGTTACTTTGTTAGTACTAGGAAAATAGCGATATTTTTGTTTGTTAATAAGGTATTACAGGATCTTTAGAAAGGGGTGGGGCAAGGGCGAGTGTTGCTTCTTCCGGAAAGCCTTCTTTGGCATCTTTAGCCGGCCTTTTATCACCCGCTACTCAGGCAAATGAACAAGCTGCCCTTCCTAGAGTTAGAGTAAGCGCTTTTAGTATAAAGGATTGTATTAGTAGATAAAATTTAACTTAATTTATTAATTTCCAATTGTAGATAATAGATCCAAACCAGGTTTATGATTGTATAAATTTGGGAAGACGTATAGATGTGATTTGGCCAGATGAGAAAATGAGAGCGCAAGGTGGCAGATCACAATGGGGCGATTGGGTGCCCCTACCTGGAATGGAGGGTCAGGTATGTATTAGAATTTCCTTTTCCTCCCCCAAAGTGTTTTTGGAAAAAAAAATAAAAAGGTCACGATAGCTCAAGTGGTAGAGCAGCGGCATAAAGCCGAAGATCGTGGGTTCGAATCCTGCTCATGCCATTGACTTTTTTACCTCAACTAAAACCTTAATTAATTGTAATATATTAATTAGTCAAGGGGACCACGAAATTAGTGAATTTAATAAAAATAAATAAACAGCCCATTTGTAAGTATGGTTTATTGTATTGAGTAGCCAAGAATTTAAACCCTCGTCCTCAGGACTTTTACAGTGATGAATTGCCATAGCAAATGCTTAAACGTTAGCGATTGCATCGACACCCCATGGATTTACCCTCTCCCTTTAATTAAAACTTTTCGTAAAATTTGTTTCCTTTTTTTGGTTAAAATGGTTTAAAATCAGTTGGTTTTCTATGTGATTAAAAGATTATTTCCGCCGTGAAATAATTTGCAAAACTACCACATTTTTGGTAACTTTTTATTGCGTGTTTTATTGTTAAAACAAAGAGTTAGGTAAATTCCTAAAAGAGAACGCTCCTCAATCATTTTTTGGCTATATGAATCATTGTGTGGATATAGTTTTTTGTTGAGAGCAGTGACTTAGCTGGATTTCCGCAGAGTGCACTCTGAATCATGACATGAGTTGATTCAAAGAAAGTGAATACTAGGCTTAAGAAAGAATGTTCAATGATGTGCCAATCATAAGTGGATCATTTGTCATTGTATGAATAAAAACGATTCGTCACATTGAACTTTAATTAATCTTTGTGGCCTGGCATTATCTGTATTAGCAAGAATCTCTCACCGATGTGGTGCCAAATGGCACTACATTATAATTCTTCGATTATTTCTTATGAAGTTAGACATCTTTCTAGCAGAACAACTAATTCAGTGTGGGCATCTAAAGAAATTCTACTCCAGAACATCAATGACCCACCGTGGAAGCCACCTGAGAAACCATACAGCATAGGGCGTACCTTTCTCCTTTGCGTATCCATATGAAATTTTGCCCATTTGAAGATGTGGGGCTAACTCTCATATACTATAACTAGTCCCTAATCCCCCAATGTCCAATTCCCATGCGAATTGAAGCCTGGCCATTTTCTGAGCTGTGGTAAGAAGAGGACCATGAGTTGGATGCCGGGCCCTGAGGTTAGTTTCATTGAGCCTTCTTCTTACAGTCCTGGAGGAAATCGAAACATTTCGGACTTCTTATCCCGAAATGCTGCGATTTCACAGAACCTGATGATGAATGAATCTTTCGTCTTCTCATCTGTAGATTTAGATCGACCTTGTACTAGCCTTCTAGTGTGAAGCCCTGTTTCTCTGAAGTGCTGAAGAATCCTTCCTATTGTTGTCATTTACACTCAGTCTCCTGACGACTTCTTGCTGGCTGTGCATCCTTTCTTTATAATGTTATGTCCCTGACATAGTCTTACTCACTCAAATGCCTTACTGGAGCCATTGAAAAGGTTTAATAATAAGAACGAAATCAATGAAGTAAAGGGATTAACTAAAAGTGTTCTTTAGGCGTGAAAGGGCACAATGCTACTTTTTGCGCAATTGGGATTAATCATTGTACACAAAAGTAAACAAACATTAGTTACTGTTTATTTTGACTACAATAGCTCCTAATTTTCTGTAATTAATTTTAAACTAAATAATTTGAGTGGGGCGTTAAATTTGTCCATTAGTGTAATAATGTATACATGTTTAAAAAATTGATGTTGTAATTAATTATTCCAAAGAATTATTCTTTTTATCTAAGGTTTTTACTTGAGATGAAAAATTAGTGTCACGGGGATTCGAACCCACGACCTTTGGCTAAATTTGCTGCTGCTCTAACCCCTTGAGCTATCGTGACATACAAGTGGTTAAAGTAGCGGTGTATTGGGCTGAAGGTCATGGGTTCGAATCTCGCTTGTGACACTAATTTTTCATCTCAAGTAAAAACCTTGGATAAAAAGAATAATATGGTCAATTATGACACTAAGCAAATATGGATTAGTTCTAATTAATCGTGGAATAATGTGATTTCAGGTCGTCCACAAGTGGGTCCCTTGTCATAGAGATATCACCAGGAGATCTCATGTCGATCGTACTATTCTACTTGTTAAAATTGAAGAAAGGTATGTTCCTATTGCAGAATCAGGCATTATCGATTTAGGGCCTGATTTATAATGTTAGTAGTCAGTAATGTTTGGATTAAGAAGTGATACAATTGACATAAGATTTTTTCTTTGTACAATATTTACAATTATTTGTCATTATCGATTATTTTATGACTGTTTATATATATTAACAAAAACATCGATCATCATCATACTGTTGATTTCTACACATTTAACTTTTTATTTTGTAATAAATTAAAATTAAGCCGTTCATATGCCTTAACTTGTTAGACTGATTAAATAAATATTTATGTAAATAATATTGTTACTGTATATGTAATTGTGAATAACTGTACATTTTCGCAACTTTTTAGAATAAATTTATTTATCACCTACTAATTAGATAACATTAGAATCTGGGTATAGGAACTTGGCTGTGCATTAAAGGCTTATTTGATTTAAAAACTATAAATAATCATAGGAGTAAGGATTTGTTAAAAAAAGAAGTTTGAATTTATCTTTTTAGTTGGCAATTTTTTTTTCAAGGAGTAATAAAATTTTGCCTATGTTGAAACATTTCAGCCGATGCATTTAAATCGGTGGTGTAATAAAGAATCAATTTTAGCGAAGCAGTTTTCAATATATAAAAATAATGTTTGACTCTTTTCTTCAGTTGTTTAATTTGTTCAGAATTATGTAAAAGAGCAAAAAGTGTTCAGTTTCTATTTTTAGAAAATGGGAGTTGTATGAATGGAAAAATAAACTATACTTTTTAATATGTATTTAATTCTATTATTTTGATATATTTTATCCCCCCCTTTTTTCTTAATTTAATACAGGCCACTGTGCATTTTTAAACATTCTAGCTTTCGAAGAATCTGTCAAGAAAGTATCAAAGATGGTAAATTTTGCCTTTGGATAGGATAAAAAAGGCAATTAATAATTACCTAGAAGGCTTTGGTGAATGCAATTAGCAACTAGTGTAACAACCAGTAGTCAAAAATGTCAGCATAAGACGGATGCAAGATGTATATCAAGCCAACTTTCTGGGTGCGGTGGATGCAGGGCCTGTGTACACCTATTTATACTTTTTAAACTCTCCTGCCCCTTCACCCTTACACAATTATGTTTGAAATTCCTAGGGCCATTTCAGAAAGAGCAAAAGTACCACTTGCTACATCGGTACATTTTTTTAAAAATCTGGAAGTGATTTTTTTAAATATTCATTCTGTGAAAAACCACTCGATTTGATTTTCTGTGCGTTTTAATTATTTTCCATTTTGTTTGATTATGTAAAATAAAGGAAAAATTATTGTAGAAAGTAGTACCTGACAAAATGAGAGAACAACTCAACAGACGATCCATGTGGTCGTACACACTACACATAATAGACTTTGGAAGAAAGGTAGCCACAAGTTTTAAAGAGGGTCCTAATATGGTACACAGATAAAACAAGGTGTGGTGTAAAAGGGCTGCATTATACGCAGCAAAACCCCTTGGACTAACCCAAGCTGAGGTCCATGCAGTACAATTGCAAAATGTAAGGTGAGATTAGATTAGCATACTTTCAGACAGCCATAAAGGCACTAAATATTACGCTTTCAACTCCACACTTGTCTGGATGCGTAAATTACCTAATTGCTCTAGTAAAACACAAGATTACCTTAAAGTGGGTTCCAGGAAGGTGTAGAAGGAAATGGACAGGTTGAACAATTAGCCAAAAACGGGGCAGTCCTCTCACTCATAGGACCAGAACCACAACTAGATGCACTGGAGTATGTGCTAAGTTGGAACTGCAAAAACAGCTTAATAAAGAAAAACTGAAACACTGGATGAAAGCACCAGGTGTGAGGCAAGGTAAGACATTTATAAATCTCTCAAAAAGCAAGGCGAAGGAACTGAGCAGGCTGGATTTGAGAAAAATGGTCACTGCCCTCTATTATTTTAAGAAGTTGGGATGGAAACATGCTGTCAGGAGCCATTGACATTTGCGCAATATTCTTAGTGAATGTGAAGCATTAGCCTAGTATATGGTAGAGCCACTTCGGTAAGGCAATTCTCACACTAGAAGTATGCGAAGAGGCAGAGAACAATGCTTATTTTTATAAGAAAAAGTGAACTTTTAAGTATGGTTAGGGGACCGCGGTAGCCGAGTGGTTAGCATGAGAGACTCTCACGCCGCGGTCGTGGGTTCGATTCCCACCGTCGCCTCTGGCCCTTTTTTCCCGATAACCCCCAATTTGAACACACAAGAATTCGTACTATGGCTAATATGCAAGATCATAAGGCCAATAAAAAAAAATAAAAATAAAAAAAAAATAATGGTATGGTTAAAATTTATAGAGCTCCACTGTAGAACTATATAGGGTGTTTTTTTTAACATGCATCAGCAGGTTTTTACCTAAATTTATGTGCAGATTCCAAATCCGGTGTCAATTTTTTTTCAATGACTTTGTCAACACCAATGTCACTTTTAAATTTTAAATGGGACCCACAATTTTTAAATTTTTCTGAACTAGTTTTTTTAAGAACAATGAGTACAATAAATTTTGAACACCTCCAAAACTAACGAAATTCTTTTCATATTTTTTTTTTTTTTTACAATTTGTAGTTCTCATTTGAAAAAAGTGAGATCAACATCAACAAAACTTGTAAAAAAAAAAAAAAAATGGAATCTGCATAAAAATGTAAGGCATGTAATATTGGTAAACATCAGTCACTATTTGTATCTGTTTAAAAAATGGGAAAATCTGCTGGCGCATGTTAAAAGACACCGTGTATAGGCTGTGGTGGAAACAATTTTAAAAATCCTTATTCAACCCCCCAAACCTTTAGAAAAGAAACAAAAAATGTGTAAAGTTGAAATGACTTTTATTCAACTATACCCACAATTAACTTCAAACTGAACAAACCTCCTGTGGGTTGTCTACTTCATTTGCTCAGTGCTGTGGGGAACACAATTGTTTTGTCATATAATTGATATCACTTACAATTAGATAAATAATAAAATTTAAAAATAAATTGTTTTTAAATACTAGAGAGAGCTATATTATGTGATAAATTGGGTTCCACCATGGTCAAATAAAACGTAGTCAATGTATTAGTTTAAGACACTTGAATTTGATCAGCCTTATTTCAAAAATTATATTAATATTTTAAGGGTCGATTAGAAAACCATGGACCATAAGCATCGCAATTTTTGTGTTTCTTACACCTTAATTAATCATCTTTGGATTATTTTTTTCAAGGGTTCTCGCAACAAGAGAGATCTTATCAATCCTTGGAGTGTCGGTGTTTACTTTAAACTCTTTTTTGTGTTGGATGCAGGGCCGCTGGATTTGAACAAGGAACCTTTACCTTGCAGTCATGAACGCTGTATCAACGCCATAACCGTTGTGGTCACAGACACAACATTTTTGGTTTAAAAATGAGAATTTTTAATTTGGTCTCATACCCAATCCTTTCTAGGCAACAGCACAAGTGCAAGCGCATAACTGGTGAGTGTTGATATCTTGTAAAAAAAAAAACAACAATAAAATAAAGGAGGGCGTCGGTGGCCGCAACGGCTTAGGTGTTGACCCGGCGCTCATCACTGTAAGGTAAAGGTCCTGGGTTCGAATACAGTGGCCCTGCATTCGAACCCGACATACTTACAAATGGGCTTTTTTTCAAAAACACTGGCACCCCGAGGGTTTTATGACCTCTTCTGTTGCAAACCCTCGTTTAAAAAAAAAAGAAGAAAATAATAATAATAATAATAATAAAGCTGTCTAAAAATGGAATCAAAAAGTAAAATATGTCTTTTTCTTTCTGTCCATTTCTTTCCAAAAATGTTTAACAAAAACAAACTTTTGTTAACATCTAAATTCTACAATTTGTCATAGCTGGTTGCTTAATGAAAAAAAAATCTGATCTAAAACTTCTTCCTGGAGTCTGTTATTCTTAGTGAGCACAGAGAAATTTTGAATAAAATACAAAAACTATATCAACTTTTGACTTTTTTTTAATCAATCAAACATAAACAAATTTATCTTTTAGTTAGTCATAAAACTATGTTTTACCATTTCCTTAGTATATATATATATATACAAAACAAAATAGCAATTGTTTTGAAATGACTACGATATGATTATCACATTGATTCATATTAATCAAACAATTTCTGTCAACTGTTATCCCTTTAATACACATATCTTTACAAGACACTTATAAATAGAGAATTTGAAGAAAAATTTATAAAAAATAACAGCTTCTTTCGAAATAGCATTGTTAACCTTTTGCTTCATTCATTATTAGCAAAAAATAGTATTTACAACATATATAGTAGCACATAACATATACATTATGTTACAGAAAATAAAAGCAGTGTTCTTTTCATTTTGAGGAAAATTACACGTATTTCAATTGTATAAATTTTACAAATATGATACTGAAACTTTTGAAAATGCTTCAATAATATTTTCAGTGGAAAATTGGTAATGTACAACTTTCTAAATTTTAATCTTTACAATCTTTCTAAAATTTTAATAATATTTATGCAGGAAAAGCAAATTTTACAATAGGATTTTTCTGAGTATTTCCTCTTTGACTGAATTCAAATAACTAAACAACTATTAAAATGATTATTAACTATTAAAGCATGATATTTTTAATATAAAATACATGTTAATATTAATATCGTGACAACAAACTGCTTAATATCACAAATAAAAATGTATGTACATTTTTTTACTGGAAACTTTTTTTTTAACTTAAAAAGTTTTGCATTTCAAATTACAAATTTCAAAAATATTTGATTCCCAATTTTTTTACAATGAAAGGAAAACCTGCATAATTTACAAATTATCATTACAAAAACTCATATTAAAAATAAAAAAAGTGAATACTCTCAAAGTATTGATAGTTCATATTGTTTTGTAACTTAAGAATAAAAATTATTATTACTTTGAGTCGCAGAGATTTAAATACAATAATAGTTTGTTTTTTTAACTCTAAGAAATTACTAATCAATAAAAATATGTTTACTCTATATGTACAAGTTTAAAAAAAAAAAAAAATCAACTGTGAAAGAATGAGTATTCACTGAACAGCTGAAGAAGGAAAAGTACTACATGAAATTAATTGTGCTTGAATGGTGAGTTAATTTACTCAAAATAAATAAAATTACAACGCAACATGTAACCCATTTTTGGCTTTCATTCTCACAACCATGTGATAATTAAATTAATAAAGGCACCCTAATGTACTAAACTTTGGTGCCGAATAAAATAAATATAAGTAACTACTCGTATGACTAACGCGGGGAAAAATGAAACGATTTTGAACTTGTAATTGCTTCTTACTAGTTTTTACTTTAAATGGAAATAATGTTTTAATAAACATGTTTTATTGCGTTAACATAATTGAGTTGTAAACAAGTGTTCAAAATTTTAAGAGTGACAATTGAATTTTGGATTGTTCACTTCTTTTCCACCCCACCCTCCCAAAAAAAGTAAGATAAAAATTATCCTAATTTCTTATAAATTACAAAGGACGTAGATCACATCTTACAATATTTACATAAAAAAGTTAGTAAAATAAAGTAATTAAAAACTAATATTTTCCTGGGATAGATTACAGACATGTATAGGCCCAAATTTTCGGAATGTCTAAAATGTAATCAGCAGGGGGAGTTCTCTAATGGAGAACATGTAGATAATTTAAAACATAAGGTAACTGTTACAAATAAAAATAACTTTGATCCTTTTGTCCTAAATTTGTTTAGATTATGTTTGTTGCCTCAGTTTTCATTTCAATCTTTGGAAAATGTTCTTTGATATTTTGTTGTAATACTACAGCAAAGGTTACCATATACAAGAAACGATATACAATAACATTTTGAAATGTAAATAAGACGAAGCTATGAAAAAAAGATGAAGTAAAAAGAACCTCAATGGATCCTGTTGGACCTTTTGAGGGGGCAAAGGCGAAGAACAATACTTTGAGACCGGTACTTCACCAGTTTTGTAAAACTCTTCTAATATTTTGTCTTTCTCTTCCCACCTTGTAAACAACCATTGAGTAACTTCTTCTTGTTTCTTCGGCAACTACAACAAATAATAATTTCAAGAATAAAAACATTTTTTACAAGTCAACTTTAACATACCTCTACGGACGGAAAAAGACGGTAAAATAGGAAGGTTTGACATGGTTTTCTTGATCCAGTAACAATTGTTGGCAAATCTAGGGGCTTCCCTTCTGGATAAGCGATAGTAATATCCAAAACCCATCTGAGAGTATCTTTGGCTGAAAAAAATCACACTTCATGTTACAAGTGATAAAATATCTAATTACAACATAGCAATTTTCCAACAGAAGCCCTGCAAACCGTTTTTTAAGGATTGAGGGGGTGATATATAATTATGACAATCCTATCGTCCACTGCGACTTAAATAGATCTATTGTGGAACCCCTATAAATAAAACCCCCCAGCCACACCTTGGAAAGTGCACTTTTTTTGTTAAGACTAAGTACTTTTGTTGGTGCCTCTTCGCTGACCTCTTTTGGTGTAAGAAATGTCCTACCGAAGAGGCTGTAACTGGGCTAATGCTTCACTTTTGCAAAGGATATGTACTGATGTCTCTGTTCTTCTCGACAGAGTCGGCATGTTTCTGATGAATAAAGAAAATAATGTCCTGAAAACTTTAAACATTATTTTTTTTATTCTATAAATTCTTATTTTGACTGGACATGTCTAAGATTTTACAGCTGCTTGTTATAACTGTAAACAAACTATACAAGTGCTTACTATTTAAAAAATCCATTGTATCAATGCTGTACTCTGTATTTTCAGCCACAAATGCCATTTGAGAGAGATCAGAACAAACCCATCGTGGAATACTGTTAACTTTTCAAATATTGACAATTTTGAGTTTGTTACACCATTTTATTCAGATAAGTGTCAAAATTGTTTGAGGAATGAAACTAAAAACATTGATTGACCACCAAATAGCGGAAGTTACAGGATACTACAATTTTCCTGACTGTTGTTCTCATAAATTGAGAAGTTGAATTTTGAAGTTATTTCTTATTCTGACCTTACCCCTTCAGATATAAATTATATATTTTCGCGGTAAAAGTTTGTGAATTTAAAATGTGTTGAAACTTGCTTAAGGGAGTTTTTTCTTTTTTCTTTGGTAAAAACGGTAAAAAAAATTGGAGGGGGCATTATATTGTATTATGGCACCAAAGACAGATTCATATGTGATGCCACATACATCGAACAGGAAAGCCATTTTGCTTGAAATACATAAAAATAATATTAGACTACAGTAAATGTGCCAATCTATAAAGAAACAAAAGAGCGTCTTCAAGACCTGGAGGATGTAAAAACAAAACTGCTGAACACCCAATAAGTAAACAAACTGAGAGACATCTCAATAAATTTTAGGGGCAGGGCTCATCAAAAGCCTAGTCCATACAGGGATTCTTTGAATCGACTGTTTGAGTCTGGGGCGAATCCCGAGTAGATCTGAGCAGCCCCAGATCATTGTCACAGTGAATCTAGTGTGTTGCAGGTTAGTATTTTTGCATCTTTTGAGTCCCAACCGAAACGGAATCTCTTACTCAATGTTGGGCAACACATGCAGGGTAGAGGTCATATGCCCTCGTTTCTTCAGTTACCCATCAGCTGTTAGCTTTTAGTTTTTATTAGTCTAGTTTTTCAGTTAAAATTGACATTTAAGTGGCGCTGTGGAGTAGTGCTTGGGCCAAATCCGAACATTGCATCTATTCAGTCTAGATTCTAAATCGTGACATGAATCGACTCAAAGAATCCCAGTGTGTACTAAGTTTAAAACTGTCTAAGAAGGAGAATTGTTATGAGAGGGACAGGCTTAGATCATAAGATGTAGGAACATTGTCTGAAGACTGGTGAAAGGGCAACAAAGAAAAGCTCTGAGAAAAGAAGAAGCTAAGAATGTGAATTCTGGTGTTGAGAGTTCTATTTTTGGCAAGTTTGTATATTGTTAATTAACACACCTTAAGAATTAGAGTTGTGTATAACTATAAATAATTCGATTATTATTAAATATTCAAAGGTGCAGGAATCTGATTCTCTCTGCGTTTTGTACTTTTGAACCTTGCACAAGGGACATCAGTGGCCGCAACGGTTTAGGCCCTGACACGGTGCTCATCACTGTAAGGTAAAGGTCCCAGGTTTGAATCCAGCGGCCCTGCATTCGATCCCGACATTCTTACATTGGCACCCCGAGTTGAAATACTCTCGTTAAAAAAAAACCTAAATTCCTTCTACACAATAAACATTTACACTAAATACCCTTGTTTTGCTTATCCATAGAAATATATACCCTTGTTTTGCTTATCCATAGAAATGTAAAGTACTTGCCTCTTACAATATGTAAAAATAAATATTTTTAGTAAAAGAGAGATTACTGACTCGCTCAGATGTGTTTTGTGTTCATTGTAATAATTTATTTTAAATATTGGAATCAAACCTAACTAAAAGCTAACTTACATACAAAATAATTGTTATCACAAAACATTTTTTTCACACAATTACAGCAAAAACACTAAGGTCAGGGCTGCATCCGGAGGACATGCCAAACCGGTCAATGCTGGCACCTAGTGAGATTAATGGGCAAGGAGGTCTCGAGACCATTAAAGCAATGTGGCAGGTTCTTGAGATAGGAATATGTAGAGTTAGGATGGATCGAGAGGTTGGAGTGAAACTTTTGGATTCGGGAATGAATCAGTTCATTGAAAAAAGGAATATTGAGGTTGAGTATTGAGATTAGTAACGCAGTAGGGATCTTTAGACGATTTGAACGAGGACTTTTTATTGGATGTGCTGGATGTTGGATGACTTGGAGGAACCCCACAGTTCCAACCCGAATGCCAAGAGGCCTAAGTAGTCTTGAATAAGTTGTTAATATAAAGCATCCCCGAGTGCCAGACCCTATCAAAAGCTTGTAAATATAAAAAGTAAAGACACTTACACTGTCGAACTTCCTGGGATTTGTCATCACCCTGTGGGCCTAACACATCCATGATTCCATGCATGGCTCCCATGCGTGGTAAAGAGACATTGTTTAACATAGGAAGATTATTTTTTAATGCGTATCTGTAAAAAAATCTCATTATTTATGTGTTCTAATTGAATATTTTCTATATCCACACTTTCTATGCAAAGCACACTTGATAGAGGTATTTTAAAACTAGAACTTTGTATTATGTTTCTTTAGATGAAACAATGCAAAGGAATTTTTAAAGGCTTATATGTTCCATTGATTTACAAAAGATAATATTTCAGAATTCTTAATTTGAATAAAAAATAATCATGAGTGTTACATTTACATAAATAAAATAAAAATATATTTTTTATACATTAGTTATATCTTATATGAGATTGCCTTGTTTATTAAGAGATATACTTTTTAGACAGTTTTTATAAGAGCATTTCTTAAAAACAATATTGTTTTTAACAGACAGTTGTCTATGTCAATGTTAGAAGGTGGAGATAAAAATCTTATTAAATAAAAATCATGCTATATAATTATATTTTTCAACCTTGGTATAAATAAAGGCAATTATCAAAGTGATTATTTACCGTTTACTAGCTTCTCTCCGTTTTCTTAAAAATCCTCCTTCTGGAAAAAGGACCATTAATTTTCTATTTAAAGGAATGTACGATTCTTTTAAATGTGTTTTTAAAAGAGTCACTGCCTCATCTCTGGCAGCTTTGCCCTTAAAAGTAAAAGAAAAATTAGAAAATACTGTAAAAAAAAGCAAAGAGAAAATATATAAATAACTACCGATAAAATAAAAAAGTCTTCGTGTATTATGGAAACAATACCAAAATTTGTGAATTTAAAGACGCGATCCATAATCCACATTATATTTGGAAGAACACAAGGTTTGGCATTAAAATTTGCCATTAACATAGGTACGTCTGCTGTGGATTGGTGATTCGCAATTACCAACGTCCGGTCATCCACACATAAGCGTATATCATCTCCTATTTCTACAACTGATGGAAACAATGTTTAATGACATATGTATTAAATAATGAAATGCATGCTTTCTTGCCTTCAATGATACATTAAAAATACATAAAATAATGAAAATTAATTACAAATAAAGAAATTTAATCAAAATTTCCGAGAATAAATTTATGTTGCTAAATAACAATTACTATACTTACTGTCATAACCCGCAGACCAACTCCACATGCTCACCATTGCAAGCAACCAATGGAAAAATGTTCCCTCTATTTTCCAATAGAGATTAGGTCTATAATACCTTAAAGGTTGAAAGAAAAGCATCCACACACAAAAAGTTGGGATGCAATAAATATTGTTTAATGTTACAAACAATATTCTCGCAATTGATTTTAAAATTAATAGAATCCTGAAAATTAAATTAGTTTTTATGAATCATTTTAATACAAAACATAATAAAATTATTTAATTGCCTAATTAATTATTATACGTATATATTAGCAAATAAAAGTACGCTTAGGTGAGTTTGTAGGTTTTCCTTTGACTTTTACAACAATTTTGAATATTTCCAAATTATTTACAATATAATTTTTTTAATGATATACATTGTAGCAATATTGTAATGTCAATCGGTTTCCAATATCAAAAAGTTATGTAAATTTATATAAAAGATAAATCTATAACATGTTTACACAATCCAAAAATATTAATAATTATTGTATTTATAATTTAAATTGAAAAGGTTTCAGTTCTACATATAGTGCCTGATAGTGTTTCAACATAGAAAGTAATTGATTTTTGATCGTACGATCATAAATTGATTCAGATTTATGGAAGAAATATATATAGATAGGAAAGATAAATTACTCATCCAGCTAATTTAAGAGTGAACACATTTGATGAATCAGACTGTAACCACGTTTGTGTTATCAACAAAGAGTAAAAAAAAGTAAATAAATTATTACATAATGGCAGACAATTATTATATATTAGTGAAGTTAAATTCATTTTAACTGAGGATGCTGCTCTTCAGATGTTTTTATAACTGTATATTTAATTTTTTTTTTTTGTGAATGGTTGTGTTGGAGTCGTGAGGAGTGGTCAATCAAGAGGTAATTTAGAAAAACACTTTTTTAATTTTTTGCCTATGTTTCGACCTTTATTCAAGTCTTCTTCAGGGCATAAAGTGTGGTGTATTATTGTGGTGTCATATTTGAAATTGTTGTGCAATGGCATTTACAACAATCTCATACACAACCACTACTGCTATGACACCGCAAGCATAGCACCACACTTTATGTCCTGAAGATGACCCAAATAAAGGTTGAAACGTTACAAAAAGAAAAAAAAAAAGATGTTTTTCTAAACTGCTGCTTTCTTGACCCTCCTCCAAAATTGCTTATAATGATAAAATTATCCACCGTTCAAATGTGATTTATAAAAACAAAAGCACTGAATTGAACAATTATGCATTTATATGAACAAATTGCCCAATTTTTTGAAAAATTAAAAATATATAGAGACAGAAGAAAACATCTCACCTCATATTGTTCATAAATGTTTCCGAAATCTGTAATCCATAGAGATAATGTAAAATATGCACTTCCTTAAGCACTATGTTCTAATATTTTCAATTCAACAAGCACCATTTTTTTTGTTTGAAGTTTTATAGTTAGTAATTAACGTAGCCTCCAAACCTATAACTTTAGTGTCTCTTTATAAAATGCACATCTGTAAACAAATATTAAAATTTCATGAGAAAATGAATGCTGTGACGAATACTGTTGTAATAAATTAATCTGATGACCTTTAGAGTCCAAAATTCCTATTGGGATTCTAATCTTTTAAATAAATCAAGAGACAATCTAAATACCAGTTAGTTAATAAAAAAAAAATTATGTAAGCATTAAGTACTTTAAAAACCAGATAAGGAAAAACAAACACAAATCAGTAAAAATCTCAACATAACATCAAATAAATGTACTAACTCGAGTGTAATGATTAAGCATGGACATGTATCAGCAGATCAAAATGTTACCTCTGTCAAAACTAAATTTTATAAAGAGAAAAATACCTACTCTTCTCAAGGCAAATGTTGACATGGCTGTAATTTCATGGTTCGTCAAGAGAGTTTTATCAACACTACTTTGCACTTTGATTATGAGTGAAATTTCTACACCATCTGATCAAAGATAGCCCATCTTTACTGGCAAAGAAATGCCGTTACTATCTTTTCAACGACATACAATATTAACAACAATACAGTTGCTGTTTAAGTGGCCAGTAAACGTAATAGCTATTCACTCGGAAAAGATTACTTTCAAAATACATTCTAAGATACCCATGTTCAAATATAAGTGGAACGACTGTGTAAACAATTATTTAATCAGCTCGCTTCTACTAAGATTTTAATAATTCCAAATTGAACATATTAAATTTTACATTTATAAAATTTAGAATAACATCTTTTTAACAAATATGTTTATAGCTAAGTAACTATGTACTTCTGATGGGAACTACCTCTCATGCATTAATACGCATAAGTTTATTATTTGTTGTAGCACATTTCTCAATTAAAAGTATTGTTTACAATTTAGGTAAAGTTAAATTCTTGAAATTTAATTAAGATGAATATTTTATCATTATACTTAATCATCTAATCTGTATTGTAATTAATTCACACCTAATTAGTACAACTAATAAGACCTGTTCAAAATATATTAATAATTCATTACTTTTTAAAAGGTAGGTGGAACATCAGTTAAACATTTGATTTTGTCTCATGTCCTGCGTTATTATTTTAAATAAGGTTTCTAAGAAACAATATGCATCAAGAAATTAACAAAGGTCTTTAAAAAATATGTTACTTTACTCTCTATTTAATAATAAATAATATATTAGATTAAATATGTTTTACTTTAGGCAGAAATGACCTAACAGGAAGAAGTTTGTTATTATTTTTGCTCTTATAACGATTATATTATGGACTAAGATTAATATAATTAATTTAACGTTTAGTTATTGTTTACTGATCTATACAAGCTCAAATCAGCACACACATGTATATACACTAGTCAACTTATCGTCCACTGGAAACTTCAGCTTATGTAATTCATAATAAATTACTGGCAGGTCTCGGGAATTACCCTCCCCGGGTGTAAGCAGTCCGGGGTCAGACCTTGCCGTTGAAGTTGGGCTCCAGGGGTCATCAACAACTTGGTAATTTCAGCCCCCAACGCAATCAGTTCCTAAAATCAAACCCATTCGCACTCACTCACTCTTGAAAATGTTCTTTCCTGTTTGCATACCATTCACATATAGGATAAGATGGTGGAGTGCTAGATATTCCTACATGACTCTTCACACATTATATAGTTAACCTAATTGAAGGTCGACGGGTTCTCAATATTCCTCTCACATTACGCATTCCTGCTAATAAACACATTCACTCTCAACACACACTAGGGAAATAAGACTATACAGTATTATACAGGGTGTTCCAGAGAAAGCGTGAAATTTTTTGGGTGATAGTACACCCAATTTGCTTCAATTTCCAATGTACAGTCCCTATACCTATCTTCCATCCTTGAAAGTGTTATGATTTTTTGTTAGTTTTTCTATGAATACATATCTATGAAAACTTACTTGAGAAAAACAAACATCTATCATCAAGGTTACTATGTTTTGTATTAAATTTCCTTTATACTATTTTCATCTGAAATAATTTTCAATGAAGAACCTTAATAAATGCTCAAATATGAAAAACACCACAAAGCTTGGTTTTTTAAGAAATAATATAAAATTTGTTAAAGAATATTTAAGAATTAATAATTAAGTATGCCCTTTATGTTACGATAAATAGAACTGCTTGGTTTTCAAGTTTTATCATTTTATCCACAAATTATTGAAGGATTTACAAGCATTAGACGTTACAAATTGTTTTCAAAATGATGACCATGATGTCTGACACACATCCGTGCTCTTTTTCTCATGGCACCTACAATTACTAGTGTCGATAAATTGGTTCTAAGTTTATCAGAGACTTCAAGGATTTTAATCTTTAAATCTTCATCACTGTTAATTACTGAAATGTACACCTACACCCAACAAGCGTGTTCCTGGTTGAACCAACAATATTCAACATGGAGTGGTAGAGGAGTCATCCGTGGCCACCTCGTCTCCCTGATCTTACATCGATTTCTACATTTGGGGCATTCCTTAAGAAGGTGTACTGTTCAGTAGTAAATCCAGAGGTGTTTGAATCCAAAACTGTGTGTAACATGATGATAGAAATTTTTGTTTGCTTACATAATGTACTTTCCATGGAAAAACCAACAAAAAATCGTAACTCGTCAAGGATTAAATATATACTATATAAAGACTATACTGCTACGCTGGGAGTTGTTTCAAACTATCACCTAAAATTTTTTTATACTTTCTCTGGGGCACACTGTAATAATAATGAACTAAGCAATAGCTTTTAATGTGTTAACAAGCATACTTTACATTTCTGATCCATTTTGAGTGAGCTTAGATGGCAATAACCAAAGTTGTCTTCAAATGAAAAAAAATACGAAGTGTTTGGAAATATAGACACTTCTGGGTTTCCAACTTACAACATTGATTTCACATATTTTAAAAAATCACCAATGTTTTTCACATCTACGTATGCAAAGAAAATTTCTATGTGATAAATCAACAGGACAGCCTTGGGTTTGTGTTTTCTATAATAGTCTATGAGTACATTTATATACCAATTGTCTTTCTATCAATTCTAAGCTGTACTTTCATGCATTCTACTGACATTATCTTGCATGTGGAAGATAATTTAATGTTTGTAAAGGGATAAATCAATTGATAAAAAAGAAAAAATATTTCTTTTCACCTTAGCTTTTGCTGTTAGTCAACTGCTCTTTTGTATCCACCATACAAAATAATACTATACAAATTCCTGACCCCAACCCAGTCATACCAGGTCCAGCGCCACGATGTTACTACATTTATACTTTTATTATAAACAATCTTTTACAGATCTCAAAGTGAATGTGCATGTTTGGGTTATGATTGCACTAATGATCAGGGGCTCAACATCAGCTATAGAGCACTCTCAGGCCTACAAACATCTCTGGAGGTAGAGAAGGATCAGTGGAGATAGAGAAAAGGCAGTTGATATAAGAAACTATTATACTACTGAGAGATTTAATTATTTTTTAAAATATGTAATTTAAAACTATCATTATAAGGGCAGTTAAAACAATTAACTTTTAACCATGATGTAAGCCGTATGTAAGCCTGGTGTATGGACAGTAATTTAAATGTAAAACTTATAGTATTATAAAGGTGTGTGAAGTGAAAGATAATTTAATTTTTGTTATTCTATACTTTGAATAATCGGCAAATGAAAATAAATGTTATGAACAGTTACGGGACCTCCATCACTGAACTGAAGACAGTAAACAAACCTGTCAGAAAACTAATTACTTTTTTCAAACCGATGAATGTAAGCATTTAAGCCCTATAACAATTATTCTTTTTAAATAGGACTTTCATTGAAAACGGAGAAGGCCTTCAATCCTCCATCGGTCCGTTAATGAGGTTCTACCGCAGTCCATAAGTATGTCATTAGTTAATGCACGTAATAAACATATCAAAATAACTGACCCCCCCTTTTTACAGGGCAATGCCTAAAACTCCATCAATCGCTCGACGGAGTGTCGAACGGGTTCGGATTAAATGTTAAAACTTTAATCGCCTGTTTGACTCAACAGAGGCATGCAAGTGATCACTGTCACATGAACCAATACACTCATGATTAAACCATTGTGAGTTAACGACCAAGAGCCTAAATCCAATCGGATTTACAGCAAGTTTACAGCTTGCTTAATGCAATGAAATTTTTTACATAGCGTTAATTGAAAACAGGAAATAGTTTCAAATAGGCTTTTGTAGTATATAAATAAACGAAAAAGGCTTAAATTATACGATGTGTTGTTATTTAATTGGTGTTTTTCGTCGTCGATAGACCCCGGGGCGTGAAGGAAACCGAGTGGTTTTGATTTTGCACAGGAGTAGAAGGAAGAAATAAGACGGGATGCTCAAGTATTGGTGAGTTTACAAAACATAGATTGGGTGACAAACAAACAGAAACGGGATGGAAACGGTCCGACTGGCTAAATACGTCTTTTATTTACTAACAAAAAAGTTGGGCTGTCAGGGGAAGTTAACCTTCGTCGTGAAAATAAAAATAATCGAGGGAAGCTCACCTCTCGTTTGGCATTTTCGTGTGGGCCGCCTCGTCGCATCAACTCTCAACGGGAAACCGAAAATAAAATTCCACCAAATTCCCGCCTCGGTGGTCAGATCATCTAGAAGGGCTTTTTGAGGTTCGCTGAGCCATTGACGACGAGAAAACTACAGTTAGATTTCGCCGGCGGAGGAACCTGTCATTTCGTCGAGGCCGAGGGACGACGGGGCGAACGTCAAGCGGATCCTCGTCGCCGACACGGACAAAAACCCCACCTCGACGTCGAGCCCTTTTATTCAATTAATTAATTATTTTTTTCACGGCCGGCGATTTAAAAATTTCAAATTTCAAACGTGAGTTTATTTCATCGCCGTTCCCAGTTTTCCCTTCTTCCACGAAAAGGGCGAGATTTATCAAGGAAGTCGAGAACGCCCGCGCCCCTCTTTTTGGCGTCTTGTTTGAATGACACGGGCCGAGCGCTCGTTCCACCTTAAAACCCAACCATTTTTTTTTATTGCTTATCCTCCCTTTTATAAATAACTAAATTGAACATAAATTCAGAAAATATAAAATGTGACGGCGTTTACGCAAAAATGATTGACGAAAAGGTTCATGTTTCCGTTGAAATATTTCCCACAATCCCTTGTGCCCTAATCCCCTAAACGGCCCTAAACGAGCTGATAAGGGACTGCTTCCCTTGTAGCTTATTCCCGAATTAGCTTGCTCTCGTGCTGCTTCCTGCTTCCGTTTTCCTGCTTCCAAGTTATTTGCAGTTTAATTTAAAATTACGGGAGTGAAATCCGCCAGCTGACGACAGAACCTAGCAGGTATTGTGGTAATCTAAGCCATAACATTATCCAGGGCCTTGGTCGTATTGAAAGTTTAGGTGCTGCATTGCTGGGTTCCGAAAAAAAGATTTGCTAGGAAGCGTTCACCTCAGGCATTGGGTTATTTAGTTTCAGTTTATTTAAGTATTTTATTTATTTGTTTCGCGATCGCACCAGAGTGCGCCCTGTTCAACGGCGTCTACATAATTAATGGTCCTCCGGGCCGGATAAAAACGTGTAAAAATATCGATTTTATTTTAAACGGCTATTCGAGGTAAGGTTTTCTAACAGCTCTCTAGGGATTAAAGGGCTAACCGCTACCTTCTTTTTCGGCTTTATCGCTACTCCTTATCTTTTTCTCTTTTGCCTATTACATTTTAATAAGAACGGTTTTTTCGAAGAGAGATAGCTTCTTGCGAAAAAATTTTTCGCCTAAAGAAAATTACCAATCTGCTCCCCGTAAAAAGAACTTTAGTTCAAATAAAAACAAGGCCTACTTTAAAAATAATTGCGTTTGTTTATTAAACGTTGTTTACAAGCGTCGAACTCTGTTTTTGTTTTATTTTCAACACTTGTTAGACTTGTGTAGTATTTAGTGTCATTTAATTAATGATTATTTAGAGATCGTGAGATGCGGTCTAGTGTTTAGGTTTAGAAAAACTTTTTCTTTATCGTGCCAACGTTTTGACCTTTATTGAGATTATCTTTAGGGCCTGGGATTCATAAACATTCTTTAAATTTCAATTAATTTTACTTTTTATCTAAAGTCTTGGTTGAGATGAAAAAGTGTCACGTACGGGATTCGAACCCACGACCTTCGGCTGAATACGCCGCTGCTCTAACCACTTGAGCTATCGAGACAATAGTCTTATAGCTTTCTTTAAAAGTATCCAGTAGACGACAAAAAATACAAATTGTAACGATTGCAAGTATTTACTAAAAAAACGGAGGGGGCCACTCTGTTTGTCTCTCAATGTTTATGCAGGTGCTTATTTAATTTTAAAATAATTATAACTATTTATATGCATCAAGGCTAAGCAATGAAAAAGTTTACGTCAGTTAGAGGCTTCATTTTTATTATTAATATACCAAATTGTTACACCCCTTCTGTTCTAATACTTAGTTAATTAACCTCAGGTACAGGAAGAAAAAAAGGAAGTTTACGGTAATTCTGTGCAGAATCTACAAGGTCTTTATGAAACTATGTGTTGTGGATGTACTTTTGTGCTTTCGTACACATGCTTTCTTCTCTCTTTTGCAGGGATTGTAATTCCTTTTTATAAGGATGACAAATGGCATTATAATTTTGAAGTCTTTTTCAATCAAAAAAATAATTTCATAGTTGTTGCTGTGGTTACAACTATGAAAAATATTAATATGCTTTTTACGCAGTAGTTAATGATTTAATCTTTCGTTTATGGTTTAGGGGAAACAGTAGCTAGGCTATATTGAATTTTTTGGTGTCAAGAAGCTAACAATATCTAAATGACCGACTTCTGGTATATTCCAATCTTTAAATAGGGTTTGCTGAGAAACTTCTCTGTGCATGTTGTAAGTCACATTGCAGTTTCCGAGACATGATTCAGTCATTAGATTTTATTTTACACACAAGTCCGTCATGCCTAAAGGTCTTTTCCGTGACTAGAAATAAACCCAAGTAAGATTTCTTTATTTTCAAAGATATCGACAGTTTTGAGGGTACGTGTTATGGGCATCAGTTTATAAAAAAGCCTAGGTAACTACCTTGATTTCGGGACAAGACAAATGCCCTTAAAACTACAAATTTTGTGATCGACGTAAAACTAATTGACTAGAACTCTGTCATGTTTGACATTATAAGATTTTGGTATGAACGGCAACTGCGTATTTTTGAAATATGTCATCATGTGCATTTTTTGAGTGATGAAGTAAGAGATGTTTTGATGGGAACATGTTAATTTCATTATTGAGTAAGTTTTCGTTCGCAAAAAAACAATACATAAGAATAATTAAATTACTGTATAAAAATCGTTTAATGTCATATACAAATGAATAATTTGTTGTTATTTACAATGAAGAGTTTTGTTCAGTTTATGGCAATGTCAAATTTGGACATTTTGGAACTCATGTACAATAGATGTCATGTATACTTAAAGATTACATTACAAATAATTTATTTAATGGGTAGTTTTCATGATTTTGTGCGCGAAGGTCCACCGATTGCGAGGACGTAGGTCGGTGGTGCGTCCTGGCTTTCTGCAGCGTCCACCCTGTACAAATTGGTTATTCCCTGTCTGGCCAAGTTACTCCTTTCTTGTTCTGTGAGTGGGACCGGCCTAGGGATGGGCTTGTTCTGTCTTTTGCCGAGTGACCTGTAGTAGGCGGGCTGCTGTCCTTCCGATCCGGACTGTTCGGGCGAAGGGGTGACTTTGAATCCTGCGTTGACGAGTGCGTTCAACTCGACTTGGGTCAAGGGCCTTCGGTAGTCGTTCTTAGGCAGCCTCACTTCTTCTAATTGCTGCCTGGCGTAAGTCGGCTTGAGAGTGACGGGGGTCCGCGAGGTGGAAACGAAGATCGACGACCTAGGGGACGGAGTCGTCGCTTCTTGCAGTTGTTGCACGTACTGGGCCTGCTGCTGCTGGGCGGCGACCGAAGCCTGAACATCGTTGTAATTAGCCTGCGGCCTGTAGTATACCTGCGGTCTCTGTCGTGGGATGCTCACTTCTTGCTGGACGGGTCTGGTCGTTTCGATCAAATACTGCTCGGGCGTCTGCTTTTGGTCGACGACAGCCGTTTTTTGCAACTGCGGTTCGTATACTACATTCTGAGGCTGTCTGTATACCAGTTGTTGTGGCTGGGCATAAACCAGTTCTTGAGGTTGCGATTGCGGCCTCACAGAAGGTTGAGTGACAAGGCTCGGCTGGGGTGCGAGCTTCGTGGTACCGAAACGAACTTGGCTGTACGACACCCTTTCACCCGGTTGTTGAACGAACTGAGGATGCAAAGAGGTCTGCGGCAATTGGACCGGCGTCCTTACGAATTGAGGTTGCGGCGTCTGAACGTATTGTTGCTGAGGCTGCACATACTGTTGCTGAACGGCTTGAAGTTGTTGCTGTTGGGTGGTTTGTTGGGCTTGAAGATGTGCGGATTGCTGTGCTTGAAGTTGAGCCGCTTGTTGCGCCTGAAGTTGCGCCACTTGCTGAGCTTGAAGTTGCGCCGCCTGTTGTCCCTGAAGCTGTGCCACTTGCTGTTCCTGAAGCTGGGCTGCTAGGCGAGCTTGTTGTTGTGCCGCTTGCTGGGCTTGGAGTTGTTGAACCGCACTGGCTTGAAGCTGACGCGCGTATTGAGGATCCAAGCCCTGTTGTTGGTAAAACTGCTGCAACTGGACCTGCTGCTGCCTCAGCTCGTCCCTAAATTCTTGTTCCCTTACATTCTTCTGAGCGACCGCTTCTTGAAGTCTCCTCTGCTCTTGAGCCTGCGGAGACAGCCTGGGAGGAGGTCGCCTTGGAGGTTGTCCTACAAAACGTTGCGGAGACCTAGGACTAAAACAACTCATTAAACCCTGCATCATAATTATAGATATTTAATTTAAAACATTTAGACTTTACTCTGCAGCTAAAGCTTGCTGGAAATCAGGTTGAGGTTGAACCCCCGAAAATGCCTGCGTTTCAAATTGTCGCAGCAGACTCAGATATTCAGGCGGTAACTGTTGAAAATTGAAATAAAAATGATAAAATTTAATAATAATAAAATAAGAAGAAAGATCTTAATTACCTGTTGAGGTGCGGCTTGCCTTTCTTGAACATACTGTTGTTCCGGACCAAAAGGCGTTTGCCTTTTCTTTTGTGAGATTTCCTCTCCCAAGACTCCCCATATGGAACAAACTGAAAAACAGCCGATTTATATTTTTTATTTTTATTACTGTTACGCCATACATTACGAAACTAATCGCTTTCATGGAATTCAAAGCAGGTTTTAATAACAACTGGTTTTAGAGAGTGAAAGGATTTGTTAAAAATAATGTCCACATACGAAATCAATACTGTCTCAATTGAGAACGATTTATATTCAGTATATTTATATTTGAAAGGATTTAAATTGAACGGTTTAAACAAAAAATTAAATACTCGTAAAACTCCAAGTTTATATACATTATAATTATTTAAGGTAAAATTCTTTTATTAAATAATAAATTCATAATTTTTCTAAGGAAAGTTACATAGTTTGAACGATGTCTAGTCGTTCCACTTAGAACATAAATTCGATCCTTCGGAATGTGACAGTGCTAATCGTGTTAATTTATTTTATAATTTTAAGTTATATTTTTGTTCGTAAGAAAAGCAAGATACTTATCAACCCGAACTTGACGATAAAAACGCACCCTTCGGCTCATTTTGACTGACTGATACAATCTTATTGAATAATATTTAAATTTCATAGAGGTAAACAAAAGTTGGAATTTAGCTCTTATGTTTTACACGTTGTCTAAATCAAATAAGACCAGTTGGGTAATCAATGTCAAAACTATCATTGACAAAGATAATAATTAGGAACCACATTATGGAACATATGAAATTCTAAGGATGAGTCTGCTAGAAGGGGGTACGCACGTTTTTGGCTAATAAACGGTCGTATTTTTTTTTAAAAAGGTTTCGTACATCTGTTCCTGTTTGTAGTTTGAAACAATGTAGAGTCTAGGACCTAGATCATCAACATCACCCCAAGAAATTTATAAAACCGACTAGCGCCAAAACAGCAAATTAAATGAAATTATTTCTTTTCTCACATTCTGTGTCACAACTTTGTTATTCTTTGACAGATTTAAAATCTGGTTGCATCATCGTTTCCGATATAAAAAAATCCTTTAAAACAGTCTGTAAGTTGTTCCTTGATAACAAATATTTTAAAAAAGCGGTAAAAATTTAAAACTAGTCTAAAAATATTAAATACGCCATCTAAAAAGGACATATTATAATGTAACAATCTAGCTAAAAGCTGAAAAATCTTTAATTTAAAACGATATAAAGATGTAGATTTGCAAGTTTCGATGAACTTATTAGTAATTAATTTAAAAGTAAAATTTTAGTGGTAGACTAAATCGCCTTGCTGCAATCGCAGCGAAATCGTTGACTTGCAGGGCGGCGACTTTCGAGCCAAGCCTCCAACCTTCCAAGGCTTCGTTACATAATCCAAGGGCATATGTTCAATTATTTACAAGTTTATTTATCTAATTTAGCTCTAATTTCTCGCCGTAAATGGCCGCCCTATCGATACTGTGAAACCGTGCTCGATCTAATGCTTAACTATGCGACACAATGATTTAACGCCGGTTACATGAGGAAGTGCAGCAGTATGTTCAAAGTCCTTTAACCCCCCCCCCCTGTTTCCAGCTATTTTAAGCCTGAGTTATCTGCATTTTCAAAGAATTTTTTTAACCATGAATTTGAAGTGAAATGTAACATATAATGGTTTTATTATGAGATTTCATGTTCAGGTCAGTGAAGTGGACTTGTAGCTTGATCCTTTCTATTCACTTTTTGCCCGCCTATCCTTGCCGTTTTGGACTATCAAATCGACCAAAGTTAATTATCCCGGAAACATTCTTTACGATATCCTAAAGTCTCAACGAACTAATGGAGAGGAAGAACACATGAAAGCATCAGAAACAATGATGACCTATACAGATGGCTCCAAAACAAACGAAGTAACAGAATCGGGCATTTTCTGTACAAGCCCAAACATGGGCAATCAAACTTATTAGTGAAGTACAATTCGATCTTTAAGCAGAAATACATGCCATCAACGCTTGTGCCCTAGAAAATTTTAAAAAAGGTTCCACCGACAAAAAATCCTCATAAGATCTGATAGCCAAGCAGCCATTAAAGCATTAACGTGTAAAAAAAATCACATCAAAATTAGTCAATGAATGCATCCAAACCTGGGGAAATATAACAACCGGATGATATCTTGGGTGCCAGGGCACAGAGGAATTTTGGGTAACGAGAAAGCAGGCAGACTGGCCAAAGGAGGATCTGCAAGACCATACATAGGCCCCGAACCTATACTTGGGACAAAAAAACAAACAAATATAGAATACTCTATGGCAGAATGGATAAACTCTAGCAGCCCTAGATACAGTAAACTTATGATGATACAACCCTCACCAAATCTGACAAAGTCACTGCCCCAATTGGAGAGGACTAAACTCAGACGAGTGGTAGGGCTACTAACCGGTCACTGGCATCTGAGAAAACATCTACACAACATGGACATGTACAACGATGATCCCATCTGCAGATTATGTAATGAGGAGGACATAATCATATACAGTTTGGCTGGCAAATAATGAAAAATACATACAGCAGCGTTAACGTTAATTGACATGAAATATGTGAGGAGATTTCAACATAGTGACCGTCTTCCAAAAGTTGGATTTTTTTAAACTAAATTTATTTCCACGGGAAGATCATCATTCTCCTTTTCAGTCTTCTGACTTCAAGTGTCAGCGGCAGCGACTGACAAAACCAGTGGAGGTGGCATTCCAGTGCACAGTTATGCGTTAATACAAGTTCGCTTATGGATCTTTCACAGCTTCGTGACGTATGTATAGTTAGATCACAGTAAAATATAGATAAAAAGGTCAGTGTCACAAGCGGGATTCGAACCCACGACCTTCGGCTAAATACGCCGCTACTCTACCACTTGAGCTATCGTGACTTCGACCCACTAGGGACTAGGACCCACCTACTTCCCATCCGAACTCAACCTTTTCAATTTTCCCTCCTTTTTGCCATTTTTCAATGTCGTGTAATCTATTTGATTCTCGGCGCCAATGAAATGGCCACGGAGAGCTTTAGTGAAGATATAATTCAAGATATACTTCATTTAACTTAGGAAAATTCATTAGAATTCGTGGTCCGATTGATCAAATAACATCTTTCAATTAATTAATCTTTATGTAAGGTATTGGTTGAGATAAAAAAGTCAGTGTCAAGAGCGAGATTCGAACCCACGACTTTCGGCTAAATACGCCGCTGCTCTATGACTTCGATCCACTCGGACACCAATTTGTCCACCATTTGTCACATCGGACCAATGTCACGTCAATCGTGACGGTAGCTCAAGTGGTGGAGCAGCGGCGTATTTAGCCGAATGTCTTGGGTTCGAATCCCGCTTGTGACACTGACTTTTTATCTCAACCGATATCTTACATAAAGATTAATTAATTGAAAGATGTTATTTGGTCAATCGGAGCATGAAATCTAATGAATTTAGTAAAGTATAGAGTTCCGAAGGCGATAATCCGCAGAACTGGATTTTAATGGAGTAAAATTGGAGTCTTAATTGAGAGAATCAATTGTAGACCCCAGGAGAGCTAAATGGGACGAAGAAGTTATAGGTAACTTTTTGTTGAAGAGTGAAAGTGATGTACTCTTATCAAGAACGGGCTTTAGTAAACGGTTTCGTAGAAGCAGATTAAGAAAGAGAAAAAAAAGAGAAAGATTATTAAGAAAAGCACCCAAACGCTTCCCTGTTTCAATACACAGCTCGAATAGATCTTGTCACCAAAGTGACACTGTCCTGTTTGATGCTATAAGTTCTATTAGTCAGATATAACTGACAAGACGGAATCTGGCTGCTCCTCTTTAACTTTGAGTAGATGTCCAGAAATCCAGACTGCGGGTGAACATAAAGATTTTGACAGATTTTTTTTTCGTATGGTTTTACAATTGTGTCAATTATTCTATGAAGCTGTTGGCACGAATGCTGCGGACGGAAACCAAATTGCAAATCAGAATTGATAAATAGTGTAAAAGTTTCGGCAGCATATGTCTTTCAAAATTTTGAAGGGGCTGATGGGGTGGTAACTTTTAGAATCCTTGGCACGTTTTTTTAAATTTAAATTTTTTAAAAATTCAGATGTCAATAAACGTGTTCCTGACTGGGATAGTTGATGAGCAACATGAATTTTATGACTGCTAAATTTATATTGCATTAATATTATAGTAAATAGATTTGATGATTAGATTAAATTTCGTTTGTTAATTGAATTTTTAATCGGAATAAACACATACTTACACATATGAATATGTAAAAAGAAATTCAAAAGGAAAACAATTATTTAAAAAAAAAGACAGAAAATGTTTAATATTAGTAGAAAAAAAGAAAACGAAAAAGGAGAACACGTATGAAGTTAATTAATATACAAATCCAATTTATCATAAAATGCAAGATAAGTTGGATATATGATACATTTTATGAGCAGTACCTAGAAATAATGATAGTGATTAGTCGTGGAAAATGCCCGTGTGTCCGGACGATTATCCCAGGCTTTTTTCCAATTTCACCCGATTGCCGTTCACCGATTAGGTAATCTCATAGCAGAGAGCTAATTAATTATCAAGGTTCTATACCACCTTCATTTTGAATTACTTTTCAAAAATTCTATTATAATATGCAATAATTAAAATTTTGATTTTTTTCAACTAACATTAGTTCTTCCGCCCATCACACAATATTTCCAATGTATAAATAATTAGTTGATTCAACACTGAACAATTTAAATTGTCTAATTTATTAAAAAAACGTTCTTGTTATCATGTGCACCTTCCTACTTTCATGGAAGTGAGAAGATCCCCTTTCCGCTCTAAAGACAAAATGAGCCTATAATACAAGCTATTATCTCATGTATGCTTTCTTTAACACATCCACGGGTATTTTAAACCCTTTCACGTCTTCCCTAGGAAATGAAAGTTTTTCAAAATTGGACGCCGAGAAAGTGAAGCAGTTTGTAAAAACCGGCTCTCCCTGGAAGCAGGAACGCTTTACGCAATTGTCCCCCAGGGCTGCTTAAACGGTTCCGAATTTGCGGCAAAAATTGTAC